AATAATTTTAAATAATGTCTGTAGTGATTAATAAGTATGCTGTGTTGTTAGCAATCCAATGTAATTGGGCAGCACCATTTTATTTTATTTTATGATAATAAAGTGATTCTCTCTCTCTCTCAGAGTAAAAAGTAATTTAAATTTATTGAAAATTATAAGAAAGTATCATGCCAGTATTTAACGTTTGGGATTGAAAAAACATTACAGTATAAATTAACTATTTGAATAAAACCTAGAATTTTATAACCCCATAAAAATATCGTCTTAACCTAACTTCCACTCCAAATGATCAGTGAATTTCACATTTCACTGCCATAATATTGTTAACAATTATTTATGTTAATTTTAATTATTAAATATAATTCAATGAAATTCATACTAGGTAATTTCTATAATGTTCTCCAAAACTCCTCCGAGTTTGGGTCAAATTTTACACGCAGTTTTCCAACTATAGGCTTTTCAAACAATACATTTACTGATCCGAAAGCGGAAGTATTTCTTTAGCAGTTGTGGATAGAATTTGATAAAATTCATAACTACTCGATTATCTGTTTACCAACAACTTCCCTCCAAATTTGAACTAAATCAAACTTGCGGTTTTAGAAATATAGACGTATCAAGGAAATCACGTTTGCGACTATATAACAGAAAGTAGAGAACAGAATTCAATAAAATTGACATTAGTTATTTTTTTACCGTTACCTACATTTTATCCTACTTTTAACCAAATCGAACGAGCCCGTTCTGAAATATTGGCATATCTAAAAAAGTACGTTTGCGCGTGCGTAAGCGGAAATGCTAGATGGAATTTGATAAAAATTGACATGGGACCATCTAAACATCAACCTGCACAATCCCTGAAAATTTCATGAAAATTACATGAAAGGTACTAGGTGATATGCCCGTCACATCGATTTGACTACAGACAAACACCGAACCAAATTTGATCCTTGATGTCTGAAACGTAAAACGTGGAAATTTTCGATTCTGAGCACAAATTTTTTTTTTAACCTCTCGCACGAACACAATGAATCCCTACCTTCGGTAATGAGGAAGCAAAAAGTAAGCGTGCTGCAAAAGCTCATAGAACAATGTGCATCTCGCCAAAGGTGCCCAGAAGAGGGTTTTATGGTGCAAGCTGCACCATCAAAATTTTTGAGGGAGGCGTATTTTGACGGGTTTTTTAATTTTTGAGTAGGGTAAATCTCGGCGGGGTTATGAATTTTCGAACTAAGGGACAGAAGGGAAAACATAGAAGAGACTGCAGCAAGTGTAATTGTAAATAATCTACGATTTTTCAAATTCTACCTTAGCTTCTTCTGTTTTTAAGAAAAGATGAGCAATAAAATATCTTAGAGGGAGGAGGGCAGGTAGGTTATTCCACAATCGAACTTGGGGTGGGATGGGCACCTCTGGATCTGTCAAAATTGGTTTGCCAAATTTCATGTAGGAAATTTTGACATCAATGATGCTCAATGCATGTCGTTTAGTCGCCCACATGAAATTGAAACCAGTAATGTTAAGGCCATTGTTGATCAAAATCCCACCTAATCAGTACCAGAGATTTCTATAGCCCTAAATGTGTCGCACACAAGCATAGAAAACCATTTGCACAAGCTCGGCTATCTTTCTAGGCTTAATGTAAATACGTTTTAAACTCAACTATTATTCTAAGGAGACTTCAGTCCCAGAACAAAATTATTTTTCATTTCATTTCAATGTTTGGCTCCCTCTCATGACTTTTTTTCAAAAATCACAAAAAATGTTATAACTTCAATAAGACTTTAGCTATCTACAAGAAATTTAGCAGAAATTCAGGGCCACATAAACCTTTGTAAACAAACTACAAATGGAGATAATATAATGGAGAGAAATAAATACCTATGTTTATTTTTTCTTTATGTAGACATTAAATCAAAAGACGATTCATACGGCTTTGAAGAGCAATAGTTCAGCTTTCTAACGGATATAGTAACATCGAATTTAAAGAACATCCTGAAGAGTTATGAATGGTCGGAAGGGTGTTGTGTCCCACCAAGACAACGCTACCTACTAGAACCCACACCTCATTGGTCACTCGAAATAAATTATTGAGCCTTGGATAGGACCTTTTACCACACCCTCCCAATTCACCAGACCTAGCTCCAAGTGATTACCACTTATTGCGCTCTCTGCAGAACTCCATGAATGGAAAGAAATTACTAAAGGAAAAGAGCATCAAAAACCACTTGGATTAGTTTTTTAACAATAAACTCCAGACATTTTATGAACATGGCATTATGCAGCTAGTCAAAAGATGGGAAAAAGTCATAAGTAAATAATGGTCAATATATTGTAGATTAAAATAAATTGTATATGCGAAACCGAAAGGACTAATTTGCCAACACAATTTTAATACCTTTATTGTTAATCATAGAAAGAATCACAGGCGGATCTACGAAGGGGGCTTTCGGGCTGAAGCCCCTCCCCAAAATGGTAAAATGTAACCATATTTTACAGAAAAAAATACTTTGTACTATCTCTTAAAGTATTCTTGTTGGTGTAATTACATTTAATAGGACTTCAAGAACCACTTAAACACCATTTCATATAGATAATTAATTAATTTCTTTTTTTTCAAATTAATTATCGTTATATGTATATGAAAAAAAAAAACTTTCGGGCTGAAGTCCCCCCCAAAACTAAATCCTGGATCCGCTAGTGGAAAGAATCATGAGATTTTCTCGACAGGAGTAATGCATCGTAATCCTCTTTTATCTGCCATATATCTTTTAATACTTAAGGGTCAAAAATATTTCTTTAAACTACGGTTTTAATGTAAAATTCTAGGAGCGCAGGTTTTTTTTTTTTTTTTTTTTTTCACCAGTTTATATAAATTTTAATTAATTTAGCAACCTTGGTAGGAAATGTGAGTGGCGGATAAACTACCAAGAGCTAGTTTTTAGTACCTAAATTAAAGTAATTTCGGATGAATTAAGCTCCACTTTTCGTAAAGAGGCTCGAGCAGATAAACAACTTAAAATAGTAATCATGGATGAATGATTTCCCAAGAGTAAAGATCCATTGCTTGGATGGTATAAATCAGTATAAGGTAAATTGCCATCTTTCGATTAAATTTTGTTCATATAATGCCACATGAATGTGCCTAAGTACTTAAAGGAATAAATATTTAAAATAATATATTATGCACATTCAATGACATTGAGAAGGAGAACGGCAAGGAACGTTCCCCCACAATATTTTTAAGGAAGAAGGCCCCTACCTTCTCTCAATATTTCGCGGTCGTCTACTTAAAATAACTCGCAAAAATTTAAACCCTATAGGTAATTATTACATTAGAGCAATATACTGTTTACTGAACTCCATTATATATGATGTTCCATCCTATCTACCCCCCCCCTTCCATACATTGACATTGTTGTCCTATAAACTAACCTAAAGTAATCCGGGAGGGAACAATTCAAGAGTGGACCAGATGGTGGGCGATGACTCTGAAAGGGAATATTTTAAGGAAATACTTCCACATCGTTCAATCTCGGTTACAAGCAAAATGTTGCCGCGACCTGCACTGTTTCGATGGATTAAGAGCCGTGTTTATGAGAACCACGAGAGCTTATGTCCTCGCCGAAGAAAAATTACCTCGGTTGGTGAGTTAAGAAAACTTTCCGCGGTTCACAGAATTCATAAATGGCTATAAGAAGGCGGTGGATCCAGCCCACTTCAATCTAGGTGCCCGCGAAATGGGAGAAGTGCCGGGAAGTAACTCGGATTCTGGAAGTCAATCTTAAATCATTGAAGATATAAAAAAAGCTAGAGCTTTGCACAGCTTTGAATATTGTTTGCTGTTATAATAACAATAATATGTAATATATTATAATAACAATAATTTAAAATTCTCTAATCAAATCCAGACATTTGTCATATATAAGTTGTTTTTCTCAATAAATTACGAATTAACAAAAAAATCCTTTGCACGATAGTGGAGCAATCTGGGATCAAAGTACTGGAGGAGAAAGACCAATAAAGTATACGAACATGTACATCAATATCTCGTGATATGAATGTAAGAAGTTAAGATGAACGGGACATGTATCTCTGATCAATCCATTTGGAACCCCCTATTCAACAATGAACGCCTCAATAGTAAAGATGCATGCAGACAACTAGAAAGAAATAGGCAGATGTGGAGAAGGCTGATTAGGGAGGGAAAAGATCCGCAAGTTCTGTAATGCCAACAGAAAAAAAAAATAACAAAAAGCTTATAAAGTAGAGGTTTAGTAAAGTATTATTTTTTGTTTGTTTTATTATTATTCACTGAAAACATCATACCTGTACTTGTATTTTCGTTTCACATATTAATTGCTCTCGATATTCGACAAGGGTGTAGGAAAAAGAGAAAAGTGGAAACAGTGTGAGAGAGCAACTATAGAGACCTACAGTGTTTGAAGTACCATAAGGACATATAATCATAATAGTCGATTGATGGTTAACTATAGTGAATGATTGGACAGAAATTGGTTGGGGTGTTTCGACGTTTTGGTCCAAAGTTCAGGCCTTCATCAGGGCTAAAAAAAGAAAAAGAATCATCTCTGACAATGGGATCCATCAACACCAGACAGACCAAAAACAGATGGAATTGCTGGATAATCCGTGATTCAATCGATGAATAAAGGAACGTGTGTTTCCATTTATTTTTATTTATGGATCCATCGATCAGTTTAAGTAGAACATAATGGTTTTTTAATGGCCGTCAATGAGTTACGCATTAAATTTAGGAACTTGCTCGATTATTGAAGAAATAGTCATGTTCCGAACGATTAGTTTAATAATCAACATTATTATCGATAAATTATCGATTTTTTATTAAACAAACTTCGTTCATTCTTAAAGAATCCAAAAGACTCGTTCAAATTTCAGAACGCTTGTCAAAATTTAAGTTAGTTAGTCACCATCATTTATCGTGTGTCTGTCATTAAAGCATATTTCTTATTTTTTTAAAAAATTTGTCATGATTTTAAAAAGGTTTGGAAATAATTACCAGGGATTTTACTTTCGATGGTTCTAATTAACTCTTATAGTATGGAAAACCAAAGATTTGATATTGTAGAGGAAAATTATCATCATATTTTTCAGTTGTTGTGTCAAATTAAATTATCAAAAGAAAAGCTAGAGTTAATTAAAAGCAAATTTAAAGATAATATAAACTCACTCCGGCGTTATGAGAATATCGATGACATGAAAGAACTTCTTAAAATACTTGAAAAAAGATGTGTGATTGGGCATGATAATATTGTAAAACTTTATGATATTGTTGAAACAGTTGATGATGCATCCAAACAAAAAATAGGAAAACATTTAACTAACCAATCTTTTTGGCTTTCAAAAATTCCTTCAACTCCAATTAATTTAGCATTCTGTCAGGATACGCAAATGTGTTCCACCATACCAGAATTTTCATTGTCTGTTGAAGGTAGGATGTTCTTATATCTAACACCTTTTCTATGAGAAGAGAGCCAGTTTAGTGTTCAAAATATAAAAACATTGATTTATTATGATGTTTCGCCCCACTATATCTTAATTTGCGGGTTCATGGTTGACTGCAGTGCATAATTGAAATGAAGGATGGCTGCGGTGATCAATCAAATTGAAATGGTAAATAATTTTATTTATTTTTACATTCGCCAATGTTTCGGCCCGAAGTTCAAGCCTTCATCAGGGCTGAGAAAAGAACCAGATGTCAATAGTTATAATAATATTGAATAATACAGAATTAAGATTAGAAAAGGTGACAGGTATAGACTAATAATTTTAATAGGACAACTTAATGTAAAATGAAGCAGATAGAATGGACCATTACTCTTATCATTCTACCTACTTTGTTTTACTTTAATGTTCATTCTATCTACTTCATTTTATGTTACGTTGTTCTACTAAAAATTATTAGTCTATACCTATCACCTTTTTTAATCTTAATTCTGTATTATTCAATGTTATTATACCTATTGTTATCTGGTTCTTTTCCCAGCCCTGGTGAAGGCCTAAACGTCGGCGAATGTAAAAATAAATAAAATTATTTATTTTTTACCATTTCAATTTGACTGATCACCCCAACCATCCTTCTCTTCAATTATATCTTAATTGATTTTTATAGAGATTTTCTTCATTCGATACAGCTTGTCGTTGTTATGTAGTTTATTTTATAAAGATAAATAATGCTCTCTGTTTATTTCTTTTCTTTTTTTTTTTTTTTTCTCATTTGATGTTATATATGGTTATCTGTGTGATTTTATTTTCAATATCCACATCTGACTAATCAAAGATTTGTGTTTGATAATTTTAATATTATATATCATATAACTTCTTCAGATCTATTCATAGAATCTCAAACCTTTTAGAAGGCTTATAAAGTAGACTGAAACATAAACATTCTTTAAATATTTTTTTACTATTTTTTGTCTTTTTTTAACTGCCACTCTGACCACCTTCTATGTTTAAAAACAATCTGGTGTCTCTAGTTGTCTGATAAAGAAATCTCTATTCTTTTACAGTAACAGATTATATTTCTTCAAATATTAAAAGGTATTGGCAAAACTTTGCACGGGCCCTACAGATAATTCAAGAAAAAGAAATTGATCGAATTGAAGAATTTGATGGCAATAAAACAAAAAAGGTAACCTAAGTATTTATAATGAGTCTATTAGATTAATCATTATTGGTATTTTTCATATTTGATCAATCATATTTTTTATTATTACTGTTTATGAATGAAACTGCATGTCATCATAGAGTCCAAAGGAAATTCCTAGTCAACAAGTCATCACATCTGATCAATAATCCATTATGGCCAAGTAACGTGGTTGCTGTTTTGCAAGTTTTCACCATATTTGTGGCTGTACCAGAACCGTTACAATGTATTAGTCAATTTGACTAAGTTTTAGTAACAATCCATCAAAAGATTTGCTATTGCAGCAAAATTCAATCTCTAATTTTGATCAACATATGTGTTTTAGTGTTCAATATCCAGTTTTATAAATTATATTTGATAATTAAATGACTGCAGGAAGAATGCAATTAATTATTTCAATATTAATTTTTTAGTGGGATAATGAGGAAGACCATCCGTGATTCCACCCGAACAATTATATTCATATCATTTAGTGTGCAGGGCAATTGGGTATATTGAGAAACCACCTTTTTGGCTATGGTATAGTGCATCTAAGATAAGTTTACATTTAGGAGAAGGGACTTCACGCAGCTTCCAAGACCTCTCTCCAACCACTTCCCCTCTTCACCATAGCAACCACCTTGTACCGGGAAAGCGTTATTCCATTTTCTTAAAATTTTTCACAAATGTTTGTTAAAGGGATATTAATTTAAAAATAAAAAAAAAAACTGGCAAGAATGATTAAATAATCAAATTAAGAAAAAAAATATATGAATTGTCGGGGCCTGCTGTTCATAGAACTCGATGTTATTACAATCAATTTAAATATTTATATATATATATATATATATATATATATATATATATATATATATATATATATATATATATATATAGAGAGAGAGAGAGAGAGAGAGAGAGAGAGAGAGAGAGAGAAAAAAGAAATTTCTTCTTGTAAAAATTGTAAAAAAAAAAGTATATATGAATTAGAAGAGAAGACAAAAGAGTGAGGGATAGGCCGGAAAATGTTTTGCCACTGCGCATCTCTCTCCCTCTCTACCCGCCCACAAACTTATATCAGACAGATTTTATAGTATGTTACTGTTGACATATGGCATATTATCATAGCATCGTTCCATAGTAAATTTTAAAATAAAAATTGCCATGTTATAATTATTGAGTGGCCTCACAACAAAGGTGGGCAGACATTTGTCATTATCAGAAATTTGAGTTAGCCAATTTTTGTTATGTAGTTTTAATTTATACTAATTCTGTTCATTTTTTAATAATTTAACATTCTGTGAAGGATTTAATTTCGATTTAATTTTAAAAATTAGTCAACTTCATCTTTAAAAATCCATGTCTGTTTTTGAAATAACAATTAGCAGTTATTCCTTCTTTTTTTTTTTAATGCAAATGAGTCCTAATCGTTAAATTAAAAAACGAACTCACCTATGAAATCTAAAATCAGTCTTAATAAATATACTGTATGTAATGTTAAATAAAACAATAAAATTAAAAGTTTTAATATGAAAAGTAAATATTTAAAATTTTTACTTTAAAAATCTTTCAAATCCAACAAAAGATAAGTTTCCATACTTGCATAAGGGTTTTTTTCATTTATAATTCAAGGAACCCATTTTCACTTTTAAGTTTGAAGAGTATTTCAAATGAAACATTTTAAAGTATAATATAAAATATTATTTTTATTGGTTTGTAACTGGATCTTTTACAAATGTAATTATGTACAAAAAGAAAATTTATTTTTGTTTTTTATTTGAAATAAACAAAATAAGTTCCTTAACTGTCTGTCCTAAACTGTATAACATAATTATATAAATATTTTGTATTTAAAATATTTTTTCTTCAAACAATTTAATGATTTGGTTATTTAAATACACTTAATGAAAAAGAAAGAGAAAAAAACTGATATAATTATTTCTTGAACAGATCTGTTAAAATCTAATAAATCTGCCTTTTAATGTTGATTCCTTTCTGGAAATAACAAGTAACTAAAGATTAGTAGTATGCATTGATGACCTGGGAGCTTTACGCCTATAAACAACAAACAAACAAAGATTGATTCCAATGATTTAAAAACCTCTATTCCATTGACTGTTATGTAAATGTCTCCACTTTTGAAACAAACTTACACTCCAGGAGTCCCTTTTTGTAATAAACAAACATTTAAGAGTAGACAAAAGTCTGTAAGAATAAAGTTTTTACTCAATTTTGATTATGTAAGGCTACTCAGATGAAAGGAAGTAACTGGTAAAAGAATGAGATATATATTTTTCTATAAAGAAGAGTAAGTAGTCAACTGATCACTCATAAGAATTAAACAAAATTTGAATGACAACCTTGAGGATGACCGTGTTTGGGTTGAAACATGGGCTAACCCAATAAAAATCTCTTGATTGCAATTCCTATCACTTTTTGTTTGATCCATATTTTTCTATACCTGATCTGTACTGCACATGATGTATTGTACTTTTATGAGGAGTTGGTCGAGGGGGTGCGGTAAAATACCGACCGCATCATCCCACCCCCCTGACCAGCTCCTCATATTCTATCACGGTCAACCATCTCTACACCATTATTATACTTTTAGTGTGGAAACATGCTTCATGGAAATTTTGTGAAATTGACACATGTTCTTTCAGCAACCCATTCAAATCCTAAAACTTATCAAATTTATTTAATAATTTGTTAACTCTTAGATAACGTAAATGTGTATTATACTTTTTCTAATGTAATTTTTGAAAAACTTGTTTTATTAATGGTTGTTATGTTTTGTTTTTTTTCCAGTGCCTTGAAATTTTTGTTCATGAAGCCAACTTTCAGAGACTCTCTAACCCTTACGGCACTCTCTTAAATGCTTTGGAAGTAATAAAAAGAAGAGATATAAAAGAACATGTCGAAAGCCTGCTTATGGCAAGTTTTAAAAGAAGTTGACTGCTCAAAATTTGTACTTATCGTAAAGATTGTGTTCAAGTGCTAAAAAAAAACTCCATTCTTTAAATGGTGCTGGTTGTGGATCAATATTCATGTATTAAAACAGCTTGTTTGTCTCTCCGCACCGTCGTCAATGTCAGCTTCTATATTTTTGTATGTTCTAATATATCATTACTGATCATTAGAAAGAACAAGGGATACTATCAAGCTGGAGGAAGATACTAACTCTTCTTGGTTCTGTCAATATCAAATCTAAGCATAATTTGCCTCAAATACTCCTATGATATTGTGTACGTTGGTGCTTCATAAGAATTAAAACTTATACTGTAACAATAACTGTTATTTTATTAAGAGAATTATTATCAGACAAGAAATAATTCATTCAAAGAAAACCTCTACAAATTTTAATTTTGTGGAATAATAGATACAATTATAATTGTAAAAGCATATATTTTTTATTTAGTATTTAAAAAATAATTAAAATACAAATAAAAAGAATATATATATAGTTTATAACATAATTTGATTTATATTATATATGAATATTTTAATTAATAAAACTGTTGAACTTCACCTTTGTCAAGTACTCTCCAAAATTATTTGCTGTAAAACTGTTTTAAAGGTTGTTTTTTTTTTTTTTTTACCCTGGGAAAATCTCTCTAAGGGTTTGAAAAGAAATTTTATATATTTTTTTCCTAGTTTATCAACATAGCATGAATCCATTATTAATAGAAGTTTGTCTTGAAATAGAATGATTTTATCTTTGAAGAAATCTATTGTCAAGCTGTATCGAAAAAATGACCTCACTGTAATCTTGCTGAAATTCATAAAATATACAGCCCACTTCAATCATAGGTCTCATCTACGAATATATTTGTAAAAATGATCTGGAGCAGTTTAAGATCAAAGATATTTAAGAAAAAAATATAGTTATTTCTTATCATTTAGTTTTCTGATGGCTTTGTTAAAATAATAAAGGTTGCAGGGATGCCTGGGTTAACACATGCGTAAAAAACGACTTGCCTGGCAACCAGCTGCATGATAAACTAAAGTTTACAAGATATAAAATAATTACAAGTCATGTCCCAGTGCCGGCCTTTCAACTCTAGCATTAATTAATTAATAAACTAAAAAAATTAAAAATAAAGCAAGAATAATACAGCCAGAAACTTTTTGAACTATTATGTCATAATCTAGTAACTGGTCATCCATATTTAGCATCATATCATCTTATATATTAGACCCCAAATCCAAATTTAAAATAATTGAAACGATAATATTAAATTTTTTTTTTATTAATTCTCAATACGTAAAATCCAATGAAAACCTAATTAAAAATTATGAAATAATAAATTATTATTTATAAGAGTAATGAATAGGAATAATTGCTATGTGACCTGGGCCACAACCTGCAGATTTATATAATTGCATAATTGTTCAGGTTAGATGTTGGAAAATTAAGATATTTATTAGAATCAAATATAAAACAACTAATAATTTCTCTCAAAAAATATGTTTTATTTTGTATATTTTAAACAATATTTTTTAAGGGGAATAAATAAGTAAAACCATGAACACTAGATCTAAAAGATTTTCGGGTATATAATTAAACATTATTGAATTGATATATATATATACAGTAATAAAAAATGCAATGCTCAATAGGAAAACAAAAGAAATACTATGAAATTAGTCACAATTCTACTACATAACAAATAGAAACTTCAATTAGCGAAAACATAACAATATTCTTATTAAATATTAAAGAACAATATATAAAAATTTGTATAAATATAGTTTACATATTGAAGATAATATTACACTCTTGATTTAGACAATTTACTTAAAAAACAATTTTCTTCAATGTAAATAGACACAAAAACTATTTACTTTATCAAAAAAATTTTGAGCAGAGAGGATTTATATTTCTGCTGATGAAATTTATTATATATTCCTAAAACTAACTTTATATACTGTAAGTACTTTTTATAACGGTAGAATTTTTAATGGCTGAATCAGAGTGAGATTGATATTGGATAGGTTGGTTGAGAGGAAGCTTAAGCCTTTCTTTGATTTTTCTCCTGTAATAAAAATTACTTTTAATGATTAAAATACATAATTAGAAATTCTTAATTTTAGTTGACGTTTCATGCAATAGATAATTCCATAGATAAGAGTATAGAAGATGGGAGAGCACTCGAGAATCTACTGGTGTAAGTCTGTTTTCATTATAAGTAATTGTAACTATCTTAATTCATTCAACTTGATCAATTTATTCTAATATTTTTTCTTTTTTCAATATATGCTAATTAGTTACTTTACAGTTTTGTTTTTCTGAGTACAGGATAGTTTTTTATAATTGTTCCTATCTTGATTGCAAAATGGGATAAAGTATCATAGATTGAACAAGAGATAATTGCAATGAATTGCATTCATTAAACAGTAAAAATAAAATAAAAAATTTAAAGACTTCTTAAAAAAATCATAAGTTATAAAGTAGATTGTACGGAAGACATCCTACATAGTGGATTGGCCGCTGAGATTTTTTGGTGATTTATCATGACTCCATACTGTTTCAAATCTCTTAAGTTACATTGAAAATAGTACATTAGTTTGGGAAATGTGCAATCAGAACAATGTTTTTACAGGAGGAAATCAAGCAATGCCTTGATTTTTAAGATTAATTAATGTGCTCTCTCAATATCAGGATTTACAATTATTCCTATAAATCATAGTTTTATAAATAAAAATGTCTCAAAATTGTTCTAATCAAGTTGCAGCTACCATTAAACCAAAATTTAGAGACAAATTAACACTAACAAACACAAGGATATGTACAGGAATCAGATAAATTACCTAATATAATTAGATAGTTAACTTACCCGATGGCTAACACTATATCTTGCTTAGATTTGTCAGCATTAGCGGTCCAAAGACCTATTTTGTCCATTTTTGGCCTAATATTGACAGTTGCTCCACACACTTCATCGGTGTGCTCTTCAAAAGCTTCTCCAATCATTAATAATAACTGAAGTAAAAAAACAGATTAATTGACATCAAAAAATATATAAAGAGAAAATAGTAAACAAAACATAATTGTACATAAAAACTTTGCTATCATTCTATTACACAATTTTTATCAAACAAACAAAATTATGGAATTAAATTAAGAATTAAATTATCACATTATTTTATTACCCTTTAACCTATGTTTTAAAAGAAAACTACGGTATAAATTGTAAGGAATTAGTTTTTAAATGGCTGAGTGTTTTTATTTTTGTATGTATGATTTAATGTTTAAAATGTATTTCGAATAATTGAACAAAATACAAGCTCATTATAAGTAAAAGAAATACTTTATAAATTGCGATTTAGGAAAAACAGAAACTCGCAGTAAAAGAACTAAAAATGTTATGCCCTGAATAATTCTATTCACCACTCAATATGTAAATGTAATAAAATAGATACTAAGTTTGTATTACTCTTTGTAATACAACCAATAATGTAATAATAAATCAACTAAGCGACAATTTAAATTTTTCTTAGAACAATCACTATATAAAGGAGATAAAAAATAAATAAAAATCAACCAACCAAAGTACTTACAATTTCAAGCCAACAATTATCTAGCTCACTAGTTCTGTGCTTCTTTTCAAGACTTATTAACCATCTACCACCTTGCTTGTTGGCAGCATCTTCCCACATTGGACGAATACCTTTTTTAAAAAGGCAATAATCACACCCTGGCTTCAATTCACTGGCTGCTTTTATGTGATTGTAAACACTGATATCATACAAAATCATTAGTGGTAGAGAAAAAAAAAGAATATAAAAAAAAAAAAAGAGAATTACCTCCAAAAATCTTCAACTGTATCAAAACTAGTTATTTCTTTCAGATTTTGCAGCCATGTCTTTTTTTTATCATTTTCAAAATACCATAAGGACCATGAATTATTCAATGGATGTTTAATTAATAAATCTGGCACTTCGGTACTGGTGCTCTCTACTGACTTTTCAGTTTCTTTATCCTGAAAAAAAATAAGGATAATTTATAGAAAATAGGTCCAATAAAAAAAATAAAAAAACTCAAACAAAAACAAAACTAAACAAATGATAGCAAATAGTGTCTGACTTCAAATAATTTCATTTGACATGCATTGATTACATGGACTAACACATTTAGAGACTATTAAACAAACTGTCATCTATTAAAATACTATAAGGTATCAAGCAAACAGTGCTATATAGAAATTTAAAATTAACACCTTGTGAAGATTGATAAGGTTTATATATTTTAGTTATATATCTAGCTCATTTACAGTATAGTGGAATGAAATTGATAGTCAATAATTAAATATTGTTAAATACGATAGTTTACAAAAATAGTTATTAATTAATTAATCAACTGAAATTTTGTAATATGTTAGATAAATTTTAAAATATAATTTTCTAAGATTATCTAAAACAATAGAATAGCTTTAGCTTTTGTTTGGAAAAATGATCAAAATTTTAATGACGATTACAACCAGAAAGTGATAACTAAGTACGGAAAATTATATTCTCCTATGCACGTAACCTTAACCATAAGGGAACAATGGTTAGTCACTATTCCAATTATTTCAACTTTAAATCTAGAAAAAAGAAAAGAAAAGAAAATTACCTCTTCAGGTTTGTTCCCCGCCATAATGTAGAAAGCACAAGCTAATACTTAATTCACAATAAATAATTTAGAAAACAGACACCTAAGTTTGGGTCCGCGACCCAATCTTCCCACTCCACAATGCTTAAAGGTTCTCCAGAGAACTGATTCCTGAAACCTCCCTAATAGGCCATCAAGAAAGTTATCTGTAAATCCTTTTATCAGTTCATTAAATAAAAATTTATTGTACGAAATATTCGGGACCGATTTTTCAAATTTAATAATTAAATGTTTAAATTCTCTTTTGAAACAAAAATATATATTGTGAAGTAAGATGATACATTCTCCGCCTACCCCCACCCCACCTACAGCAAAGTATATAGTTGTTTGTAATATGATTGATTATTAATTACTTTATCATTAACAATATTGGATTGGTGTTTGACTATATAACGAATAGTTTATTTATTCATGTTGATTTTTCAAAGACATTAGTAACCATGGTGTTGTGACCAGTATAAGTAATAGACAAAAAATTTGCTTCTAAAAGATTAAAACATATTTTCGACTTTTAATAATAAAAATTTTTAGAATCAGGCTTTATTTAATTGTTTTATACTGCCATAAACAAAATCCGTAAATTTAAAATATTACTTCTTTTTATTTCAACCAATTGCTGAAATGTAACAAGCCAATTATTCATTCTTGATTTTTACTTTCACTTACCTATATATGTAATATATATTAAGGGTAAGTATTGCGATCGTGAAAATTTTCGAGGTGAAAATTTTCAGTCCAAATAACCAAGTCCCAAAAAATGGTCTGCGTGTCTGTAAGTATATGTGAACACTAGCTCGAAAACGAAAAGTTGAACGAAACCGATATTATGTATTTAAGATAAGTATATGCTTTAGATGTCCTGGCAACTTTTTCCTTAAAATCGGACAACCGGAAGTGCCTCTTAATATCAACGCTGAAACACATTTTTACAATTAGCTCAAAAATGGCTCTAACAATTTTGAATAAACTTGGTGTATCATTTTATAATTAACTGGTCTTTAATTTCAATTAGATCTTTGATGTCACTTTACAGGGCTTAAATGCCCGTTGTCCATATTCATCTTCCCAGTCTCTACAGCCGAAAATTCCAGATTTATCTAAACTTTTTTTTTCATGTATTACTACTAAACACTGCATAAAAGCGAAAAACGTATTCTTTAAGAAATTTAAAAACGTCAAATTGTGAGTTGAACGAGTACCTAAACTTAATAATTTTATTAAGTGATATGGTCGATAACCACGGTCAATGAACGCTAATTTTCACTGACATTGTCAAAATCTGAGAAAGATTACTATAAATGGCCCTGCAGCTTGGAAATGAGTTCTCTAAGAAAAAAAAAAACTCAGAATAATTTCCGATTCCGATCATATTGGAGGCCAAATAATTAGTACATTTCTTCATGAAAACGTTCCCAACAGCTGCCAGTTTAATAACAGAACAATACGTTCTATTATAGTTGCTGAAGGTTGCAATGCGTTCAGATCTATTGAAACTGAGTAAAAACGGGGTCCGGAAGACGGACCTTTCGAATAAAAGGTGTTTAAAAAGAACAATTTTTTTAAAATAAATTTTCCTCCATCATGTATTTCACCTGCTAGACTCAGTTCGGAGTCAATAGGAAAAAACTGCGGAAGGAGCAAAAGCCTTCGTATCCCACGGCGCCCCAAAAACTACATCACTCTTTTCTTTAGATAGATGTTTTTCTGGATCTTTTTTTGGAATTATTTTTCAATACCCAGAGGGGGCCGCTTCCCTAAAATAAATCACTAGTGCTCGTCACGATAGTAACTTTTTTTTTACATTACACTAGCTTTACCCGGCCACACGCTGCTGTGGCTAAGTCTGACAAAATGAAAAAGAAAGAAAATAGAAAGCACATATGAGTAGATTAGTAGCAAAGAACATCTGTCATTTTTAAAAAGTTGGGAAACAAATTTGTCTGTAAAATGGCTTCAATGTAAACTAATTCTAATGATTTTTTTTCTCATGATTCAAATTGAACATTCATAATCATCTGAGTGAATACGCCGTCATTCATAATCATCAGGAACAGTCTGAGTTGAACTTATAAAACTAAAATAAAAAATTAATATAAAGAACGTATAATAGTATTGACATACATAAGTAGAATCATATAACTTCCTCAAATGATAATTTCAATTACTGTAGTAATTATAAAATTTTCGATTAATCAATAAAAATTTTTTTAAAAAATGCTTGCCTACCTTCGGTAGTGAGGAAGCAAAAGGAAATGGCCTTTTCTGAATAGAAAGCAGTGAATGTTTAAAACTCTATAACTGTGCAACGAACCGTCCGATTTCGATGATTTTTTTTTTTTATTTTGTCAGCAATTCAGAAATCTGTCATATAAATATGAGTATAATCCGGCAAAAATTCTCTACTTTTTTTAGTTATCGTCAAATAAAATATTGAATTCATCGTAACATTTTTCAGCTTGTTTTCGGGAAAGTATGTTATACACATAAATTAAAAGAGTTTCAAGGGGAAGACTTTCGCCAAGTTTCGTTAAAATCGGTAAAGCCGTTTTGGCGCTACAGTTTATAGCGACAGACTTTTTTTGCGGCTTGGAACAGAATAACATTTACATTTTTATTTTATTTTTTTACATATATAAAATTATCGTTAGACAGAAGTACTATGCCAGAAACTTTCCCAGGAGTGTACGGAACAACTTCCCAAAGTTTCATGGCGATCGGATGAATGGTTTAGTAATGCACAAAGGACAAACAGACAGACAGACATACATTCACTTTTATATATATAGATTAGAAAATTCGTCTCTGAGGGTAAATTTTTCCTATATTTCTCCGTTGTTTTTTTTCACCATCCAAGGGAGGTGCCCTCTGGCAGATTTCGCTAGTGCTGGTCACGATAGTAATTTTTTTTTATTAGCAAATTCGTGTATGAACATGAATTTTCCCTATATTGTTTTTTTTTTTTTTAAATAAATGTTTTTGACACTTTTTTTCGGAATTTTTGTTACCGTCCAAGGGAGGGCGCGCCCCTCGCAGATTTCGCTTGTGGCGGTCACGATAGTAATGTTTTTTTATATTACATTAGGAAATTCGTGAATGGAGATGAATTTTCCCTACATTTCTCTTTTCTTTAAATAGCTGCTTTTGTCACTTTTTTCGATTTTTTTTTTCACCATCTAAGGGAGGACATGGCCCCTGGAAGAATTCACTTATGCTGTTCACGATAATATTTTTTTTTATATTATATTAGGAAATTCAACTCTATTTCTCTTATATTTAAGTACCTGTTTTTTGGAACTTTTTTTAGATTTTTTGTCCAGTCTCGAGGTGAGAGCGCGCAACCTTCGGCTGGATCCGCTAGTGCTTCTTCCTCTAAAGTACCTTGAATAAGGTTCATTTCAAAAAATTAATTATCTCTCATTATTAAAAGTTACGAAAAAATGCTAAAAATAACTTTTGAAATAATTTGATAAATCAATAAAGGAGAAAAAAATAAAATGCATATCCGGGTCGAAAATGAATCTCCGACAATACTTGTCAGTAGGTATGCGTATAATATATCGTTGGAAAGCGGAGAATTTTAGAAAAAAAAACAATATCTAATATAGGAAGTTGTAGAAGGTATTGGAGAGTGGTGAATTTTATAATTTTTGAAAACTAATAATATTTAATCTAATAATAATAAATCACATGTTTTTAAGGAAATTTACTAACTAAATGTAAACTTTAAAAAATATTTTTAAGTTTGTAAAATGTATTTAAAATCCACCTAATCAAGGCAATGGCATTGTTAAAAAAACTATTTCATTGTACTTGTGTGAAAGAAGAAGTAAAATATAAAATCATTTCATGGATGTATAAAGCATATGTTTATAACCTTAAATACATTCACTGTAGTTTAGTGATTACATATCTGATATTATGTTTAAAAAGTAAGGTATCAACGTTTAGAAAATTAAATTAGTGAATTATTTGATTAATTTTCCCTTTGTGAAATCCCAACATTATCATATCTTCCTCTAAAGTACTTTTAATTTGGTTTATTATAAGTAATAACTATTTATCATTGTTAGGAGTTATGGAAAATGCTAAATATAACTTTTGGAAGAATTTGATAATTAAATAAAAGAGAAAAAAAGAAAAATACTTATCCAGGTAGAAAATGAATATTCGGAAATAATAGTCTATATATCAAAAGGTATATCTATAATGTATCGTTGGAAAGTGGAGAATTAAAAAAAAAAACAAATATATAATATAGAAAGTGGTAGAAGTTAACGGAGAGTGACGAAAAGTATATATATAATCTCTAAAAACTAGCAATATTTAACGTAAATCAGGTGTTTTCAAGGAAAATAAATTAAATTTTCTTATTAAATGTACACTTAATTTTTTTTTTTTAAGTTTTAAAAAGTATTTGAAATCTAACGATTCAAGACAATGACATTGTGTAAGATACTATTTCATTGTTCTTGTGTGAAAGAAGAATTCAAATAAAAAAATATTTCATCGATACGTTTATATCCTAAAATATATTTACTGTAGATTAATAACTCTAGATCTGACATTCAGAGTTATTTTTTTGACACCATATTTTTTTGTATATCTAGTACATTTGAAAGAATTTAACGACAGTTTTTATAAAACAAAAAAAAAAAATGTATAGCACAGTTACGAACATATCTCCCTCATGTAAAATCCGTTCAAAAACGAATCCGCATACAACATCCGCCTTAACATGTTTCCACTTACGTGTCGTATTGGAGTAACCATAGGACGTTAACCATCAGTTCATTACCGATTACTGTTTTTAAGTACTGTTACTTCAAAAATATTCATAAATGAGGAATATACTGGTTTTTACTATTGTACTGCAGAAACCAGAAAGTCCAGTAGACAAGGCGAAAAGACACATTTTCATTTAACTCGTTATTACCTCACCTTAGGTAATAAACGTGGCTTTGACTCTGGAGGAAGTTGGACGTGGAACAAGAAAATATACTTGTAATTTCGTTATAATGTGCCTTATAAGAAGTTCTCCTATTCTAAGAAAGTTAAAAGAAATAAAACGTAGCCTGGTACACAATTAAACTTATTAAATTCAAAAAGGGTTTTCTTGAGCAAATCAGAAGTCTAAAACTTTAAGCCCGTGAAGGATATCCTGGTTTGGTGGCTATGAAGAAAAAATTATACTCGAAGATATGGCAACCAAGTATTGACGATGCTGTCGAGAATGTAAAGTCAAGTGATAGGAACTATTTTATCAACAGAGCCTACATCGCGACGAAAAATGGCTGAAGCACCATGAATGCATAATGCAGATTAAATTCATCCCCTTCCTTCATGTGATTATTTGTTGGTGACCACATATTACACAGAGAGATTTCAGGTGGGACAACTGCAGTAGGTTGACTTCTGAGACTGAAAGCCTTTTTGGTTGGAACATTATGAATTAGGTTCTCTTACATGATGTTTTCCAGAAAATGCGTGTTAGTCTGCATTTTATAGACTTTTATCCTTTATTTTTTGCTTCCTCACTACCGAAGTATTTTGTGTTCGTGCGAGAGGTTAAAAAAAAATGTGCTCAAGATCGAAAATTTCCACTCGCGTTTGACATTTCAGACATCAAGTATCAAATTTGATTCGGTGTCTGTATGTCGTTCTGTCTGTAGTCAAATCTATGTGACGGGCATATTACCTAGGACTGTCCATCCGATTTTCATGAAATTTTCAGATTGTGCAGTAATGGTCCCGTATCAATTTTATCAAATTCCATTCAGCATTTCCGCCTACGCACGCGTATTTTTTTAGATATGCCAATATTTCAGAAAGGGCTCCTTTAATTTGGCTCAAAGTTGGATAAAAGGTAGGTAATGTTGAAAACAAAACGTAATTTCAATTGAATTCTGTCTACTAATTTCATTTATATATGCGCAAACCTGTTTTTCTAGATACGTCTATATCTCTAAAACCGCATGTTTGATATGGCTCAAATTTGGAACGAATTGAAGGTATAAATTGTATAAAATTCTATCCACTACTCCTAAAAAAATAATTTTGCTTTCGGATCAGTAAACGTATTATTTGGCCCAAATTTGGAGAATAGTATAGAAATTACCTGGTATAAATTTCATTGAATTCCATTTAATTATTAAAATTAATATAAATAATTGTTAACAATATAATGGCAGTAAAATGTGAAAGGCACTGTGCACTCGTTGGCCCGTTAGGCGACTCCGCCTACTAAATACACTCTTGTCGTGAGACTTCCACAGTAAAATAAATTTATATATATCTGAGGCTTAAAATCCCACATTTCTGTCCTTGTTAATTACTCCAAAGGGATTCGTCGCAGAATAAATTTAAAAAAAAAATTATTATTATTATGTGACTATTACTGATGTAACTTGTTGATTGTAATTCCCTAATGTATTGTGCCTTGAATATTCTCGAGAAACATAACAATACTATATCTATTATCTTTTATACTAAAATTGATATAACATCTCATATTTTTTTTTCTTAACCCCAATAATATAATACAAAATGAACAATTTATTTTGTGATAAACGCCTTTTACTGTAACTGTTACATTTTAAGGCCTTATTGAAATTGTCTTTATATTTTGTTGTAACAATAATAATAATGTTGTAACATCTCAAATAGATGCATATTTATAATATAAGTGAGGGAAGTAATAGTATTTTTCGGGAGAGACGTGCGCCTTCGACGTTGAGGGAGATGGGCATCCTTGATTGACACTGAAGTTAATTCCAAGAAAATAACATGCTTTAAAATACGAAACGTCTTCTGATTAAATTCAATTTTTTTTTTTTTTTTTTTATTGGTATAAATTACAAAAGGGCAAGTAGTAAATATTTTTAAATTTGAAATAAATAGAATTTTTATAACTAAAATAAAAAAAACTGCGAAAAATAGACATTTAAATTTTCTTGACACTTAAGAAGTTTCTTTTAATAATATAAACTTAAAAACAATGAAAATAAACTAACTGAAAATATTTTAAAATGAAGGATCATTCTATTTACAAACTTATGTCTTATACACATGACTAAATAATTCTCTGTTACAATTAAGTGGATGGCAAATGCTCAGGTTACACAATATTTTCGATTTTTCTTTTTAACTCCAACATGATCAACATTGCTATTTTTTAAAAATATATGCTATATTTATAAATTTAATTTTATACGGAGGATGAGAATACCGATGCAATAAAAGTTGCTAACTGAGCTGAGCTCCACTACGCAGTCGATTGCCGACACACTGCTGCTATGCTCAGCTTAAGTGTTTAGTGTGGCTTTAGCCCTATCTTTCTGGTCCATCGTTTGGACCTAACGGCTGAATAATTTCAGCATATGCCTTTGCAAACAAAACGTTTCATCGCACACTCCAACGAACGGAGCCATGCTTTTATTATGCACGGGGAGCTCCTGGTCTGGTGGAAAAATGTCTCTTTTCATTATTACTTTCTACACTTCGGATTCATTAAATAAACCGCTATCTCCCTGTTGTCTGTAGGAGCCAACTTCTATGACTTTTTCGCTGATAACATCTTTATATGTTTTCAATCAATATTGATATATAAGTTTGGGGAAGTCTTATGTACTGCGAAAGAGCATTCTTGATGTGGCGGAAGCAATAGTAAAGGCAGTTTGGCAAATTTTTGCACATTGCTTCTAATGTCTGTCTAACTATAAGAATCACGTAGCTTGGTGATATGCAAAAAGCATAACCAAAACAACTTTCCTCTGTCATTAGGAATCTGTAAAAAAACAAAACAATAATTATGATTAATGTATGAAATAGAAATCATAAACATTATAATAATTATCCTACTTAATAATTTATTTCTGTTCCAGATAACCAATGTAAGGAAAGGTGGAAGGAAATTCGTGAAAGGACTGTAGTTTAGAAATTATAGATCTGATATGTTTAAATAATTAGGTAACAACGTTTAGAAAATTAAATTAGTGAATTATTTGATGAATTTACCCTTTGTGAAATCCCATTATCATGTCTTCCTCTAAAGTACTATTAATTGGGTTTATTATAAATAATAACTATTTATCATTGTTAGGAGTCATGGAAAATGCTAAATATAACTTATGGATTTGCCGCAAGGCATGAATAGGGTCAAAATTGACATTTTAACTAATGCAACTGAACTTAGAAAAGTTATTTATTTGTAAAGAGATTCTATACTATGTTCCTATTATTGTGAAATTTTTTTAATGAAGTTTTATACTTTCCTATTTCTATCTAGAAACATTATAAAAATAATTAAGCTGTTAAAATCTTTGTACAAAATAAATAAGTGAAGTTAAGAAGCACGGAGTTCTTCGTCCATCACTCGTTTTATTCATAGAATTTCACTGTATTCAAAAGAAATAAGAACTAAAATTAATAAAAGCATGATATAGCTTTTGTTGAATCACCAAAAGTGACTCACAATGTCACTTAAAGTTCAACTGGACCCTGATTTACTTTTGTAATAGTTTCAACTGTGATGTTGTATCATACTCAAAACAAAATCGAATTGAGATAGGATAAGATAGGTATTCAATCCTATTCCTTTGTCGAGCATCAAATGGATAGTTATCAATTTTGTATAAAATCCTTCCAGCTTTCTTGTTTAGAATATATTGCTGAAACTCCGCCTGTTTAATAACAAAACTTTCTCTTGTTCTAACAAAAAAGCGATAACCATTATATTTTAAGAATTCTTGAAGCTTATGACAACGATGAGTAGTTTCAGAGAAATAACTTCACAATAGCAGTCGGTAGTCATGGATGGCAGTGGCACGGCGCTACCGTAGGCAGTACCAGCGAAATGGTAAGTTTTGTACACTTGGAAATCATTAGCCACCTTGCCCAGATTTCTCAATCTAGTTTTTTGGTTTCTGAGTAGTCTTTTACCTACTATTGAAGCATCCCTTGTTAACAGGCTTTCTGATAGATTGGTTTGTGCTACATCCTCCGCCTATCTTAGTCTCCTTATCTCCATATCATGAAATATTAATAGACCAGTTTCTGCGAGCAATTCTTTATTGATCCTTCTCCATGTGTTAATTACTCTTATTCCAAAACGCTCCCCGCAGCATTAATTAGAGAATTTAATAATAGTACAAATAACTTAGTTTTCGAAGTTTTTCTATGGGAAATCGGCTACCGCGAAACTAACATTTACCCTCTGTCCCTTGATAGCAGTGATAATATTCAGATAGGCTTACCACTGAGTTAAATTGAATTATAGTTACAGATCAAGCACATTACCTAACACATTACTCACCTCGACTTCAGTGCCGGCCTTAGACATTCGTCGACATCCCCTTCTCCCCGGACAGACGTCATCCCCAGAAAAAAATTGAATTTATTTGTCATGCTTTGGTGTACGGAACTGGAGAGCTGCAGCAGAAGACAGAGCCAACTGGCGGAGGCTCTTGGAGGAGGCCCAGTCTCGGTAACGGGATGTCCTGCCACACATGATGATGATGATGATGTCATGCTTTTACATATTATGTGGAATATTTGAATTTTATTTCATTCAACATTTCCCTAGCACATTCGCTTTATTAACAGGCTAAAATTAATTAATTTAATACATTTTGTATTTTGTTTTTAATTTCTAAAAAGTTGTGAGCGCCCCACAATCCAGATCGGCGCCCGGATTTTAGAGTTCTAATGAAGGTACTGCTCCATTTGACAACAAAAATTAAAACTTCCAGTATGACTTCAGAAACCTCAATGTATATTTGCACAAGATCAACAAGGAAGGTTATCACAATCAGGTTTTGTTTTCATTTATCTTATAAATGAAATGTTTGAGGCAAGATTACATCAGAGCTCATTCTTACTTAAAATTTTGGAAGCCATTAAAGAATTATTGAATGAAGCAACATTTCAATGTACACAAAATGGAATCCAGTTACAAGCTATGGATACTTCCCATGTCAGCCTAATATCTCTATTTTTAAGCCAAGGTGGTTTTGACAACTATAAATGTGATCGAAACATTTCCTTGGGCATTAACCTTTCTAGGTACAGATTATTATTTTACTAATATCACAATCATCCCTTAAACAAGTTGATAATTAAACAATAAAATTAATTTTGAATTAGAGAAATGTTATTATATCCGCTTCAAACTGTGGTTGCTTATTAGTAGGTTTTAAATGAACTTTATTTTTTAAACCCCACACACAAAATCGTAAAATCTCCATTTTATTTAAATCTACCACACTTGGTTAGTGCTGTTGAACATGCATTAATAAATTCCTATATGTCCCAAATTTTATTTGATAAGCCTGTTTACTATTTGGTCTATTAAATTGAAATTCCTATTGATTAATTGATTAATTTGTCTAAAAAGATGATAATTATTTTATAGTATGCTAAAAATAATGAAGTGTGCAGGAAGCGATGATATATTAACCATAAAAAACCATGAGGAACCAGACAGTATCACATTTATTTTCGAATCACAGAGTTATGATAAAGTATCTAATTATCAACTGAGATTAATGAATTTAGAACATGAACATCTTGATATACCTGTAAGTTGAGAGAGTAGGAAGAATTCATACTTAAATTTTAGAAATGGTTGAAATTTCCAGCAATTCAAATTTTAGGAAACTGATTATGCTTGTGTTATGAAAATGCCTTCGAGTGAGTTTGCACGTATTTTCAAAATGTTACTGCAATTTGGAGAAACGGTCGAGATATCATGTTCAAAAGAAGGTGTTAAATTTTCTACCTCTGGAGATCTAGGATCAGGTGATTAATGATATATTTCCTAAAAATATTATTACTAGATATTTAATACTTTTTATTACTGAAATTTTAGCTAACATAAAATTAGCTCCAAACAACACCACAGATTCAGATAAAGCAGTATTTATTGAAATTCAAGAACCTGTTGTGGCTACATTTGCGATCCGCTATCTTACTTTATTTGCCAAAGCAACACCTCTAGCTTTGAGGGTAAGGCATATTTAAAGTTAAATTTTATTACAATTTTTACAAAGTGTTACAGCAAAACATATGATAAATCAGGTACAACTGTCATTGATGCCAGATTCGCCACTGCTAGTGGAATATCAAATAGGAGATAAAGGACATTTGAAGTATTACTTAGCTCCTAAAGTTGATGACTAAAACCCAAGAATAAACCAAAAATTCAGAAGTTACCATTTAAATCATTTTTGACATGTATGATAGTTATTGTTATGTGAATAATTTGTGATAAGTAATTGTTGTGCCTAGTTGTCAAAAGATCTCATGGAAAAATATAAGCAAGACATGAAAGACACCATAATGGTGGTTTGAAGCACTGCTTTATAATTACTACCTATGTACAAGAATTTAATACTTAAATAAATTTTTAATGTAAATAAAATATATTGTTTATATTCTATCACTATTAAAATTCATTGACCTTTCTCATTACTTTATTCATTTTAATTGATTAAATTCAAGCACAAATGGCCTTCAAACTATAAAAAATAAAATAAAGTCAAAGCTCTTAAATTTAAATTAATAGTAATATGGGATTAGATCTAACTTATAGAATAATGCAAAGGTAGCTTTAAAATAAAGGTAAAACATCCCCTTCAATAAATACTTTAATTCATAATTCAGGAGGAAATTAAAATGCTTATAAGGGATTATAATCTTGGAATGCATATGAGTATCCATAAATGTTCATAACCAAATAGTTTACATTTATTATATAGAACTAATCATAGATTTGTTATCAAATGAAATAACTCAGGAGTACAAAATGTTTTTTAATGGATTATAATCTTGAGATGCATATAATGGTCATTCATAAACGATTACAAACAAACAATTCCATAAAAAAAAATCTACACTCATTATATATACTTGATCATAGTCATTTAAAGAAAGATATGTTGACATTATTTTGTATAGAGAATACATCATATTTACCTGAGTTCAAATGGCAATTAATGCACTAAGAAACTGACAGAAGTTTTAAGTAATTATTGTAACTTATTTGCTTATAAAGACTTCACGTTTTGGTGAAGTATTCAACAAGATTTCAGCTAATTTCTAATCCGTGAACTAAGGCGGGAAGGGTACAGAATTACAAGGAAGTAGAAGCTATCCGATACGTGAAAAGATTTTTGAGTGCTTGAGACCAGTACATTCAAGATCTTTAAAAGAGATTCGCTCACTCAGAGGGAATATGGTGTGGAGGAATCGAGCTCTGGCGTAACGACTAGACCGATAATAACCTTCCGGCTCTTGTTTCTTCTAGTCGTCGGTTCTTATGGCCCTTGCCGCCTTCTCCAAGGTCATGTTAAAAAGGGGAGTAGCCTTGGTGTCTCCTTGCATTATTCTCGAAACCACAGAGAACTCCTCAGACAGTAATCCTTGTAGTTTCACTCTGCATCTGGTATCTGCCATAGTCATTTTTACTAAGCGAGTGAACTTCTTAGACACATCCTGAGAGAGAAGATCTCTCATCAAAACCTGACTACCTACTGAGTCGTATCCCTGCTGGAAATCAATGTAGAGGTGATGCAGGTCGACGTTGTATTTCAGTGACTTCTCTAGCTGATAAATAGTCGATCTACTCTTCCTGAAGCCACATTGATATAAGCTATGCCAAGCAGTGCTATGCCTCGATAGTTCCTGCACTCTAGCTTGTTTCCCTTCTTATAGATTGGACATAGGACCGACACTTTCCACTCATCTGGGACCTCTTCTTTTATCCATATATCATAAATAAGTTTATGAAGCTCATCCCAAACTTCATATCTACCATATTTGAAAAGTTCACCCTGGATTCCGTCTATACCTGACGCCTAATTCTTCAGACCCTGCACAATTTCCATTATTTCCTCTTTGTCGGTGGGGACGTCGTCGTCGGTCAGTACCTCGAAGTCAAGGTCTACTTCTATTTCATTAAGCCTTTCTGCGTTTTCTGTCCTGCCCCGGTTAAGCAGCTTCCGGAAATGCTCCACCAATCTGCCAATAACTGCTTCCTTGCAAACCACAAGGTTCTACTCTTTGTCTTTAGCAAAATTGAGACGAGGTTTATATCCATCCTTAATTTCTCTTACTCCTCTGAAGAAACTCCTGGAGTCCTGTGCATCGAAGTTCTCTTGTATTGCTCCTAATTTTCTCTTGCCAGATAACCTTTTCTTCTGAAAGCATGTCTTTTTGAGTATCACATACCTACCCAAACATATTGCCATTGATACCATTTCAATAATATTGAATGAGATTTAATACAAAAAAAAAAAAAAAAAAAAAATGGTATCAATCAGTTTTATGTACATCAATATAATTGATGCCAATGTAGCCCTTACAGAGTCAATATATTGACGAAACTCAATATTGGCCGAAAAATAATATAAAATATAATAAAAAATTTGTAATATGTAATATAAAATTATAGGGATGAAAAAAATAATCAGGAGTCAAAATTTCTTTAAATAAACAAATTTTTACTGCAAATTCTGACAATTATTTTCATCCTTATAATATCGTTAAAAGAAATAATTATTTCTACAAACAAAGTTTTAAAAAAATTGTGGTACAATGCTGTTTTATTCTATGTAATGCTGTCTCTAAATATGTATAGATATTCGACTTTTCTGTTTATGTAATATATTTGTAGATTTTTTACAGTATATGACTTTTAAATTAAGAATTTAAAAATAATCTTAATTTCAATTTCGATCTTTTCGTTTCAGGTATAGCCAGTAATTTTCATAGCATTTTATTCTACATTGCTAGTTGTATTTTTTTATTTATCTACTAGAAATTATCTTCAATCAAAACTCAAAAACACAGAAAAGTATTTTTTTTCAATAAATTTAACAAATGTACAATAATGTTGAAATAAACCTTCATTGATAGCCTTGAAAGAGTAATAGGTAGGCCTGGCGGTCTAGTCCTTACGTCACGTTTCAAGTCCCCACCACCACGCATTTCTTAGTGACCTAATCTGGTAGATTTGTAGACCTTGAGTGGATTAAGCGAGACTTGGCCGTCACTGAAGTTACTTTTTCCGTAGAGAAGTAACCTCTAGTCGCCTCTGCGAGTGCGATGAGGATGAACTGAATGCGGAGCATATACCGCAAACTAGCAGGATCTACTCCCAGCAAAGGAGAGTGATCTGCCCTTTTCCAATTGAAGTGGAAAGAAACCTATACTGAAGCCTGGAGGACTACTGAATTCTTCATTTTAGTTCCTGACCTGGCCATATAAGGAAGAAGAAGAAGAAGGAGAATACTTTCCTTCATTCTATTTTAAATTCCTGATTTATTAAATAAATTTTACTTTTTAAATTTAAAATATAGACAGAAATTGAATATTCATACTTACAGGAGCAACACAGCATACATAAATGAGATAACCAAAGAGCACATAAATAAACTTCAAAAAACATTCCTTGGAAACCATTCACTAAAAGGACCTCTGTGAACGACGTTTGCTCAAAGAATTGGAACATTCGTGAATTCATTGTTTGAGGAGGTTTATTCTTAATAAAATGAAAGCCAAAGGAGAGGTTTGTACTTTTTATTACACGATTTTGATATTTTATATTATACATTTATATTTCCTCATGTTTTTACTATAATACCAAAAGCTCCTTACTGAAAAGTGCGTAATACAGTCTAGGTTATATTACTTGCTTGACAAATTTCAAGATTAGGAAGTTAATTCTCTTTGATTAATATTAGAATTCTGGTTCTAATATAATTTTAAAAAAAACGGTTAATTAATTCTAATATATCATGATGCATTTGTTATCTTCATGATCATTTCGTTTTGGCAGATTAGTTATGGAATGCTATTATTTTTGTTTTATTTAAACTTTGAAACTAAAATCTAACAAACCTTGAAAAATTCATTATAAGAATTTTTGTTTATAATTATTAAGCCTAATATTTCTGTTTCAGCTCAAGGAATTTGAAGTGATTGGAAGGAAACTTCCAACAGAAAAGGAAACCAATTTACCTCTTTACAAAATGAGGATATTTGCCCCTGATAGGATTGTTGCAAAATCTAGGTTTTGGTACTTTCTTAGGCAGCTAAAGAAATTCAAAAAAAGCACTGGTGAAATTGTTTCTTTAAAGGAGGTAATTTAACTTCTGTAAATTACATTTAATTTTAATGGAGTTTTGATAGTATTAGGAGTATAACATAAGATTTGAATTAAGGTACTATTTTGCTGGAATTGTACACAGCAGCGATCACTGTTCCTTACTGCCAATTCAAATCAGTACTTCATTTAAAAAACCTGGTGCGGTGCTCGCATAAGAGTACTTTCACTCACCACCCTCTTACCAGAAATCATTATTTTCAAACAAAGAGGAAGTCAAAGTTAAAATTGTAGATGCTATATTTATTTATATTTGATTGTGGATACTTTTATTTGTTTGTGTACAAATGTTGATTTTTATATCGCTGTAATCTATACAATTAAATTTTAAATAATACCAACGATGCCCTGTATAAAATCTGCATATATTTATGTACATAATATTGTCAGAGTCAATTTTGTCAATTAAATTTTCAAGATCATAATACTTTCCTTTACTATATATTTCATATGTAGGGAAGTGAACCATGGCCAAACGGGCTAACGCGTGTTCACAGCACCGCTTTTGCTCGACAACCTGATATATTTTAGACAATTTATTAAAAATAGTCCCGAGTTAGCGTCTTTTAAATCCTTACCCTCAACCCCCCTCCCCCCCCCCCCCCCCCCGGCCCGGGAAAACCCCATATAGCTAAAGACGAGCAAGGGAGGAACCAAATAAACCAGTAATCTATTTTTAAAAGTGTGACTTTAAAATTTAAATCCTAATTATGCTTTGAAAGTATCAAATTTGGTATACAGGTATGCCAAGATTAAAATATTTATAGAATGCTGAATCTAGCTGACTTGTCTGAAAGCTTATCGATACGACCAATCTTCTAATTATTAATATACTGAACAGACGTATCCCAAAGGCTGAGGTTGTGTTATATGAATGAATGAAAATAATTTTATTATTCTGGGACTAGTGTCCCTTTAGAACAAGTTACAAATACAGAATATATATTAATGTTTTGGTGTGTCCATAAAATACAGTTTAATATATATATGGAGAGAAAAAAGCAATTTTTATCATTAAGCAAAATAACTAGATATAACTTAATCATTAAACACTATACAATAACTAGAATAGTAATAATAATGAAACTTAGATTTCAATTAAATAATAGTAATCAAATTATTGTAATAGTAATAGCAATAATTGCACAGTTAAAACAGTATCTAAAAATCAATGGGCAAGGTTATACAAAAATCATTAGTGAATTCTATAAATTAATTTGTATAAACTTGAAGCTTACAAATGTTTTAACTTCATAAGACGTCGCATGTGTCTACTACTCATTAATAGCAGTTTTCATTTTACAAATATTGTTAGAAGTTTCAAATTATATTTTGATCTTTGGTATTCAGGAAGATTGATAATAGATGATTTAAACAATATATGGACCATTCTTCTATAATGTATTAATCTGAATACTTAGAAATCTTGAATTATGTTTATTTAATGAAATAAAAAATATTTTTAAAAAATGTTTCTGTATTATTAGAAGGCACTAGCATGTGACATAAATTCATCTAGGTGAGAAGGAAAAATTCATATTCTGTTTGTAAGCGATTCTTTCATTTCATAGTTAATACAAAATCAATTTGAAAATAACATTTTTTTACTTCAAATTTAGCTCAATGAATGAACTACTGCTTATGATTTTATCATTGGGTTTGACACTAGATATATATCAAGAAACTTTTAGACTATTAGACACAAGTTCGTCTCAAACAAACTTCCGTTCATAAGGATTTGGTCATCTTATAGAATTTGTGTTAATGGGCTAGTTTTACTCTAAACTATGTAACTCCGTAACTATTTTTGGAAAAGCTTATAAAGCAAGTAAATCAATTTAAACTTTTAAGTTTTCTTATTTAACATTTATTTGATTATTGCCTCCTTCTTATCTATTTACATTAATTTAATAAAAATTAATTTTACATTTTTGTTTGCTAGATTCCTGAGAAATCCCCAACTAAGATTAAGAATTTTGGAATCTGGCTTCGTTATGACTCAAGGTCTGGTACACACAACATGTACCGTGAATATAGGGACTTAACTGTTGGGGGAGCTGTAACTCAGTGCTATAGGGACATGGGAGCTAGGCACAGAGCTCGAGCTCATTCTATTCAGGTAAATATTATAAATTATATGTAATTTGTTGTCCTTACCTTTGCATTATATGGATGGGAATTGTTAGAATATATAAAACAAATATATTTTTCTTGGTAAGAAGCTTAGTATTAAGAAAAATACATGTCCTTTATTTTTTAGTTATATACCGTGAGAGTTTCTAGGACACTTTCAGAAATAATGTCAGTAGCTATTTGCCATGAAAGGGTCCCTGATTATTGGGTTCAAACATTGAGGATAAACTTTATAATTAATTACTGAATCTTGATTATTTATCACGTATGATATTAAATATCACAGTTACCTTATTGCATTATATCATTATAGTCATATTAATTACTGTCAATAATTTATACTATGTATTCTATCCTTAAAACACAACATTTTTTTCTTATAAACTATTTACTACTCCTAATTCCTTTCTGGGATTCATAGTTTCAAATTTGTGACCTTTCTAAAATAAATTATTCAATTCTACTTACAAATGATTCCAGCAGAATTAAAAAAGTTGAATCACAGATTGTTAAGTTCCAATTTTAATGTTAAGAGTTCTAGTTTACTGTACTGATTTTTATTTTCAGATAATCAAAGTTGAAATTGTGAAAGCTGCTAACTGCAGGAGACCATTGGTGAAGCAGTTCCACGATTCGAAAATAAAGTTCCCGCTTCCAAAACGAATACAACATAAGAATCAACTACCCAAGTTTTCGACTAGAAAACCCAGGACATATTTCTTATAATTTTTGTAAGATTTTAATAAAATATAAGAAATCTATTCATATTTTATAAATTCCTTGTCTCTGGTTCCTTCAGTTTTCAACTGAGCCTAGAATGAATCTAGTTTTTGCAGTTGATTTGTTTATTGGGTTATATCAGCTTTAGATTGACTTCCTGATTGTAATACCTTCTTCTCATTATCATGAAACAAAACTTCTTTACTAAAATCCCTATTTGGAAGTAGTAGTACAGATATTTTCTTTATTATTTTTTTTCTGCTGCCCTCAGTTAATTATGCTCTAAAGTATATTTTATCTATGTAAGGTAGTGATTGATTCTAATATTTTTTATTATGCCATTCAATTTACACAATTATTACTCAATATACTATGAGTTCATAAAAAATAATTGTTGCGTCGACATTGCCCTTTATTCCTAAATTACTAAACAGTTTATAATTTAATTTGAGAAAAAGTTTCCTAACTTCTTCCATTAGTGCTAGATGAAGACCTAAAGCTTATGACGAAAGGTTGGCTAATAAAATTAAATATTATTATATATTGACTGTACCCCTGACAAACTTCTTTCAAATTATGATCAATCACCTCCATGCCATTAGTTTATAATTAAATTTTTCAGATTATACAGTAGTCGACAAGAGAAAAGTTTTATTAAAAAATATTTTAACAATTTGTCCAGTGTCCCGTGCCATTTTAAAAAATTCTATTTTTGGAAAGAATGCACGGCCAGCTAGGAAATGGCAGAACGGGAAGAGAATGTACAGTTTTTGGTGGTCATGAGGCTATTTTGCCGGGATACAAGCTTTATATTATTTTTATTACGTAAAACTTCAAAATAATACCTAATAATTGTTGAGAACTGCTTAGTAAAGTTCACAAGGTTGATCAGTTGTTAGAACTCGACCATCATTGAATGGACTTAATAAATGACCTGAAAATGTTCTATTTTATAATGTATCGTTATTAAAAAAATATATTGATAAGGAAGAGGTTAAATCTTTGGCATCAGCAAGTTAATTTCATTTACTACTTCTATTATAAGTCTTGTAGCATTTTGAAAAAGAGCTGCTTGATTGTGTACAAACTACTGGCACAAAACATCTAAGCCTTAAAAACTGACTTATTATTGAAGTCATAAAGTAGACATCAAAAATACATCTTTAGAACTAAATTCTCTATTTTATTTCAGCTGAATGCTATGTCACCTGATTAACATTTGCACAATTCTTCCTCCCCCTGGTAAATGGTGTCCCGCTTTTGGGGTCATGGTGTAAATGGGTCACATTATCATAATACAGTCCATTTCTTTATAACTCAAACAAAACTTATAGTTTATTTACTTAACAGGTGGATGAATACATTCTTTTTTTCAATGGCTTTTGGCAAATTCTTTTCCAAGATAAATTCATAATTTCTTAAATTTTTTGTCTAAACTTACTCAATTCATCTGCATTTAATATAACATTGAAAAACCAACATATATCTGCAAAAAACAAGCCATTAAGGAATCTGATTGTTAAAAATCAGATTAATTTTTTCCTGAACAATGCTTTTTAATTACCAACAAATCTAAGTAAAGAGAGAAATATCTTGTATGTCCACTTGCACACCACCTTTCACTACAGTTGCTAAGTTCTGTACAAGAATTGTTTCTTTTTTTTTTAAAGCTTTGTAAACAATTTAATCAACTTTAAAAGGAACACCTCAGATGTATAGTTTTTAAGTTTTAAATCCAAGTTAGGAAAGAACATTTTGACTTGTCGTTCTTTGTAAAACCAAATTAAATTCAATAATTATGGTTGCCATTTATCTATTGGCTCACCTATTTTTTTTTATACGAGGATTATCCAGTTGTTTCTGGACAGTCAGTGCTACAATGAATGTATTTATACAGCAGCGAAAGCAAATTTGGCCATCTTTCTAGCGAATCACTTGGATTAAAGGATACTGACAAATTGGTCTAGACTTATAGATTATGTCTATTCAGGTTTTGTAGGCATAGAAGGACTTATTTCACATGATCAAAGAGGGAAGAGGTTGAGAGAATTGAAGGCTGTATGGCTTCCCGCTTTCAGACACCCAGGTGCATATATTTCAATAACATTGAAAAACTGGGGTCAGCAAGAGGACACACCATCCTAGAGATGAGAAGACTAGCCAGGGACAGAATCTTGGTGGGCAGTATTTTTCCTATCCAAGTACTTATTATACTCTATATAGCTTAACTTTGCTAGGCCTCTTACCTTTACCTATGCCTTAGCCCGCATGGCCTCCATATAAACTACTAACTCACTTAAATCCCTTGACACATAACTTTCTCAACCTTAAAATAGACCAATGACATAATAATTAGGAAAGGAACACTAGAACAAATTATTTGAAAAACAGTAATGAAGTACCACTTTAATTGTAAAAAAATTCAGAAAAATAAACATATTTTGGGTATGTAACTGTTCATTTGAACCTAATGTTGAAAGCTCAGCACCAATAACGTAATAATAAAACAACAAACTTCAACTTTTTGAGATCAGGGCTTAAAATGAAATTATAAATTTTATTTTTAATCAGTTATGGTAGAAATGAAATCTTTAAGTTCAATTATTTTTCTGTTATTTCAGACTTGCAACTTTACATGCAAAGGTTCTACAGAACATTTATTAAAAAAATATATCTATATTTAAGTTCCGTGAAATAATTCCTTTCAACAAAATGTTGATCTAGAAATGGTGAAATTTCAGCTAATAAAACAAAGAACACTTAAAAATTAGATAATCCATTTACGGTAATTTTTATCTGTTATCTGTACTGAATTACTGTTTTTTATCCTCTCATTTAATATAACTTCTTTTTTTTTAACAAATTGGATTTATAAAAGTTAAATGTTTAATATAATCTGAGAATTTCATTACATAAAGTTTATAAGAACTTTTATTTTAAAACTTTTAATTCCTAAAATGTTTAACAGAAACTGGCAAAATGAAACTTAATTAAAAAGTTCCAATCTCTGTATAAGACTAGTTCCATTGCTGACTATAATTTTGACTCCTTGATTTTAAGATTAAGTCATCATAAAAAATAATATAGAATAATTCTGTCAAAATGTTTTTGCTCTCAGGACAAGTCATTAAAACATCATTGTTTTGCAACATAAACATTATATTTCCTGTATTGAAAGAAAACCAATTTATGTTAAAAAAAGTATTTCAATTCTAACAATAAAAAAGTTAACAGTAATAACAACTATATCATAGATGTCTAATGATAGTACAATGATTCCATCAATTCAAATTTGAAAATTTAACAAACATTCAATTTGTAGCACAAAATAACATCTTTTTTATTTAGGAGTTGAATTAAATTTTATGATTAATAATAATATCACTGAAATCTAGTCATATAAAATACAACTAATTTCTCTTAATAATTAAAATAGGTGTAAAGGTTTAACTCTAAATGAGCTGTATAATGTTTCATTTATCTTCACTCAGCTTTGTAACAAACAACTGTATCCATTTTATGTAATGATGTGGAGAATGACCTTAACTGCAGTTCCTGAGAATTAGCAATAAAGCAGGGCCCTGTTTCACCCCACATTTCTGGGACATCAATGTCTGGTAATGTGTAAATCAGGAGGTCAAATGAACCTACAACAGTGGTAAAATGGGTAGTAATTATAAAACTATTCAATCAAAACCAATGTTAATGAATGTAAATGTAAGATTTTGAACTTACAGGGAACTTCCAATAATGGCAAAAAGCTAACAGTTGAACATATTTGCCTTAATACATTTTGGATCTCATTTTGTATAATTTTAATATCCTTGTTACCCAGGACTTCTTCTCCAGCAGAACCTTTTTCACCTTTAGGCTTTTCATACTGCAGTTTAAAATCCCATCTTTCAAGAATTTCCTTGTTTGTTATATTGGTTATTACAAGAGAAAGTTTTTGTATTTTTTCCATGAGTAACCATTCTAGTAAAAACATACAGAATTTAGTAAATAAGAAGTTAATGAATATTCATTAACTAACACAAGTACATTTGACCATCTACATGACATTGGTTAAACTGTCTAACATAACTTCTACAAATATTACAGCAACAAGTGGTTTGAAAGTTTAGCAAGAATTACCTTTAATTTGACTTAAAACTGATTCTAAAAATGAATTAATTTTATCATCTGTAGAAACCAGTATTGTTATACCAAAATGTTGTTCATTTGTAAAACTTTCTGGTGGATAAATACCCCTTTGATAGAGAATACTGTTAATGCCATATTCTGTAACAGAATTAGATTGGATTATGACTAATAAAGACATAGTTCTAATTATCTGAACAATTCTTAAACGTTAACTTGCTTATACAAATAGTCTAATTCCTCGCTTACTTAAATAGTCAACCACCAATTTTGCTGAACCCTTCAATGTAATGGCATTATGTGTTTGTTGAACAGACTCCGACATTTTGCACTTCAGCACTATACTTTTCAAAATAAATTTCTTACCGCTAAAGCCCGGGAGAACTACATCATAGAGGTATACGTTCCTAATTCGATATATTGTCGTTAAAATGGAACATAAAAATTTGTGAAGAGAAGGATAGTTGGGGTGATCAGTCAAAATAAAAAGGGCAAAGGTAAATAATAATATTTATTTTAACATTTTCTATTATTATTATTTATACATAATTTTTTGACTGATCACCCCAACTATCCTTCTCTTCATTATTCACTACAGTCAACCATCAACACACAATAATAAAAATTTGTATTGGTTTACATTTTCACTTCTTATAATCAGATATAATAATTAATTTCACTAAATAAATAATTAATTTCACATATTCATGATTTCAATGCAATATGTGTCATGTTGCAAAATACGTTTCATTGGTAATATTAAGCAGCTTACATGGAAGAGTCCATTCATCTCTTCAAATAATAATTAAATTTAACAGAGGAAAACATAAAAATTAAAATAAAAAAAATAGAACATTCAAATAGCTGTAAGAAAACATGAGTGAAACCGATTCCGAAGAGATAACCAGTTCCCTACAAAGCAAAAGGTGCTTAGACAAAGGTCAAGCCGTGGTACATCGACGATATAGGAAATAAGTAAAAAGGCTCAGCCAAAAATATTTTTTAAAAAGGAAATCAATCACCGGCTTATTTTGTTACAAAGAAACAATCGTTATAAAGCGAATTAAGATAAGGCATAAATGGATCTGTTGTCCTGATGGTATACCTTTATTTCCATTCATTTTCGTGAAAGCAATCACCATACTTCAACTCCCCACGAGGGTAGTCGCCAATATAGACTTCGTTTACGTTTTATTGTTTGTTTTATCAAAAATTCTCTCATATTCACGAGTTCAATCTCCGCTTAATGAAATCCCAATCACATAAAATGAAACAAGAGAATAATAATTTTCTTTCGCCCGCTCTTACACGATGTCCTGAATGCTTTGAAAGTTCGCGCGAAAGTAGGTTCAGGGCATCTTGTGACAGTGTTGCGAATGTAAAGTGACGAACGTTCGTCAAAAGACTCGGCTATAGATGGCTTGAACTTTCAGGACATGTAGTTCACTTCAAAGGCTTAATGACCAATGTTCGCGTAAAGAGCATGTTCCAGCATATGTCGATCTTTTTACGGACATTTAAGATTTTTTTTAAATTTTCGATTGCTATAAAAATTCGTATTTAAAGGTTCAATTAAACCAGCTACAACTAATCCAGAATATATTAGAAGAGGAAAGGATCCTGAGGCTTGGAGTACGGGCCTAACTGTCCTATCCTAAAGAAAGGCTCAATGTATGAGTGTAGTAATTACAGAGGCATAGCACTTCTTCCAGTTGCCTGCAAGATATTGTAACCAATATCCTACTAAACGGCATATATCCGTATTATGAGAATATAATAGGCGAGCACCAAGCTGGATTCAGAAAAAGAAGGAGCAGATTTTCATCCTAAAACAAGTACTCGAAAAACGATGGAAAGTAGCTCAGGACATCCACACCCTATATGTCAATTTCAAAGCAGCCCATAATTCTGTGGACAGAAGCTATCTTTCGAAAATCATGACTGAGCTGGGAATTCCCGGTAAGCTGGTGAAATTGAAAAAGGCGTGCACAAATGATTCCAAATGTAGAGTCATAATACAAGGAGAAGTATCTGAAGCTTTTAAAGTTCGAAAGGGCTTACGGCAGGGAGATGGACTATCACAGATGTTGTTCAAAATAGCCCTAGAAAAGGTAATAAGAGCAACACCGCAGGAAAATGGAGGGGTCCACCGCAGAATGAATCATAAAATCCTTGGATATGCAAATGATATAGCTGTCCTTGGAAGTAATCAAGAAGACATTGAGAAACTCACTACAACACTGATAAGAGAGGCAGATCAGATAGGCCTACAAGTAAATGAAGAGAAAACAAAATATATGATACTAAGCTGAAAATTTCATCCCAATAACAGGATCTGCTTAGAAGGAAAATCATTGCCCAGAGTAGAACAAATTCAATTATCTCGGCACCACAATAACCTCAATGAATGACTAATGGGCAGAAATAGACCAGCATATAACTAGCACAGAGCTTTCTTCTCCCTCTCAAAAATATTGAAATCCCGAAAAATCTCAAACTAAGGTTGTACAATGCTATGATAAAGCCAGTTATAATAAATGGCTGTGAGACCTGGACACTAACAATCACCCTAGATGAAAATCCTCAGCAAAATAACCAGAGTGATCTGGGATCAGAGTACTAACACAAGGAGAAGAAAGACCAATAGAGAACTGCTTACAGAAACTGGTCAATCAATATCCCATATGAAGGGATGGAGATTAAGATGGGCGGGGCATGTAGCTTGTAGCAATCCATCTGGAAGCCTCTATGTAACAATGAATGCCTCAATAGAAAGCAAAATAAAAGGAAAACAAGCATATTTATTTTTGTGTTCAGGAAAAAATAAATAAATTATATTTATTTCTATTTTTGCTGACGTTTCGGCCCAAAGTTCAGGCCTTCATCAGGACTGGTTAGATGGAAGGTCTTCTTGGAAGAAATATTTTTATCGTGGCTTTTTATCTTTTTATTTGTTCAGTAAAAAAAAATTATATTTATTTTTATTTTTCCTAAACTTTGGTCCAAAACGTCGGCAAAAATAAAAATTAATATAATTTAATTATTTTTACATATTCTTTTTTTACTGAACAACCAATCTTCACTTCAATCATTAACTACAGTGCATAAATCCACAATTTTTTGATCTAGTATCAATTAAAAAAGTTGCTTTGAAACAGGTGACCTCATTCATTATCTCTCCTTGGGAAGGTGGGAGATTATCAGTCATAATATAATATAATATAAACCAAAATATAAACCATTAGCTTCAAAAATATATATTTGTCTAATCAAATTTAAAACACGTCACAATAAAATTGAATCACAGGTTGTATTAAGATACACTTTATTTTTTTTTCAATGAACAGAATCACTAAATTAATAGAAGTTTTATGCTACATGTTAAAGCTATTACAACCAAAAAGTAAGATTTTTTATTTATTATTTTTTATATTCAAAACAATTGTTTGAAAAAAAATAATAAATATTCTATCTTCTCTTATTCCATTGTTGCCAATAATCTTGTGTCTGCATTTCAGAAAGTCGTGATACAGTTCTGTCAAATGCAAATATTTCTTCATCACCAGTAAAGATATTTGAAGAAGCATTTTCCTAGAAATAAACAAATCAGTACAAAACCAGACCACTAGTCTTAAATGATAATTTTGATCCACTTACTGATCCTTTAACAATATTGAGGTCATCCATTAAAACACGTTTTTCATCTTCATCATCATCATGTTTCGAATCTTTCAAAAACAATTGATCATGTGGTTTTTCAGCAGAGACCACCACTCTCACCTATAAATAAGAAATTATTATTTTGATCACTAATTTGAATATGTAATTTCACAAAAAAGACTTTTTAATGTATATTGTAAGTAATAAAGGGGAGCTGTGAAGCTCAGTGTGAAAACACTAACTTTCAAAGCTCAAGGTCCCGGGTTTGAATCCGGCTGATGTTACAAGTAATTTTCCATCAGCAGTGGATCAATCCTGGGGTCAAGAGATCCTCCTGGGGCATACCCAGCATATGTAAGGGACCATTTTTTAAATCTACAGCATAATCCTTGCAAGTAGACCAAAAATTCAGAAAAAAAAAATGACACAATGTAACCATTCAGTAAGTACAATATAAATACCTTGTTGTCATAAAAGGTGTCAATAAGAGTTATAAACCTCCTTGTTTCAGACCTCAGTTTTAAGCTGAGTTCAGGTACATCTCTTATTAATACTGTGTGAAATGCTTGTGATAACTGCAAATAATCACTTGCACCTAAGGGCTGAAAAATTAAAAACAGAAATAATTCTAATAAGTTAAATATTATTAATAAAACATCATTTTAAAACTGACTTAATTATATAGTGCAGACAAATGTAAAAAAGAGGATATGTAACCCGAAATTTCATATTTCAATTGATATATTTCTTTCTTTTTCATTGAATGAAAGAAATGGTCACAACAAAATGTTTGGTTCAATTTTTCATCAGTTAAAGATGAATAGTTTGGAACATAACAGTAATGCATGTTCAAAAAAAAAAAAAAAAAAAAAAAAATAGTAGAGAGGTTTGAAGATCAAATAAATATTCAAAAACAATGACTAGAAACAAAAGATAATTTTAATGTACATGAAAACAATAGACAATTGGTGAGACAAGGGAGCAGTTTCTAATAAGTATACAGAATAGTTTTTAATTTCACAACAGAATGGAATGGAAACAAATGACGAGCATAAAAAAGACAATATCAACTAAGAATGTTTAAATAATGATTGCGAATTTAAGTCAATTTATGAAGTATTTTCTCATTCAATAAAATTGAAACTATTTTAGAAAAAATATTTTTCTCGCAAGACTGAAACTAAACAAAGAACGGGTTGTAAGTAGTTGAATGGCAGAATTGAAATGAGAGGTAAAATTCATTTGAAATGTTCAAAAACAAGAAAGAAATTCTGCAGATGAATTCTTAGTTCTATTAAATTTTTTCATGTAAGCATTAATAAAAATAATCAAATAACTTATCATCTGTTCAGAAAAAATATGACCTCAGTGGCAGAGCTCTGTTGCCCAAAGGTTTCTATTTTATTGGAATAAAATAAATTTATTATTGGCAGATGTTCTGTAGAAAATACATGGAGAGCCTGCTCTACTTTTAAATATGATTAGGTCATCCCATTGTTGAATAAGAAATACCTCAGAAAAAAATTAACACTTACCCGAGCACAGAGCTCATTAAATGTAGAATCTATCACTTGGCCACAAGTTTTATTAAAGGTAACATTACGACCCATTATAGTCAATGTTCTTGGACGAATAATATCATTTTCCATAGAACATAACATTTTAAATATTCTGTCCATTTCCTCATTTGCATTATCTTCTGTTATTCTATAAAATCATACATGAAAAATATGTATAATACTTTCTGCAATCTATCTTTAGTTAATATGATTACTTACACAAAATATATCTTAACCTGTCCTTTTGTTGCCTTAGTTCTGTAATCAATACCAGATTCTAACGAAATGACATGACAATAATCTTTTAATACTTGAATAAATGGTACGAAATTTGATCTTTGCAGGCCATTCTTGTAAAGATCATCAGGCGGGCGATTACTGGTAGCTATAACAACTACTCCATAAGAAAAGAGAGACGTGAAAAGTCTCTTCAAAATCATAGCATCAGCGATATCAGTAACCTAAAAATAAATAAAAGCAATGATTTGAAAATCCAAACCAGCAATATTTAAAAAACCAACACAATTAAAAATATAAATAAATGTAATTGCTTTATTTATACAATCCAAACCTCCCTTATATACAGGCCTCTTTTCAAACTGTTATAATTATAGGTGATTTCAACACTAATCTCCAAACAGATTATTTCTATAAATCATAACTTATTAATATAATTTTTCCCCAAGAATCTGGCCGAAATACCCAGTCCACAGATATCTGCATGATCTGATTATCATTAATTTTTGATAAAATATATCGTCCTTACAAATTCCAGTATATTTGCTATCATCCCATAAGACCTTGATTAAAAATATTGAACCTTCTATTAATTTTTTATTCCACTCCTAAAAACCAATTTATATTTCCTCCGATGATGAGATGGTTAAATGCATAAATTTAAACTTATTACTTTCCTTAATCATGACACACCTCTTAAAACCAATATTTTCATATCTTCCAAGGTTCTGCTCCTTCAGTTTCTGGCTTCAGACTGTTTGCATTTTATATCCAAACCACATGAAATTGCCTGATACCATTTCTCAAAATATCCAACAGCTCCTAGAATAATCTCTTGTTTCCCTACACTTTGATTATAGTTACTTGGTGTATGAAGGATTATCATACACCTTGACCATGGGTTAGAGGTGAGACTGGAAGACTAATAAATTGATTCACCCTGGGGTTTCACTGAATTCACAAATGTTTCCTGTTGATATAATGAATTGGAGTAGCTTGATCCTGCTTTGAGGTGGAGATAATTCCTTGATGTTTTTCTTTTCCAGGACATGAGAACCAAAAAAATGAGATCTTAATTTATCGATTTATAAATCTTTTTTCATAAAATGACTACCTTCAGCAATGCTTAGGTCAATCGAGCTATCTTCTTCTGGATTTTTTTATCTATATCTCTTTGTAAAATTAATTATCTAGTAAAAACTAATTATCACTCCTTATATTCATTTAAACAAAACTTCATCTATTTCACAATCAAATCACTAAATATAAGAAATATTAATTTCAAGAATAACAGTTGCTATTATTATTTATTTTTTGTAGGGATATATAGATTCATTCTGTGAATCGTGTTCACTCGGTGACAATAAAAAATATTCCCTAATTATCACTTTTTCATTGAAGTAGTGTCCAGTTACCCATGTTAAGATTTGGTTTATATTAATATAAAAATTTAAAGATTCAAAATAAGAAAAATCTACGGTTGTATAAATGGCTGAAAATGAGCTTAACAAAGTCTCTTATAGGCTATAACGTAATCAGATGAACTTCCTATGGTCAAAATTATAATTCAGAAAAAAATATTTTAATAATCACTTATCAAAAAATATTCAAGTAAAATGATTGAAGAATCATGTAGATCAAAGAATACAGAATCGCAACAAAGGCAAAGCTCCCTACACAAAATACGTTCAGTAACAGCTAAAATTCAGTTAGAAGAAATGCAGCTTGAAATAAAAAATATTGCAGACGAATCCCCATCATGAGCAAATGCTTGCAAACCATCCACATCCAGCCAGAGATGGCCTAAACCAACGTATTTAGTGACCAAGCTGTAGGATCCCAAAAGTGCTGCCGACTTTATCCTATCATCCCCTGGCTTAACCATTCGAATGAGGAGAACGAAGAAGAAATGATAAAGAAATTACATAAAAAAAAATGTCTTTAAAATAAATTTGCCCAGGTAAACAGGTAAAAATATTAAGTACTATAGCTATTAATTATTAATAATATAATGTTAATAATTATTAAATATTATTGTTAAATAGTAATATTTAATAATAAGAAACATACTATTTTATAATACAGGAAATGAACTAGTACCTGAAACTCATCAAAACATATCAGCCACGACTCATTACTGATATCTGCAGCTATTGGAGTAATTACATCAACTACCTGAGGTTTGTTGGAATCCCTATCTCTTGTGATTGTCTTTTTATAATCATGAATTCGGGCATGAACATCCAGCATAAAAGAATGAAAATGGACTCTCTTCTTCTTCTGAATCTGATTAAATGCATGGAATAAAAATTATTTATTCAACCATCATAAGGAATATTCAACTAAAAAATATAAGCATATTAAAATAAAAATAAAATAACTCTTAAAAGAAGATAACATAATTATTCCAAGTACAATAATTGGGGAATTAATTCACAAGTGTCATATCTGACTAAGATCACATAGATCATACCATTTACTGTATATAGAATTCCAAAAATAGTCTTGTATTAACTAATTAGTTCGTGAGTGAGCTTGCTCGAGGGATTTACAAACCTCCAATACATTGGGGTGGTTAACTTAATGAATGGTTAAAATGAACTTTGTCAGTTTATTATTATATTTATGTAAAATTAAAATAAGTACCATGTGAAGATGAAAATTTTTAGATATATATTAAAAGAAATATTTTTAAAAAAATATTGGTTTCCAGCAATAGAACAATGAAAAGTTAATTTAAAGAACACAACAAAAGGAGTTAGAGTTACAATATACGTTAACAATGTAAAAGAAGAAAAATAATGAGATAAGGAGCATTTTATTTTACATAAATGGAATAAAATAAAAAGAGGTGTGCAGTGTTTGGGGACACATCAATAAGTCTTTCAACGGACATCTGAGTTTTATGAATGATCTGCCAGTATAGTTTTGTTGCTGTTGTAGTCTATTAATGGCCATCTGAGAGTTTAAGAATAGTCTGCCAAAGAGCAGTTGGAATTGAATTACAGTAAGCACCAGTCAGGGTTCAATATTGGTGACAGAGAATCGACACAAGCAAGTCAAATAACAGACTACTTGGAACAGAGAAGTGAAGCTTCTCTGAACAATGACTTGGAATCACAGTTTTATATGTGAAGGTGGAATACAGTAGAGCTAAACTAGAAAAAGTTTAATTATTTATAATAACTCATAAATTTTTATATTTTTGTTCAAATTCAAGTTTTTAACGCATTATTTCATTTACAGTAGAAATATAAGATGCTATTTTACTGATATAAAAGTAATAAGAGGTGGTTAGGCACTCAGCACAGACCATTTGCTTCTGACTGCAGACACTCAGATTGTTAAGCCGGCCTAGAGAAAATCCAAAACACATGAAAAGAATGATACGTGGAAGCGAGTGTGGAAAGTACAGACCAATATATCTCTTCCAGGTCGTATATAAATAACTCAAAAATTGAGCAAGCAGCTTTTCTCCCCAGAAGACAAATCCACGACTATATTATATCTTTAAGGATGATAATACAGATACAGAAAGCCTGAGATAAAAGCTTGTATTTCGCTTTTCTGGATATCAAAGCTGTGTTTAATTCAGTAACCAGACAAGAAATATGGAAAGCCCTGAGAGCAAAGAACGTGCCAAATGGTTTGTTACTCGCAATACAATCAACATAACAGGCATTGTACTGTAAGAATTAATGGTCTGGAGTAGAAGAGCTTCCACCAGGAAAAATGAGTAAAGCAGGGAGATAGTCTCAGTCCTCTACTTTTTATTATCTTAGTGGATGAAATAATAAAAATTTGAAAGAAAAGAACAGCAAGAGCTATAATTAGTCATTGGAATATGAGAATAATACTGGCATAAGTAATGGTATATGGTATATGCCGACGATGTTGTCCTCATCGCTGACTCTACAAATAACCTACAGCAAGCCTTAGTAGAGTGGGAAGCAGAACTGGGAAGGAAGGGCAAGAAAATTAATGCCAGAAAAAGCAAAATTCTACAGGTAGTATGAGAACCCGAACAAATATATATAACGTGCAATAATGAAGAGCTTGAAGTCGCGAATGAGTTCTCCAACCTTGGAACTGTTTGGGATCAGCCAAAATGGAAAAGTCCAACCAGAAATATTCCACAGGGTAAGAGAAACTAACAGTATGTACAATTCCGTTAGTAATACGATCGTAGAAAAGAAGAGAGGTAAATAAAGATGTCAAGCTCCACATTTTCAAGGACGTATATATGCCTGTTTTTCTGTAAGGAGCAAAGAGCTGGGTCCTCCAGGACAACAATTGGAGCTGAATAACTGCAACTAAGATGAAATGCCTGAGCAGAGTGGCATTAAAAACACACAGAGATAGGACCAGGAATGAAACTATAAGAGAAGAACTAAACATTACTGCAATTAAAGAGATCCTGTAGAAAAGACAGTTGGGATGGTATTAGCATGTGTGTACTGGATGTGCCCTGATTGTGACTTATGCAAATTTATGGAAGCAAGACCAGTAGGCACTAGACCTAGAAGAAGACCAAGGCTTAGCTATAATAGCTATATTTCCAAGTTGGGACAAGCGAGAGGAAAGACACTGCAGGAGATGATATCTCTTCAGGGAAACAGAGCTAGATGGAGATCCTGGGTTGGATTAACCTAACTCGATGCTGAAAGGAACAATGAGAATAGCTCTGCTAGGCAACAAAATTGCTAATGAGGGCCACTAAAGGAAAACTTTTACAGCTAAAAAAGTCATATTTTTTCGATATTTTTTTGTTTTTTCACCTATAACTCCTAAACGATGCATCAAAGAAAAAAAGATACTTTTAATAAATTAAAGAACGTTAAAATTGTGCATCCAACGAGTACATAAACTTTATAATTTAGTAACGTGGTAAGGTATAAAACCACAGTCAACCAACGCTGATTTTTACCAAATTTGTCAAAAACTGAAACAAATTACTATAAATGGCCCTGCAACTAGGAAATGAGTTCCTTAAGAGAAAAAACCCAGAGAATCAAATTTTGCGCCCAGTGATACAAACTAATTTAATGTAGGTCACTTACTCCGAACAAAATTCTCAAATTACTGGCCTAATATTCTTTAAATCAGCTGCCATGTTTGAAAGTAGTGGCTCTGGAACGGCAGACAAGGTTATTTTTACTCAGAATAACATACACTTTCATAATTTACAATCGAACATTCACCTGAGATGACGTCAATTTTTGGGCCCTGGCTTCAGGGCTAGAAAGTTAAAGAAGAAAAAAGTATTTATTATTCATGGAAATTAGAAAAATAAATTAATATATCTATCATTTTATTTTGTATAATTAATGTTCTTATTTGAATAAATTATAAGTCAAATGATTTTTTTTTTTTTTTACTATATTTGCAGACTTCAATAACAAAAAAAGATAACCAATATTATTAATTTTAACAAATTATAAATCAAAAAATCTTTACACTGTATGTACTTTTGGACAAACTCTGCTACATTCAAAATGCTATGTAGTGTGATTAAAGTTATCTTGATCCACCTGTCAATCATATATAAAGCAATACTAGAATAATAACGAAATAAGAGAAAAATATAAAATTAAGAGGAAAGTACAGCTACAGAGATTTTTTTAAATAAAGATTTAAGGGTGGAAACACTCCAAACAATAACAAAAAGGAAACTTGGTAAGTGGACCAGGAAAGAAGAATAAGATTAAAATAATAGAAATACTTGAAAGGACAGAGTAGAAAATACACAAAAATTCTAATTGAAACTGCGACATAATTGCTAGCAGCTACCATAAAAAAAATATATATCTATCATGTACTAAATAAATAAGTTAATAGTTATAAATGTCATGAATATTACTTATATTTATTTTTCATATTAAAAAAAATATAAATATAAAAAAAAACTTAAAGATCATCAAATTAAACAATTTTTTCAATCATATTCAAAATTAATGATTGCATTAAATAATATGGTTATCACTATATGATTTCTTCAATATAAAAATAAGTTGGAAAAAAATCAATAATAAACAAATGTTTTTAACATACCTTACAGCAGCCATAAAATAAATCCATTAGCATGGTTTTTCCTCCTCCAACAGCTCCATATAAATAAATTCCCTTTGGTGAGTTAACAACATTCCTTCGATTAAATAATTTACTAAAAAATCCTACCTTGGTAGGAGAATAATCCTGAATATCTAAATAAACCTTCTCAAGTTCTTGAACAATAACTTTCTGATGGGGATCTTCATTCAACTCGCCCTTTTTTATCAATGTTTCTAGAGCATTGATTGGACTTAATAAAGGTTGAACTGGGCTGTTTAAATGTTTCAATACTTGAACTGAAAAGTTTTCTTTGAAAAAATGATAAAAGCTGGGACTAGTAGTGACTTTGAGGAACTTTTGATTTGAAGAAAATACTAAATAAGTTAATGGTAACATAATAGATCTTAGGGCAACGGTTATTTTTTCACAAAAAAAAAAGGAATATCACATATTATAAAGTGTAATTAAAGACGATTTATATAATTTAAGTACCATCTCAAAAAATATAAATAACAGGTTGCACCCTAAAAGGACCTGTCAGAAATTTCACTTGGAAGGTAGTGCAAGGTTATAATGATGACCTACTGCCTGATATCATCCCCTCCCTACCACTCTTTTCAAATCAACCATCTATCTACACTAACATTGTTAAAATAAGTAATTAAGATAAATAAAAATAAAGAAGAAAAAAAATCACGCACACAATTTTAATTACTGTATAAGATTATATTGTATATTTTATAATAATAATAAATTATTAAAATATATTTATTATAAGTTCTATAAATGAATAATTTTTTTTTAAGGAATCAATATTCAGAAAATAAATAGAACAGAGTACTCTTTCCAGAATTATTTAATTAAATATTTACAAAGATGATAGAAAATATTTAAGTTTAAAAAATATCAATCATACATATGAGAATAATACTCTTGATAAATTTGAATATAAGTTTCTTTTTCTTGAGGAGTCATTTCTGCTATTAAAGAATCATCAACCTCTGTGATAGGTATAGATTTTTCTCCAACTTTTATGACAGGTACTAATTCTTCATCTTCGGAATCCATCATTTCAGCAACTAAAAACAAGCAGAAATATATAAAGTGTATTGAATATAAATATTAGTTCTTAAATAAACAAAATAATTCTTAAACCACCATCAGAATAAAAATATATAAAGAACTTGAAGCTGAAATAGTTCCACCAGAATTCAGTACCATAAAACCAAATGAAGAAGATGCAATAACAATGATAAGACAAGTTATAAAATCCACCGTCAGGTCATTATAATAAGTAACCAGTCAACCTTTGAATAAGTGGTAACTAATGATTATATTTTATGATATAATAATGATCATTTGGATAGAGGAACATAAGCCCTTATGGAAACAAATATCACAGTGATAAAACTAGGATCAATAGAAATACAAGAATCTGCCCATAGAGAGCTTTTTCCAACTCTTATAAATAAATAGATACAGACTAGAATGTGACATGAACAAAAAAAAGAACAGAATTGATAACAATAATCCAAATAGTTCAGCAGAAAACAGTGCCCAGTTTTTCATAAAATTTCTTAAAAATGTACATTTTAAAACTCAATAAAGCAGATATTATCTTAATTAAAAGGTATAATAGATCATAGGATCCTGTCATCATAATTACAGTCATCATCGTCTAATGCCATTCGTTGTGAGGGTTCTACTTATATAGTCTGGCCCAGCAGTCTCTCTCTTGTACCAACTCTATTCTCCTATTTCAATCTATTCTGAGCTTCCTGTATGCCTCTTTTATACTGTCCTCCCAGAAGATGTGAGGCCTTCCTCTGGGCCTTCTGTGTGGATCTCTTAGTCTTCCTGGCACTTCTATCTGAATCCATCCTAACAAGATGTCCACACCATCTTAGTTTGTGCTCCTCTAGAACGGTCTCCGCTGGTTTGACATTGAGATTAGCCCATATGGTGGTGTTTTATATCCTGTATCTCCGAGTTTTTCTTTCTATTTTATGCAGATACCTCCTCATTTACATGGCTTTTATCTGACTTCTGTGTTTTGTGGACGATTCTGAACAGTACATTAGTATAGGGAGAAATGTTGATTTAAAGACGGCTAGTTTGGTACGCCTCTCTTCTTCCCAGGAAATCCCATCTTACCATACTGAACACCTTCCCTGTTGCTCCAATTCTTTGGGCCACTTCTTCCTGGAGTATAAAATTATAGGAATGTTTCATCAAAAGAGCCGTTTTTGCGCTCCAGTCTATGGAAAAACATGTTTTTCTCTTATTGCGCAGCTGTTATATGCAGGGAGCGCCCAATTTGTTTCACAGGAATCGGTAGTAAAAACCCTACAAAAAAAAAAGCAACAAAATAGGTCTACTCGTTCCGAAGATAATCAAGGCATAGACAGACAGACCAATGGCTGAAAATGTGTGTTTTGGACTTAGGAGACTCTGAAACGTAAAGATCCTTTGAAAACCGCACATCAGAAAATTGACACGATCGTCTTACCTAGTAGCAGTAGAAAAGTAAAAACAGATATAGGAATGGTTACCCACTTTGAAAGAATAACTTCTTCTATAAGCTAGAAACTTAACAAGATAATGAAAGACTAGGTAATAGTCATATAGTTAAAATACATATTTACATTTAAATACTCTAAAATATTATAAAAAGAAAAGTAATAAATTTACAACAATTTAACAAAATATGTAATATAATTGTTTATAATTACCATCAGGTGAGGTTGGCGACTCATCACGAGACTGTTCACCATCACTTGAATCCGAAGGATCAGGTAGTGCTGCTTTGACTGCAGCTGCTGTAAGGGCATTGCCATCTCCACCTCTTTTTTCATGGGCTAGAAGAACTGACATTATATCATCACTATTCTTAGGATTGCTTGTCGTCGTTGCTTTTTCAACTTCTGAACTTGCTCCAACTAAAGCCTCAGTCTAAAAGATGAGAGAAAAGTTAAGGTTTTATTAATTAATGAAAATACTCTGTATCAAATCAAAATTTGAATCATACATAAGCTAAATTTGGATTATAAATGGCTGCTTCTTTGAATTTGTAATGGGTGACTTTAATATCCAAGATGATAAAGAAAAGCTATAGTACCAAAATATTGATTTTCTATAGGTAATGCAATATTTGTAATGAGCATAGTCTTCCCTCACAAGAACAAGCATAACATACTTGGATAATACTAAATGGAGCATATTTAGATAGATAGACCACATTTTGGTATCATTGGAACATTTCAACTGTATGAATGAAATGAGGTTCTATAAAGGTCCGGACATAGACTTTGACCATTTGTAACATAGACTGGTGGTAATAAAAGTAAAACTAAGATTTTATCAACACCCAAGTTAAGCAAGCAATTGGAAAAAGTAATTATGCACAAATAAACTAAATACTTCAAACGAAGGGAAAAAGTTCAAAGAGGATATAACAGAAAGGATATTGGAGGTACCCGCCATAGAAAGAGGGCATTCAATCGAAAACCATCACATTAATCAGATTTGAAAGGATTACTTTTTTTTCCAGTAATGCATTTAAAATTTCTTTAATGGGATATAATACACCCCTCTGCTAACAAGAAGATGTAGTGTTAAGTTTTCTTATCTTGAAATTTGAAAATCAAGTTACTCCTCCAAAAAATCTCCATCCAAATATAAGACTAATTAGTGGCTCTTGAAAATTATATTGAATAGCACGGAGTAACAAGTACAGGAAAGACAAATAAGTCTAAAGTTCTTCTAACATTTTTGGTTTCCCTTCAAATGAACAGAGAAGATAATGGTTTCTTCCTCCTTAAAGGGTATCTTACAAAATTTCTCAATCTTAATTCTTTCTACTGATATTTTACCCTCATCTTCAAAAACAACTTATCTAATGTAATTCAGTGTTATTGAAAGTATATAAAATTGTTAAAGTAAAAGCAAACTAAATAAAAAAAAAAAAAAAAAGTGAAGAAGGATTTATTCTTTATTATTCTTACTACTTTTAGTAAATTAGATATGTAATGAAGAAGATGAGCATGTGAGATCTGATATGAATACTTTGTAACAGCCAAAGACCCAAAGATCTCTCCTATACGTGCGCAACAATGAAAAAATAAATAATTTATGTGAATTAAATTAAATTTATTATTAATCATATTCTCTTAAACTATACGGTATATGGAATCTTTCAAGAGTTATAGGTAAAATATATTTCATTTTATTTTAATAAATTAATGTTATCTTCCATTGTAGAATGAGAACTAAGGATAGAAGAAGGTTAAAAAGCACTATAATAAATTATCATCTCTACTCACTTGAGGATCGTCATGAGTAATGACTGTGCTCTCCACCATCCAGACAGGTTGATCTTTTCTAACTGCATTGTCAGGTTGCACGTCTTTTTCTCCAATGGTTACATCAACTCTTGTTTCCTCCACAACAAATCCTTGACCTCTAGTAGCTTCTCCAGACCAAAATTCAGATTTGTTACCGAAACCAAGGCGTTTTGCATCAAGCCTGAAAAATTATTATTTTTAGAATTAAAGCAACACAATTTGCAACAACAAACAATTTAGAGTTCTTACGTATTATCCTGTCAATCACATGCACTATTGTTGCGGGTCATAACATGACACCATAATTTGATTCATATTTATGTGGAAGCATAAAAAGTAAATTTCAATTATGTTTAAACACTGAAATTCTTTTCAAATTGGTATTCATTAGTTACAATGCTCAAGATACATTTTATAGCTAGTCACTTTTTAGATAAACATGTATAAATTCATCACTTTTCTTGATAAAATAATCCCAAAACTTTAAAAATACTTTAGCGAATTTTCTTTCATAGGTTTTTATTTTCCAAATTTAATTTAATAATTCTATGAAAAAAAACTAAGGTGTCTGCTTTAGACCACACAATAGAAGTGAAAACGTCAACAAGTCAAGATAAGTAATATAAAATGTAAATTATAAATAATAAATTATAAGTAATAAACTTGTTTTCGACACTATTTTTTTCCTTTTCCCCTCCCTAACACGGCGTCGCGTTAAAATACAATTTTGAATTAAAGCCTATTACAGAGAGGATGAAATGCTGAACAATTTTCTCACTTAGAGTATGCAGTCCCGATTTTTGGTTTCTGAGATATTTTAATCCACATGTAAAAACATTTTAATTAGTCGAATCTAGCCAACGAAATCTGAAGGATCAATCTAATTTACTCTCCAAAAAAGTAGAAAACGCGGCTAAAGAAGTTTTCACTTCAAAAAAAGTAGAAAACTAATATAAAAAAAAAACATATTTGATGAGATGATAAGCAAGTACCATGTTTCAGTAGGTTATACTTAATCAATCACCCAACTTAAAATGCATCATTATTTCTATTGTAATGCATTAAAAGAAGCAGAATATGTTACTTAAGAAAGAAAAAAAAATTACAACAGAAATAATTATTAAGCTAGATATAATAGATATAATACAAACTAACCCTCGTATAGTATTAATATCCACAGGTTCTGGTTCAAGAACTTCAGGAGCAAGACGAATACCTTCAACTTGTCTAAGCAATTCATACAAAGGTTCTAATTGTGAATTGAACCTTGCCAACTGCATACGAGAATCTTTTTTTGGTAAGGCACTTAAATCCTCTTCAACAATTTCTCTACAGTAAGTACACCTGAACTCACAGGTCATTGGATCAAACAATTGGTCTGCCTGTCACAAATATAATATACATATTTCATTAAATCAGTTGAATTATAATTACCAGAGGAAAACAAACTTAATTAATAAGTAATAAATGTGAATCATAAATATGAAAATAACATGAATAACTAGACTTTTAATTCAGCATATTATAAACATACTGTGTAACTTTAATTATTCTCTTAATAGCACTGGAGCCAGGGCCCAAAAAGTGACCTCATTGTAGTGATTTTTTTTAATGTAAATTATGAAAGGGTATGCTATTCTAAGTAAAATGAATCTTGTCTGCCATTCCAGAGCCATGTTTTCTAAAATGGTGGCTGATTTAAAGAATATTAGGCCAGTAACTTAAAGATTGAAATGAGGATTATATTTTAAAAAATGTGGGAAAAGTTTTTATCTATACAACTTGTATATATGGGTTTGAACACGTAAAAAATAGAACTGTAACAGCAGACCTAGGGAAAACTTTTTAAAGCCAAAAAACCCATATTTTTTCAATCTTTTTTTGTTTTTTCACCTATAGCTCCTAAATGGTGCTTCAAAGCGGAAAACGTATTCTTTAGAAAACCAAAGAGCATTAAATTGTGCATCGAACAAATACCTAAACTCAATAACTTGGTTAAGTGATATGGTGGAAAATCAAAAACAACGAATGCTAATTTTTACAAATGTTGTCAAAAAATGACACAAATTACTATAAATGGTCCTGCAACTTGTAAATAAGTTCTCTAAGAGAAAAAAACCCATAGAACCAAAGTTAGAAAGCATCAAATTCCGTGTCCACCAGGTACTAACATTTTTTAATGTAGGTCAATCATATCTCTATATAGCACTAACTGCCATCCCTAACGGCCATTTCCTCTTGCATTAAACAACCTAGATTAAAATATTTTTAAATTAAAAGGTTAGACGTAATTTATTAGTTTTGAATTCTTCCGCTATGGCAGGAATACATATATTGGCGGTATTTAATTAATACTCATCATTTATACCATTATTTATAATAGAGCTAGATTTTGTCTGTACTACATTATTTACCAAACTGTATGTTAATGACCACCTTCTACGAACTGAAGGTGTTTTTTTAGTAATATTCTGCATAGAAAATACACTGACAGGCAAAAAATTCCACCCACTTGATTTTTCAAGATGTTTTCATCTAAAAATATTTCTGCTTTGGATTGGTCTATCGTTGTTAATGAATAAATAGGTAATCTTATTGTTTGTTTTCAATTAGGAATGTTAATATAGAGAACAATAACCCTTAATCCTTAATTCAATGAAATGATTCTAGATTCCAATGTTTACTTTCTATGGAATCAAAATGTTTATTCAGTATCATTAGTTCAGTGCCGTTTCTTGCAGCACATTTCTTAGTCTCCGGCTTTTAATTTTTTCAATATTAAGTTTAAAAATGCCTCTTAGTGCTGAAGATGTTGCGCGTGGTGTGGCACTTATTGATGATGGACGTTCCATTAGATATGCAGCTAATGCCATCGGAGTTCCATATGAAACTTTACGAGACGCCATCAGGCATTTTCGGGAAACTGGTTCTTACAATAGAAGGTCCGGTTCTGGACGGCCTAGGGTAACAGAACCACGGGATGACCGGTTTTTGACTTTGAGAATTTTACGAAACCGGCACCTTACTGTTGTTCAAGTGATTCATCAGCTCGAAGAAGTTCGAGGTGTGCAAATTTCTGAACGTACTGCACTGCTCTGAGAAGATTAAATGAGTATGGATTAATGGCTTTTCGTCCAGTAAGAGGACCAGAGTTGACCAGAACTCACAGAGTAACACGGCTGGCTTTTGCTCGAGAACACAGCAATTGGACTATGGACGAATGGAGTGCTGTACTTTTATAGATGAGTCAAGATTCGCTCTTCGATCTCCAGACGGGCGTGAAAGGGTGTGGAGAAGAAGAAACGAAAGATATGCAGCCTGTAATTTTTCCCAGAGCCAACCTTTCCAACATGGTTCCTTAATGGTGTGGGCTGGGATTTCAATGGAGCGCCGCACAGAATTAGTTGTTGTTTGTGGAGGGTCATTCGGTATGTAGATGAGATTTTGGAACCTCATGTGTTGCCTATCCTCAACGAAATTGGCGATCATTCTATTCTAATGCACGCCCACATGTTGTCCGCATAGTGCAGATGTTCCTTCAACAGAACAATATTGAGGTTTTAGCCTGGCCAGCACGTTCTCCAGATTTGAACCCCATTAGCATTTATGGGATAACCTAGGAAGACGAATAAGATCGCGTGCAACACTTCCTGATACACTGCAGGACCTTGAAATGGCTCTTCGGGAGGAATGGGCTATCCTCCAGCAAAGGGACATTTCCCGACTGGTGAAAAGTATGTCGAGACGTCTTCAAGAAGTAGTGAAGGCAAGAGGAGGAAACACGCACTACTAAACAATGATGTAATTAATTTCTTTTAGAATAATAATGGTTCGTTTTTCAATTTTTTTTTCTCTAATCTTTCTTACCCAATCACATTTTAATTATTAAAGGTATAAAAGATTATAAAATTCCATAAATACTAACTATTATCTACAAATACCATGTATTATATACAAATACAACTTTACAGAAATATTTTCAGATGAAAACATGGAAAAATTAAGTGGGTGGAATTTTTTGCCTGTCAGTGTATAAGCTTCAGAGTAGAATATATATCATGTATTGTAATGAAATCACAAGAGATAATGTTTTTTTTTTTAAACTTTTCAATGTTTGGACTTGAGTATTTATTGGATACTAGTTCACATGTGTTCCGCACGGAATATGGCTCTTTCATATATACAAAATGTCAGATTAAAGATTGCGCGAGAATAGTGGAAAATATTAATAAATAAAATGTATCTAATAAAATTTTATATAGATAAATATTTATTCCAATGTCAACTCCCAATGGGACCATAGATCTGCCAGTTAATTGGACTATACTGATAACTTAAAATTTATTTTCTCATTTTAATCTATTATTTTTATTGAATGAATTATCTGCGTAGTTGTTGTTATTTTGCTTAGTAATCTGAAAATGGAGACTTATTGTAGTCATTCATATAAAAAAAATGTCAACAAAATGACAGATTAAAGATTGCGCGAGAATAGCGGAAAATATTAATAAATAAAATGTATCTAATAAAATGTTATACAGATAAATATTTATTCCAATAATGTCAACTCCCAACGGGACCATAGATCTGCCAGTTAGTTGGACTATACTGATCAACTTAAAATTTATTTCCTCATTTTAATCTATTATTTTTATTGAATGAATTATCTGCGTAGTTGCTGTTGATTTGCTTAGTAATCTGAAAATGGAGACTTATTGTAGTCATTCATATAAAAAAAAAAATTAATTAATATATATATATATATTATTATTATATATATTAATATATATTATTATTATATATATTAATATATATTATTATTATATATATTAATATATATTATTATTATATATATTAATATATATTATTATTATATATATTAATATATATTATTATTATATATATTAATATACTCGAAGAAGGAATTAATATATTGGGGAAACCACTGACGAAGAATATCTGATCATTTTAAGATAATGAATAATGGAAATCATCAATAAGAAAAATAATATCCTGAAACAGCATTCAGAGATATAATAATTAAAGGTTTTTATCTGTTACTATTTCTTTTCCACAGCTGTATAATATATGTACAAGTTGGAATACGGATACGTGATGTAGCCTAAATTTCGAATATAAGTCGGCTCCTGCTGTATAACTGAATAAGGTTAAGATTACAAAAATATTTAAATAGCGGGAAAGTCAATAGTAACTGACTCAAGAGATCGGTTCTCTTTCGGATAAACCCGAACGCATTCGGCGCTCCATGAACAAGTGTGACCGAAGTGATTGTGAACCAGGTATAATCCGTGCGAACTCATGTGAACTAGTACCATTTATTGAAATTAAAAATGATCCATCATTTAATTTATTTAATGTAAGTTGAATTTAGATATATTGGAAACACTTAAATGTTTTAGTTATATCTAAAATGTAATAAATGCTTTTTTCACCATTATTTTGTTTCAATTCTAAACAATTTTTTCTTTTATTTTGTTTGACATACAGAAAAAAAGAAATAAAACATATCAATGTTTCTGTCATCACAAATTTTTGATATAACATCATCTGTATCCATTGTGCTACCAAGTGCTTAACTGCTTCTGGAGTGGTCAAAACAAACCAGGATGGAAATGATGTCTTAACAACTGCTAACTGCTATAGCCAGTAACACCAGCGAAATTGCACCAAGGGCCAGAAACCCAAATCAATGTGTTGGTATATTGTTAATGAGATCAGAAAGATTGTCATAATAATTTATATTGATGCTATTGAAAATATAGAGGTAAAGAATAGGAAAACATGTGAATTACTTCATCAATGACTCACATAAAGTAATTGCCAGATTGCTGATATTCATAAATTTTAAAATAATACATCAGATAGAATGAAATCTTGTTCAGGTCATTCTAAGGACAGAGCAGGGAAGCGTATCTAGTGCCTGGTTCAAGGGCATATAAATTTATTTCTCCCTTAGGCTAGTCGTTATCAATTTTAAAAGGATCCAAAGAAACAGATTAAATTACATTTTAAATTTGTTTAGGACAGCAGCCTTCTTTCCCCCAATGACTTCTAGAGTTGAAAATGCTAATAGGCCTACTTGCAGAATTAATATCCTTTATTAACATCAGTACCAGCAGCAATACATTTATAATGAATTGATTTATTTTAATAGGAAAAAAAAAATAATATAAGAGGAATTTTAAATAATTCCATCATTTGTAGGTCAAATTCATAAAACTTAATGTTTGAGACAATAAAAATATGAGGCAATATCAGATATAAATAGTTGATATATTTTCACCTCTAAATCTGTAAATGTTTTTGAACATTTAGGACATTTGAAACTTGCTCTGCTCGTCGCATCTCGTTCCTCTGTCTCCATCCTCTTTCTCATTAAATCCAGTTTATATTTCACTACATTAACAAACGTCTAGAATTTAGGAAAAAATAAAGTTTAGAGAAATCACATCAAAGTAAGTACAAAAATAATTGCAATAGCACATACCTTATAATTTATAAAGTAATAATTTACTTTCTGTGCTTTACCATCTTCTCCAGTTTCCATCTTCAATCTAACTTGAAGAAATTTGTCATTCTTTAACGTTGAGATACGTGCACGCAGCATTTTTTTCTCGAATTTTAATAACTCACATAAATCATCTTCTTTCATGCAGGGATTTCTGACTAACATGTCAATAATTAAGGTGTCTTCAATCGAATAAAAACCACGAACAACTAGCCTTGCTAACTGCTTTAAACTGCTTGGAACTTCAGTAACAAGTACCTGTTCTTCACCCATTTTACAACAATTTACATTTTAGGAAATCCAGAAGTGTAAACAATTCAGTTCATGCCACCAAACGCGTGACAACCATAACCTACTTCTTTTTAGCCTTCATCAAAACAAAGCGGTTTGTTTGCATAGAGGTCAAATTATGATCAGCAGAAAAACTATCTCCTCCAAATTGACAACTATTGTTTTTTCAGCCTCGTAAGTTAAAAGAAAAAAATATTTTCTGATTAAGTAGAATTTATCCAACTTGTTTCCATTAAAGTTTCAGAGAACATTTGTAAATTAAAAGATTAAGATTATAAAACCAGTAGCAAAGGAACCAGGATCAGCGTTCCTCCTGAAAGCCAATATGGTCATCACTGATAATAATTTTTATTCATCAGCAATTTGCAAGTGAACCAAGCAATCCAACCTCTCCAAACTCTTATGATCGGAATTAGTTTTATTTCTGAGAGTCTTACATGTATTGTTAAATTCCAGTGTGGTGTCTATCAAACATTCCACACTTCATCTACAAAAGATGGGAGAAAAAAAATAAGGAAAAGGAAAGATACGATTTTTCACTCAAGGAGCATGACTAAGAGATTCAATAAATAAGAATTTTCCATTGACGAGCGGCAAAATTGAACTCAGCTACTAGATTTTTTTTGTCATGGTCTTGTGTACTTTTCTTAAAATTTAACCTGATACACTTGTTCATGTGTATGAAACAGGCATCTAAAATCCAAATATCACGCATGAGTGACTGCAAAGCTCAGCTAGAAATATATGTTCACAAACAGCACTATTCTTAGTTTTTTGACTTTTTAAAATTATCTATCTAGCTTGGTAATTTTAATTTACAGAAACTTCAGCAGATATGGGGAGGGATATAAGGCTGCAATGAACTCCAATCCATTTAGGAATTGTTGGGAATGAAAAAGCAGATGAATTTTCCTGGAGAAGAGCTGATCTTCCACAATAGCACTATTTTCTATATTTCACTTCAGCCAAGCATCTTATCGTTTCTCAAATAAATAACTTGATGAGGCGCAGCAATATGACCTCTACCATTGGCAAAACATTGTGAAATTTAGTCACAAAGGGCTCAATTCTTTTCACCCATCTTAGAGCCTTTTTTTTTTTCTCCCTGCCTAGCCTTATAGGCAATACAAGTTGTAGCATCCACTGCTGGCAGTATAGGTCTATTTAATGAAAATTTTGTTAGCATTATTATTTATGGGATGTAGACTTGTTTATGTGCACAAGCCCACACTTTTCTTTTTCTCCATTCTTCCACCTGAAGCCGGTCCTCGAAGCAGCTGCAGCTTGTCTTAACTTCCTTCTCTTCTTCCCAGATCAAAAGATGTAGAGCATACCGCATGTTTCCACCCGTATACGAATTCCCTATAATGTGAGTAATTCTCTCTGCTCATAGTGTCTCATAGGCACTACATTCGACGACATGTTCGGCCGTCTCCGGAACGTTTCAGTTGGGGCTTAGCGGATCAATATTCTACCCGTGTTTAACGAGCTTCGCTCAGAAACCCCTATGTCCCGTGAGGAGTTGTGACAACCAGTAATCCGGGAGGACCCATCTTGCATCTAATCGTGACTTGACCGTGGGGAAGTACTTTCTTAGGGTAGCTCCCTTCTGAGTTGCCATCCATCGCCGGTTCTATTGATCAACTGTGTCCTCCCTGATAATTCTTTTCCATCTTCTTGGGTCTTCTTCATTTCTCATCTTTAGATGTTCCGCTAGATCAGCCAAACCTTCTCTTTTCATTTTAAAGAGGTAATAGTCTTCTCGCAGGAGGAGATCGAGAGATGTCCCCCCTGCCAGTACTTGCACTGCCTAATGAAATATCGTTCCATAGGCTCTAGTAACACGAAGTAAAGCCAATTTCTTAATCGATGCTAGCGTACTTTTCTGTCGGTGCGAGAGAATACCCAAAACTACTCCTTTGTATATAGTCATTGTAGCTGGGTATCTGAGACCCCAGAAGGTCTCCAACACGACTGATTCCATTTAGGGCCACTGTGACTCTAGCTCTCATATAGTCCAGGTGAAGAGTCACGTTGAACTTTCGACGAATTTTTATACCAAGGTACGTGACAACCTCACTTGGACTTATCCTTTCCTTTTCTATACTCAACATAATATGATGTGCCCTGTCAGTCGTACCCCTCAAGAGAATTGCCTGTGTCTTTTTTGGAGCCATCTTTAACTTCTTTCTCTCGCACCATCTTCCTACCAACATATTCAGGTCCCAAATGTCCCATGATGGGGACAGGTCCGTCCCAGACGGGTATACCGTGGCTCTTCTCACAAATGTATGGTCATTATCATCCTGTGATGGATCATTCCTGGGATATGTCTCTTTAATAAACATCTTTGCTGTTTCCTCCAGAGTGGCTACCTGAGCCATAATACTTGTTGCCATTTTCCGCATGACTACAGGACATGGTCAGTGCCGATTTAAGATATTTGGGATCCCTTGACAATTGTCATGAAACCCTCTTCCAAAAAAAAATATTAACATAGGGCTGGCACTGGGCTCTTCACCTTGAATCACTGGGTTATCTTCTTTCCTTGCTGGGGATGCAGATCGTCGAAGTGTCACTATTCTATTAAGATATCAAATATTTACTGGATGATCGGCGTCAAATGACAAATATTTAAAGAGTGGGGGTTAAATTAAATAAATAAAGAATAAAATAGACCTAAATATGTCACGGAATCTTCTCCTTCATGTTTTATTGAGAAAAAAAAAATCCATACATCAACATTTGATAAGGTAGAAGACAAAATATAATTATTTAATCTAAAATAATTTTTAAAAAAATTAAGACTAAATTATATTATAATTGTTTATTTGGAAATAATAAATCGAATATACAGCTCATAAATTAAATGTTTCTCATAAAGCACAAATAATGTCATTTAATGGATTTTTAAGGCGTCCTTGGCGGTTAAATGAGTTTAAGTATGAAATTTTTGAATTCATCCCAAACGAACTTTACTTTTGCAGAATGTTGTCTTGAAAAGATGTTTTGTCCAAAGACATTATTTAACATTCTCTGGAAAAGAAAACAAAGATAGAAATTTTTGATGATAATAAACCAATCAATACTGTTATCAGACATTACTTGGCGCGTTGTTTAGTTTTTTATTTGTGATATTTAGATATTCTATGTAATTAATCTAATGATTACTTTTAAAATGTTCCATAGTTAATTTAAAATGTGTTAACAATTTATTTAAGTAATTTTACTACTTAAGCATACGAGTTTATTGCACTTGTTATGGATTGTTTTGGTTATGTGCTTGAGGTTGCAATTTCAATTGAGAAATGGCTAATAAGTAAAAAATAGCTCTGGTAATCAAATGGATCAAGTAAACGAATGTTTAAAGTGTATTGAGTTGAAGAAATCATTACAGGTATTTAGTATGATGATAACTTTCGCTAAGTTTATGTTTACCGGCGTTATTGCACGTGCCTGTGGAAACATTAACCAGTGTCAAAGTATAACAGTGATGGCAAATTGAAATTTTCTTATGTTTTATTTCACATGATTATTTTAGGTTGAAAAGAAGAAAGTTTCTCAAAAGAATCGCTTGATAACGCTATTGAGAGAGTTGGTGAGAAGTTATGAGTAAGTACCTTATCAGAAATTAGTTTGAAGTAATTTTACGCTCTTTGATTGATATTTAATTATTGTAGTATTTTCTTCTTTTAACTATGCATTGAATTCTAAACTATAGAAAATTCAATTTGATATATTATTAGGGTTTAAGAATAATAAACATGAAGTGTTAGTTGCCATAAATGCAGTTGAACTGGTGTTTCTAGGAATATTTAACTGGTTCTATATACTTAAAAATTGAGGTTTGTGTTCCTTATAATGTGTTCCTTCTTTAGAATTATATAATATGTTTTGTTCGATGTTAAAATATTTGTTGCAGTTCCTTATTGTGATTGGTTCATTTCTCTATATGGTGTTCTGTTTTTCAGCATCTAATTCTTTTGTATGATTTGAACTTTTTGGTAGATTAATTACTAGACTAAGTATCTTGGATTTAAAGTTTAACTCTTAATTAATTGTATTGTCCCTTTTTTATTATATATATGTAATCACTTTCAAACTTAAATTTTATGCATTTTGCTTTATTTTACCTGTATTAGTTTTTACCATGATAATTACTAAACTATTCCTATTAGTTATTAGTGGTTTACTTTCTCTCTTCTATCTTCTTTTTGGAGATAGAATACATGTGCTAATATTAAAAGAGTAACATCTCATATATTAGGTACTTTCATTTTTTTATTATGCTTCACTAATCTGTGCTTAAGCTCTATAAATTCTCTTTGGCTTAGTTTCAAAATGTAGTTCAGTTTCTTTTATGTGTATAGGAACATTAATGTTTGTATAGGAAAATGCCAAAGAATTAACAATACAATTAGTTGTTTGACTGAAGTATACCATATTTCGATCGTTTCCTCCTATTTCTTATTAACTCTGTTTCTAATTCTTAGATAGTAACTGATTAAAAACAGTCTGCGAGAGAAGAATTAACTCTCTTCCTCCACACATCGAACTGGTGGACAGTTGAACTAGAAATGACATGTATGTTATATCATCGCTGTAAATGTAAACATATGTTGGATCTTGAAAAAAAATCACTATTAAGGTTATTTTGGCAAGATTGTTTTATTACTTACCTTTTAATGGATTTAGGACATTAGTTCAACTTAGTGCCTCATTAATTCTCTCTCAGTCCACCGTATTGTTTAAGTCGTGCTATAGTAATGTTTTATATTTATATATTTATTTTTCATTATATTTTTACAATTTGTGTTCACAGAGCCAAGGATTTGAATTTAACCTTCACTGATTTATCTCGAATATATGAATCATCTTCTAGTGAAGTTACAATTTTAAAACAACGATTAACCCTTTATTTAAATGAAAATCAAGAATTATTACAGGTTTGTTAAACAAAAAAAATATTATTAAACAAAATAGTTTTATTTAGACTGTAAAATGGCTTATTTTATTTTAAACATTTTATGTTGTTTTGAAACAATAAATTTGGGTACTGTATATTTGCTGGAATTGTCTGAGGGCACGAAAGAATTGTATTTATTTTGTACAAACTCACAATAAACTTCAGTGATTTAATCTAATCATCATTCTATTGAGTTTTTTTAGGTTTGTATGATCTGGCATATAATTGAATATTTGTTTGTTAAAACAGTGTTGGGCGTAATCAAAATAATTTTACTTTTATTTGAACTGATGAATTTTTACATTCAATTTATTCATTATTTACATATTATGTGAATCATTTGTTGTCTATTATTAATATCTATTATCCAGTTTAAATATTAAAAATAGAAACTAGGTTAAAGACGCCACCACATGTGAAAATTTCTATCAAAATTTTTTCTGGCTTTTCATTTGCTTTTGCTCTTACATCTCGTAATGGGAAAGGAGAACAATATAGTCATTCATTTTTTTAGTTGAAAGACTTGAATAACAAATACAAAAATAACAGATAACTTAAGTTAAATTGTTATTTAAGTTATCAAATAAATTCACTAACAAAATATTAATTAAGACTTTATTTGTTGGGCTACTCATTGATCACATGGATCATAAGTATTTTGCCAGATGCGATGAACTAATTAATGCCTTTGTTTCAGTTAAAAAATGAAATATCCGCTCGCAATGACTTACTCGATAAAAAATATCGGGACGTAGAAGATGAAATATCTCATTTAAGATTTGTCAATAAACAATTAGGTGATTACTATAGAGAAAAAGAAGCAGATAATGATCAGCATAAAGGTAAGAAATATCATCCTATGGTCTAAGACTATTTTTTATCATTTTCGTTTTAATTTTGAAGTTGAATTAAATTCTTTCGTCAGTAAATTAGTCATTTAAAAATTTGTGAGTTTTCATAAATCATCCAACACAATGGATGCCTTACTTCAAACAAATTTTGCAGTTTGGGGTGTATAAGTTCAAAGGTTTACTGATCAATTAGACATTCATGCTGGTAACATAGAAATAAATATTTAAAAAGCATATATTACCTAGACACTTAAAGCTCAATAAAGTTTACAGATATTCTATCATTGTAAATGGAGGGCTAACACTAGATTATTTTAGCAGGTTTAAATGAATGATCAGAATCAGGGAAACAAGATACAGCCAAATCATGATAATCTGACCAATATGAGAGCAATACACTACTGTAAACATAGGAAAAAAAGGAATTAAGTTAAAAATTATGCAAGACTAAATTTTATCGATATTTCTTTATCAAAAACATAATTATCATAATTTACAAACAAATCTTCATTATAACTAGAAATGACAACCATGTAACAGAAAACAACCTCATCTTTTATTATTTCTTCACTTTGACTCCACAAAATATTATATGTTAGACTATAAGATTGTACTATTAGCAGAGGGCAGAGGACTTTAATTTAAAAAGAAAAACTAATATAAGAAAAAGAGAGGAATTTGGTGAGATAAAATTTTCATTAAATACTTTTGATACACCATATAATTTTAGAAAGAAACTGTTTTTTGAAAAGAATGAGTTACTGAGTATGATGGAAACCTGACTCGTGTTCTAGATTCACGGGAATTCATAAAGGCGTACAGCCACACACTAGGGCATATCCTTTTTACATACATATCCTTTTTATTACTGATAATCATATAATATAATTTTTATATAGTTTAGCTCCAATTCTATTCTTCATACTGGTTCCAGTATCGGGTATCTCAACATACAATCACAACCGACAACATACTGTAAACCGAAGTTGTCTATCTGGGGAATGTTCACACAGTCCCTCTCGTTATGTAATAGTAATAGTAATAGAAAATAGCTTTATTCTGGAACAAAGTCCCTTTAGAATAACAGAATAGTAGAGAATTAGAAGACTACATCTGGCCTAAATAAAACCAAAACGAAAAAATAAAGAAAATATTAGTTAAAAAAGCTATAAAAAAAAATGAATCTATATACAAAACACTTAAAACTATGTACAGTAGGAAAAATGATAATAATACACTTTTGAGGAAAAAAATATTAAAAAATATATTTGAGTTCTTCTTTAAAATTAGCTCTGTATTTCTGCTAACAAAGGAAAGACGAATCCGACAGTGTAAAATGTCAGGGTATTTAAATAATGAATAATATATAAACACATCAGTATCTTATTGTAACTATAGGTAAAGAATTAATTGTTTAAGAACAAAAAAAAAAAACAATAGATACATTCAGTGGCATTAAGAGTAGGAAGATATTGTAATATCTCTAGTGAAGATTACAATATGGAATAGTACTATCATTTGATGATGAATGTTATAATAGAAATGTATAATATCAAAAGCTTAGCAAGTATCTGACAGTTTTTGGGATAGGAATTCGAATAAAAGAGTTTTGAATGTGGATATGGAGGGGAAATGCCAAATTTTGATAGGTAGGTAGGTAAATTCCAGAAATTGACAGTGTGAGCAATAAAGGAGTTTTGAAATGAGGCAGATCTGTGAGAAGAGATGTAAAGGTCAGAAGGTCAAAATATTGTGAAAAGAGAACAGACTGAGGACTTGAATTAGAAAAGATTGTAGGCGTAAGAAGGAAGATGATTGTTGTTGATTTGATAAAGGAACGTACCTAGGAAATATTGTCATCGAAAGGAGGGAAACAGCCACTTTAACTCAATGTAGTGGTGAGAGACATGGGAGTATCTCGGAGTACCAATTAAAAATCTTATGCAGCTATTCATTAGTCTTTTCAGTCTATCACGGAGCTCCACCGAATGGTCATCATACACCACACAGCTGTAGTCAAAGTGGGGGAAGATGAGAGGGGGAAATTAGGAGTCTATGCGTATGTTAAGGTAGGAAATGGCGGAAGCGATGAAATAGTTTAAGGGTAGAAATTGTTCGTCGAGAGATGTGAGGAATATGGTAGTTCCAGGAGAGGATTTGATCTATGAAAAATCCTAAATTTTTAACAAAGGAGTTGAATGAGATTGGCTGGTCATTAAGATGTAATATGGGAAAGTCGGCATGGGATCTAATCAGAGACTTTGAACCAATGACAATAATAGCCTGAGCTTTGGCAGCACTCAACCTTAATCCATTTACATTTGATCCATTGCACTCGATCAAGGTCTTCTTGAATCTTGGCAAATGCTATCAATAATTCAGGGGGAGAAAAGAATAGGTAGATCTGGGTATCGTCTGCATAAAGGTGGTGGGAACAACGAAGAATTAAATTATGTAGGTCGTTAATATAGGAGCTGAAAAGGAGAGGAGATATGCTTGATCCTGGGCAACTCCAGAGGATAAAGGAAGGTGGAAGGTAGGCAGATAGTGGTTGATTGAGTATGGAGACTGCTTGGGTGTGGTGGGAGAGGAAAGATTGAAAGATTGATTGGAAAGATATAGGTACATGATTGAAACTAGATCGAAAGTGAGCATCTGCCTTAACGTGCTGCATAATCTGTCATCCTATATTAAATATCCTATTGCAAGCCAAACATTTCTTAACTCATTAACCACTAGTAATCTTGCTTTTCTATATCCTTTTTAAGATTAGGTTTTGGTTTATCAACGTATGGGCAAAAAAAAATTCTTAAAATTTTGTTTTCATTCTACATGTCCCTTAAAAACATTTTATTTTATTAGACTAATCAATATGCTTCATAAAATGGTTATTGAGCGTATCTGAGCTACTACTTGTAATTCTTTCAAGTATCTTCTGTGGCATATTTATCTTGTTTTAAAATTTTTGAATACTTTTTGGAGTTGTAACTTATTAATCATTATAAAATTATATTCAATCAATAATTTAATACCCTAAACATTTTTATTAATAAACATTAAAACATTAATATATCTATTCATCTATCTAGGGTATCTTGTATGATGATCATCATTATTTATGATTATCATCATGATCATCAGCAAAAATCATTTGTAAATTTTGACTCTTAATATGTCAGGTCTTACTGCTTGTTTATTTGTTTCCTTTTTAGTTGTCATCCTTTCTTTTTTTATCTCTAATATGAAATGATATATATTTTCAGATCGTTTGAAAAAATTGGCAAGGAAATTACTATCTTATGAACCGAAGAACTCAGAAGGTATTTAAAAAAAAACTAATTATTACAATTAACATGCTATAAAATCTCAAAGTTCCTGAAATAAAATTAGTACTTTTAAGTATTTAGAAATGGTAAACTTTACAATAATAATTTGCATTTTTTTTTTTTTTTTTTTTTTTTTTTTTTTGTTATAGTGAGGAAAATTCTTAATCTACAAAACACACCTGTTGATTTAGATCATAAACCTTCAAAAAATAGCAATAAGAAAAAAAATGAAGAAAACGTAAAAGGTAATGCTTTGTTGTGTTTGGTTAAATTATAAAGAAAATGGGTTATTTTTTAATGCCCCATCTCAACTAAATATATGTTCCTCCAATTTAAACAGTGTGTTTTGATATACGAGAAGTAAGTTAAAGATAAAAATTTAAATATATATATGTTTAAACTTTCTTTATTATTTTATTATAATCTACATTTGCCAAATTATTATATATGAATTAAAGGAAAAAATTTAACTTTCAAATAATTTAACTTGAAATTTATGGAAAAAATGTATATTTATATTGTTTTATTTTTAGAAGTTTTGACACTGTTATTTTATTTAAATATTTTTTGAAATTCTTTATTTTTTATTCATAATTATATTATTTTAGATAGTCATTTGTTCTAAGTAAATGTTATATACTACTTTATTGATATGTGATATATTTTAATTATTGTCATATAATATAATCTATATATTTTATCATTTACAGACATGAAGAAAGATAATATTGGAGATGATGATTTAATTACAGTGACATCAAAACCTTCAGATATCTTGAATACAGAAGAACTTGGTAAATACTGATACAACTTAAAACTAAAAGTTCTATATGTTTAGTTATTGTTAATTATCCTGTTTAAATTACACAAGATTTTCCATTAATTAAAATAAAATTAACTGTGACACCTTGAAAAATAAGTATCATTCATTTAAAAGATTTTTCTTAAATAAAATTTTATGGCTTTTTACAAGCTGTATTTATTTAACATATGACAATTAATTGTTTAAAATTCATATTTTTTTCATGTTATATTGTTGAAAGTATTGCTAAAATGTATAAAAATTGATGAAAGAAAGTTATGTATACTAGTATTAAATAAAATAGTTATTAGAGTAATCTTCAAAAACCAGGAATGAATATCAAACTATTTATAAAATAATCAAAAGATACTTTTGAAAAGATACCTAAGCTTTTTTAAGCTTCTTTTCACTTGTTCCTCTAAATTTTTTCCTTTTCTTGAAATCTTGAATTTTTATGTTAAAGCACTTTTCTTAATATCTTTAGCCTGAATGCTAATATACTTTGTCTCGTGCTAATCTTTTTACCTCACTTTTCCATGCCAGATCTAATAAAAGATTCCACTTACTTATAAATTTTCCTTGTCTCTTATTTTCTAGAAACACTTTTAGATATAACCATATATTTGTTTTCGTGGCCAGTTTTGTTGTCATTACTTTTCAGCTCTGTGTTCTATCCATGCTGTCAACACTTCACAGTTATTCTAGTTCGTAGCCATGAACATAATGTCAACTAAAAGTGAATCCTGTACCTTAACAGGATCCGTGTCCGTTACATATCAGTATATGACTTCTTAGCTTAGCTGCCCAGTTTTTAAAAATAATCTAAGAAATAAAACAATTGATAATAGTTCAGTAAGGAGTAGCTTGGGTTTTGAAGAAGTATTTATATTTTCTATTTTTGTATTTATATTTGTTGATAAACATTAACAAACATTATTACAACAATTACTTATTAAATTAAGTATTTTGTTTTAAAAAATTGTAAGGTATGCAATAATGATGGTAGGAATGAAGGATTGCTGTATTAAATGTATGGTAACAAAAGCACATTGCTCTTACTTCAGCTATTGGGCTAAAGCATTAATATTTTGAATTCCAGAAATTTTAATAAATTAGGAAATTTTGGTCTTCACAGTTACCTTTGCTTACTTTTTTCAGTGAATTCATAAGGAGGATTCTCTTATTTTTTTAATGATATGGTTGATATCAATATCTCTATTGGTATCAATATATCTCAAATATCTCCTAACCTAGGATCTCCAAACCATTTGGCTGAGACTGAAACCTGCAGTATTCCCTGCCTGCCCTATTGAGACCTCTGCTAAACCCCGAGGCCATGAATTATGGTGACAAAAAAAAAAACTGACACTTTATTTGTGAAATGAACTTGATAAGAGAAACAATTCATGTAATAAATATAGCAACTTCGTGCTTATGTGATTTACTAAAGTTTATTTATTTATAATAGATTAACATTTCACCATGTAACCAAAGAAACTTTCCCTGGTCAGATTGGAGGTGCTTGCAGGCTGAATGGGGGCCATAGTTACAAGACTCCTACCCTAACCACAGTAGCAATTAGATGGAAGAGTTTTAAGACCAAGATTTTCAAAACTTAATACACTTAATCCACATATTCCTGGGAAAACGAGCAATCATTAGTGTATTCCTAATTGATAGTCGGAAGCTTATGATTTATGACTTTTAATTATAACAAGAACTTAGTAAATATGTTTATGTAAGTTGAAATTACGGTTACAGCTTGGAGTTGATTCCTCATAACTATTGCTCTGTGCCATTTCCTGTTTGAAAGAAACCTCTTTTTGCTATAAGTAAGCACCTAATTAAGTTTAAAATAAAAAATATCGAAGTTCCTTCTATGATACAGCCAGTGTTTATACCTCCCATTTATTAGATTTCTTCAACTTACTAAAATTCTTCAATTCCTTTAAATTCTTAAGAATAGTTATAGCTTATGCAATATTCAGTTGTAGATTTTCCCTTGTACCTAATATTCAAACTTGAACTCTTAACAATTTACATTTACAGCATCTTCTCATAACAGATTTTTATTTATAATAGCCTCAGATTTGTCTGAACTCATTTTAAATATTTGAACTAACTAGTGTACATAAATCAATAATCAATCATTTTTATGTTTTTAAAAGTAAATATATTTATGAAAATTATAATAATTATGTTAATAAAAAAATTGTGTATGCCTTTATATAATGTTTTGTTTTATTTTTCAGGCATGTCTGTAAACGCTGAATGTGATAATGATACTGAATGTTATGAAACCAACTTCTTGTGTACAGAGGAAGGCTCCAACTCTCCAAGTCCTGAACCTGACTTGGTGCTTGATGCTAATAAGCTTAATGGAATGTCTGATGACTTCATAACATCACAGTCTTTTGATGATAAATCAATTACAGAAAAATCAAGTGAAATAATTAGTAATAGTGAAGATGGTATTATTACTTGCGAGGAATCAAACAGTTCGTCTAATTGTGTTGACAGCATTGATCATTGTTCATTTTACAAAAGTATTTCAAAAGATTCATCAAGTATTAATGTTGAAGAAAACAGAAGTAAATCTCCCGAAGTACTTCCTTCATTATTCGAAGAAGACAGTTGTACGTATGAAGACATTTCTGAACAAAATGAGATAGATGCTAATCACAAGAATTCAAATGATTTTCTAGAATTCGAGGGGAGTTTACCAGAATTAATTTCTCCCTTGAAATCAGATGAGCAAAGGGTGCTAAACTATCCTGATTGCAACCAAATCTTGCAACATGGTAGTGTTGTCCAGGATAATTCTGATTGTGATGATTCAAATAAAGAAATCACAGAAAATGATGTTAATGATAAAAATGAGAAAGTATCAACTGATATAAAAAACGAATGTTCTTCCAATAGTGGTGATCAAATAGACAAAAAGAAAAAATCTCCACATTCTATGTTCCAATCTAAATATCAAGCTTTAAATGACGGTTTGCTATTTAGTGAGAAAACACTGAATGGGAGCCACATACCGTTGAATGAGAACTATGCATCTAATTACCATTTTCAAAGTTCACATTGTTTTGGTTGTTGTAATAACAGTTTTGATGCTAGACCTCCTGTTACTTTGAAACTTTACAATTGTACTAATGTTGAAATTAGTATTCCTCCAGCAATGCAAAAAAATAACCAGCCGATTATAACAGTGAGGGATAAATGTGATCTGGATAAGTGTTTTGTTAACACGTCTAATGATGTTAATAAACCAGTGGACCCATCTGCAATTCACTGTTCTTTTATTCCTGATAGAAGAAATAGTCAGAGTAATGCTGATAGCAATAATCAACGTATACCGGCTGTTCTAACTTGGAGCAGACCATCCTTAAACAGGTCAAATCGTAACAGTCCCAAAAATATGAAAGAAACATCTAATCCATATTTTCAAGGTTGTCGTGATGAATCAGAAAAAACTGATTATTATTTTTCAGGTAATGTTTTTAAAAAATATATCTACTATTTTAGACAGTATATTATAATTTATTGGTTATTCATTAGCAAAATAATATAAAACATACAGGGTGGGGACTGACCTAGAAAAATGGAAAAGTTAGGGAATTTTCAAAACAGGGAAAAATTGTTAAGGTCAGAGAATTTTTTTAGTAAGGTAAATATTTTTTTTCAAATGGAAATAAATAAACAGTGAATATTGTTTAATGACCTTGAAGGGGTTAACTTTGTTGTTATAAACTACATCACTATATTCATCCACCTTTGACCATTCAATAATTGATGGTCGTTGTTGAATTACAGTTGTTCTATTGAAGATTGAAATCAAACAAGGATAATGAAAATTTTTTTTGCAAAATGGACTTAAAACAGTGCTTTTTTGAAAAGAAAAACATTCCCATCGTATTTACTATTTGTAATATAAACATCTTGGCCAAAATCTGGCTGACAAGCAATCATTCGTTGGTGCTCATTGAAAGAGCATTTATCAACCAAAAATGTCACAATTGGTGTCATAAGGACAATTATTATGCTGTTTATAGCAATAAAAAAACTAAATTACTTATGAGAAACTACATTATTTCATCCCATCCCTGCCTTCTAGGCTATACAGTTTTTTTTCCAAGCCAGGGGATTAATGCTAGAGTTAATAAGTTAAAAGCCCATTCCCCGGCACAGGAACACAAAATCGTAATTATTTTATCATACAAACTTTGGTTTATCTTGCCAGGCAACACGTGTTTTGTAAATATGTTAGCCCGCTTGGATACCAGTAATTAATTTAATATTTGATGAGTGCCAAGGAAAATTTATCCCTCAGATTAATTTTTTTTTTCCATGGTCCTGCTTCTCTAACGTACGCTAACTAGGACAGGAACTATCTCATAATTAACCAACCTATTCTAGTCAGAATGATTAGGTCAAGATTTATTCCGTGGGTCTGCCATAAAATGAATGTTAACACTCCAAGGCATAATCCAATCTTGTGTCACTTTTGACTCAAGGTGATGCTTTATAAATATTTCAGCGTGATAATATACGTGCTTACATCTTTCTTCTTTGTTGGACTTAATCCTCTCCCTTTATGTATTCTAACTAAGGCAGAAAGAAGGGCTTTAACACACTTTAGCGGGAGTATGAAAATAGAGATTCATTACCTTTCTTCTTTGTTCCTCCATTACAACCAGAACTATTTTGAAAGGACTGGTTTGATGTCTTTGTACGCTAGATTGTAACTGCCTGATGTTGGTTTTGTTTTTTTATGTTTAAGTTATTACTAAATTATATTAAGACTATTGTTGATAAATTCTTAATTACGATTCATAAACTTATGATTAATTTTACTTTTCAGATTACTTAACAAAGAATCAAGTTAGTGAAAAAAGCAGTTCTTTCAGAGAGCCATGGGTGGATGAAAATGAAAGTGAAAGTGATACAATCAAATGTAGCAGAATGTTTCCTGTCAAAGCTGATAAACAATTTGATTTGGAATACTTTTGTTATGCATTTGGAAGCTTATCTCTGAAATATGTATTATCTAAACAAACCTCTATAGTCAATTTTTTAGAAAAAAGGAATAATTGCACAAATAGATATTCATCATTGCTCAATATTTCTCAACCACCTGTCTTTCATAATAGTTTAAAAAATTCTCTAAGTTCAAAAAATAAAAATGAATGGATATTTGGACAAAATTTCTTGAAAGGTTTAACAAAGAAAGACATTTTTCATAAGACGGCAGTCAAACCAACCAACTTGTTGAACAAAAATGCTGAAGAAAATTCTCCTAAAAAAATAAAACATTGTAACATAATACAGAAATCTGTTTTAAATTTGAAAACTAATTACATAAATAAGAAAAGTATTAATGATTCTATAAAGAATATGATCCCAGTGGATGAGTCTGTTCAAAATCCATTTCATAAGATTCATCATACAAATGATTTAAAAGGAACTAAGGGCTATTTCAAACCAGTTTGTTTTGACATTAATTCAAAGAAAACAATATTCGATAGAAAAGGTAATGTGTGTTTTTACCTCATTACCTAACTATTGGTTATTTACTTTTATCATATTTTTTAATATAATTTACTTTTCTTTCTTCAACAGATACTATCTTTGAAAAAAGACAAGTTATAATGCCTCAGCCTTGTATGAAACCATCTGTAGAAAATAATCAGACTTGCATTGAAGATGTAAATCACAAACCATTTGAAAATAACTCTTTCAAATTACAGTCTTCTCAACGGAATGTATATAATCCTAATGTTGCTACTGAAACTTCCAAAAGTGAATCTGATCTTTCTTCACACGATAAAGGTGAATTTTTACTTCTACTTAGTTTTCAATTTTGGGAAAATTAAGAAATCCCTCTATTAGATCTCAATTCAAGCTAGATGTTAAGAATAGGTTTGAAGCTTCAGAACTTTCTGACGATATTGACAAATTATGGGTAGAGTCAGGGACAATATTAAAGCGGTTGGTAACTCGTGTCTAGGAAAAAAGGAAAATAAGAATAACAAATTGTGGTTTGATAAAGATTGTAAAAAGTGTGAAAAAAGAAAAATCCGCTAAATTAAAAGCTCTAAATAAACCTAGAGAAGACAATCTGGAATACTTCTGAACCTTAAAGAATGAAACGACTAAATTGCTTAAAAATAAAAAAAGGGAATATCTTAAAAATAATATAATAGAATTGAAAATAACGTAAGAGACATGTACAAAGGTATAAACAGATCACGTAAATGTTCAGGGCCCCTCACGTCTGGAATTAGGGATGGAAATAACAATATTCTAACCGATCCTGTAGACATATTAAATAAGTTTAAGAACCATTTTGACAATATTTTAAAGACGGGAAATTATAATCTGTGTCGTTCTGAGTACCAGAATTGTTCTATTAACAGTAATAGAAGAATCGAGTAAAGAGGAAGTTGAAGTAGCTATCAGAAAATTAAAATCTTATAAAGCAGCGGGAACCGATAATATTCCTAGTGAACTAATTTAGGCATGTGGGAAAGCTGGAGTTTCTAGAATACGTTTTTTGGTTAAAAAGATATGGGAGAATGAGAAATTGCCTGAAGAATGGAAAGAATCTATTCTTATTCCGATTCACAAAAAGGGTCCGAGGACGGATTATAATAACTACTGAGGAATTTCACTCCTATGGCCACTTTCATTAGGGAATGAGCAACAATGTCTTAAGGTTTTTGAAAATAAAGTATTGCGTAGAATATTCGGACCGAAGAAGGATGAGTTAACTGGTAGAGTTCAGACAGTTACCTAATTGCGTGAAATGTATCCAGTTAATGGGGGTGGAATAGCTCAGTGCTAGGGTACTGATCTTCCAATACTCAAGGTCCTGGGTTCGAATCCTGGCTCATGGCAGAAAAATTATTTATTCTGTTTCATCAGCCGTGGGGCAATCCTCATGGGATCAGAAGAAGTATATATCCAATGATAGATAATTTAAAAGAAATGTCCATTATTTTGAAAATAATATTAAAAAACAAAAAATTTTGGCCAAGACCACCACAGTTATCTTGAAACAATTTAATGTGTATTTCGTCTTTCATGGGGAGTTTATGGAAGAGGAATTAGCGATTTCAATGAAACTATTTTTGGTCAAACATCTGTCTATTATTTTTCAACCTTATTATCACCAAAAATACCTTAGCTTTCATAGTGAGGAAGCCAAAATTTCTTTGAAATCTGTGAATTTATGCCTGTAATCTCTTCATTTTAGATAAATATAAATCTTTCAAATGGCAAAGAATACTTCATACCTTAGCTATGCCGTAATATTTGTATATTGATGAATATTTTTGTGTTTAATTTCAGGTCATTCACAATCAATTTTTGACTTAGATCAGGGAAAAGGTACTTCAACTTCCAATTCTATTTCCCACTCTAGCATATGCAACAATAAAACAAACTATGCTGCTACCTCTCATCTATTATCGCAAAAAGAACCCATATTAAATCAAATACAGAAACCTCCCACTTCAAGAAGTTCTCATCGCTCTGCAAAAGAAGGTAATCCTTACTCGTTTTTCAACTTTGCATATAAGTTTAATTTTTATGATAGTTGTAAATATCAATTTAATTTTAAGCCATCGGATTATGCTGTATCTCCCAAAATTCTCTTGGGGAGATGCACCTCTACATAGTGGAGACTCTTTAATGGGACCGGAATAAAAATCTCGTAGCCATTATTCAAGAATCTCTACTCTCCAATTACTGTGTCTTAGACATAGTTATGATATCGTTAGTTTCATTATTTATTTGTTTTAAAGTTGTGAGTATTAAAAAAAATGGTATGCAAAGTCTTTTTAACATAATTTTAAATTTATCCTGTTCCAAAAAACGTTCTAAGGAATTAGGAACTAGAGTAGGATTAATTAAAGGATTTTAATTCTTCTTCTTCTTTCTGTTTCTCTTTTGTGCCTTTCAGCATGAAGGTGCCTCGATCCATGAATCCCAGGCATTGCGTTCCTGAGTTAGAGCCCTCATATCCCTTATCTGCTTACTCCTTTTTTGCCCAATGTGGGAGATTCTTTATCCATGACCACCTAGGTCTTCCTCTTGGGCACTTTCCTGTGGATCTTGCCTCCATGACTTTTTGTGGGACGCAGTCTACGTTGATTTGGCATATATGCCCATACCATCTCAGTTGCCTCTTTTCTAAATAATCCTTTCGTGAAAAAGTGTCTAGTTCCTCTCTTATCTTTTCATTTCTGATCCGGTCTCTCCTTGTTTGGCTGGCTATCCTTTGAATATATTTCATTTCACTAGCAGTAACTCTGCTTAGGTGTATGGTTAAAGGAACCCAGCTTTCACTCCCATAGATAAGGGAGGTATACTGCAAAAACACAAAGAACATTATACCATATACTTACCCTGACAGAAGATCACCTGCACTACACACCCTATGGCCACCTTTCTTGGAAGTACCCTATGGATGAGGGCATAAATTGTATCCAGTTGCCTCTATTACTGGACCAATCACCCATAGTAGAGTGTAACTGATTCAGAACAAACAAATGTCTCGGATATGGAGAGACAAATCTGTCACGACATGGCTCTTGAAAGGACACCAGAATTAGAACTCGGAATATTAAAACATTGATTTTACTTCATATGATCTGTTCTGCTTGGTGCTTCCTTTGTATTTTAACTTACTCTGCTCACCAATATTTTTATGTTTTAATACTAGGTTTTAAAAAAGTCCACATGCATGAACTAAATTCCATAATTCCATATGCATAACCCTTAATTCCAGCTCTCATATTTAATTTTACAAGAATGTTTTTGTTGCCAAAGAAATGTTTGTCTTGTGTGAAGAAATATTGCCGCACTTTGGCTTAGTCGTTTCATCAACGAGCTTTGCAGATGAATCCAAATCAGATCGCCCGTCGATTATTAATAATAACGTTCTTGTTGAATTTGTGAACGAAGTAGTGCATATGCAACTACTTGTGATTTATCGGCAGTAGTAAAGGCTTCTAATGCTACAATGGCTCTTCATCTTAAAAACCTGTTTTTTAAATTTTAAGATAGATGTCTGACTTACATGACTTGACACGGGCCAAGCCCAACAGCGAGTTGATATGTCCACATTTTTTTTTTAAATCTGAAATATGACAGGTTTTGGTAAAAAAAATTGTGTCAGGTGACATAAAATATATATATTTTTTAAAGAAAACTTCAACAAATATATGCAATGAGTACGGTCAGCTGTACCGAGTCTTCACCTGAGAGAAGTTGCACTGCTAGAGGTTTGCCAAGATCAGTTTGGAGAAAAAAAAGTGACGCTTTGTGTTTGGTGGAACTTGATGGCGTTTTACATTTTGAGCTTGTTCCTGATGGTTGGACAGTAGACTCAAACCTTTAATGTGAACAGCTAGACAGAGTTAATACAGTTTTGAGTGCAAAGAACCTTGCACATCATTTTTATTTGACCAAGAAAAAATTATTGGAACTGCAAGTAGTACAAGTTTTGCCTCATTCTGAATATAGCTCGGATATTACACCATCAGATAATGGTTTGTTTAGATCAATGGATCATTTTTTAAAAGGTCAGATCTTTGATAATTACAAGGACATAAAAATTGGATATGAAGACTTCTCAAAACCAAAGGAGTGGAACCGACATCAAATCCATTTACTGGCAAAAATTTAATTTTACTTTGAAAAATGAATAGTATTCAATAATGTTTAAAATATGTAATATGAAATAAAACTATAATTATGTACAAGGACTTTTGTAACAACCTACATTCATTTATATTTTTTTAAGTTAATAGAACTGATATAAATATTAAATATTGTTTACTCACTCCTCACATCAGTGGGAATCATTCAATATTTAGCAACATCTCTATTAATCCTTTGTCTATCACTATTCTTATTGGAGGACGGGATGGCCAAGCACATAGGGGCATGAGTCCCAGAGTGTTGTTTGGTTCTAAACGTTGCGGGTTCGATTTTCACCTGGGTCGGTTATTTTTCATATCTCAGCAGCCCCGGTAAATGGATCTTGAACCTCTCTGGTAAGTTTGCGGCGGCATTCTCAAGGTAGCCGTCGGGAGTTGGCTAAAAGGACCACAATAGGCTCACTTGCCGGACCAGTTCTTTCCCCCTGTATACTATTCTTATTATGATTTTAGACAATTTATAGCACATAAAAATTACCTTTTATTAAAGTATGTTGTCTAATTACTATACTGACTCTTATTAGCAGCAGCTTAAATAAGTGTTATTTTTCAATCTGCGACAGTCTTTAGAAATGGATATTGACTCATAAAACATTATGAGGATTACTTTAAATAACATTATAATATCACATGACTTTAAATAAATCGGATTAATAATGAGACCAACGAACAGTAAATGCATCATTGTCTATTGATGTCGTCATCGAGAATCCCTTTAATAAATCTTTTATCCTACATCTATTTTAAATCAATACTAGGGGTTAATTTTTTCAAAATTTAAATTGTATATAATTATTATAATTTATCAATTTATAACTGCTCTATTGAAAAAATACTTACTATATTTTCATTTACTTGATTTTGTTTTAGTGATAGCTGAGGAACGATCAATATCACCTAGAAAAGAGCATTTAAAGGAGAATTTAATGAGAGAAAAGCCAGTATTGCAAAAAGAAAGGACCCCTAAAAAGATTAAGCATTACGATTTACCTCAATCAAAAAATGTTTCTATTAATGATGAGTATTTATTCAAAAAACCAGATTCTGTAAATGTTAAAGCAACTTCAGATACAAAAATTACTGAAAAAAATGTTGAATGTAAACCATTAATTAACAAAGAATCAAAAGGTAATTTAAACAAAAAATTAACTTTTGATACTCCAAGAAAAATTGATCAATCCACCAGGGTAATCAAACAGAAATCTAGTCCTGACGTTAAAATACAAAACATTAAAAAAACGCTTTCTCTGCAGAATGGATTAAATAAGGAATCCAAATCTTTGAGTGGCACTACTTTAAAACCAGGCAATAAACCTATGGCCGTTGTTCATAAAAAGTCAATTAATATCAGTTGTGACCTCAGTACTGGTAAAAATTTATTTAACTAGTATTCTTAATACATCCAAGTATAACATTTTTTATTATTTTATTAATTAATTAATTTTTTTATTTAGATAAAGAAGAAGTTGAAAAATCAGATAATGAACTACAAGAAATTTTCAAAGAAATGAAACATATATCTATTCCCCTATTATCACCTTTAAGAAAAACCCCAGGTTTGTTCAATTTTTTTTTTTATCTCCACATTGTTCTGGAATTCCAATCAGATGTTATACTGATTATAATTCTGTTAATTGAATATGTCTGATATTATTGATTGCTATTAAATTTACTTTAACTCGTGTTCCTGTCATGTGCAGTCCCTGTGGCATAAGTATTTTTTTTTAATTTCTTAATTCCATTTATTTACGAATAATATAGCAACCGTAGTTTTCTTTTATAAAAATATTTATAATGTTTTTAATTTTTTTTTTTCATTTATGTTGAAGTTAAAAACAGTTGTCTTTCACAATTGCCTTTTTCATACAATATTTAAATGTTAACCTTCCAAGTATTATTATATAAATTATATAAACCAAGTATGATTATTATAAACAATCTATTCTAAATCCATTTAGATCAAATTTCCTGAAAGAGAGAAGGCCTTATGTATTGATTTTACTTGGTTAGATCACTAAATCAGAATATTTTATATTTTATGACTAAATTTGTTGATTCATCCCAATATTTTATTTTTATATATTAAGTATGTAAGAACATAGCTTGTGTATTATGTATAAAATAATATGCATAAAATATTTCAGAAATATCTGCTGTAGAAACATCAAGACTTACGGAAATTGAGGGTAGTTCAGTAGAAAATTCTGATTTAGAAAACAATTATGAAATAATTAAATCTAAAGAAGACATTGAATCTAAGGATGTCAAAGATGAGAAAATAAATTCTTCACTGGATAAACCTGTTTTAAATAACGAAATACTTTCAAAGTGTGACATTATCGAGAGCAGGTTGGAAGATAATGAAACTATCTCTGAATCAAAACAATCATTTTTTTCTGTTGATGAAAGCAAATACAAACTGTTTTCAGATAGTGACGATACGGAATCTCTTGAAGAAGAGACCGGTATGCATATAGAAGACTTGGTTGTTAATGATGAGATTTTAGAAGATAAGGAAATGGAAAGTTGTAACAATAATGCAATAAGCCCAGTTAATGATGAAGTTTTAGAAATTACCGAAATACAAAGTTTTATAAAGACTGAAGAAATAAAAATTTATAGTCGCAAAAGGAAAAAATCTACTGAAAGCCTGGAAGAAGAATACTATGCCTCTCTTCCCTCATCATCAGAATACAAAAGTAAAACTTCTGAGGAAACCATCCCAACTGCTGATTATAATTCTCCTCGTAAAGATGTTGAACCTTCTTCAGCAGGTGACAACAAAGTTGAACTTTGTTCTAGTACTGCTAGTGATAATAAGCCCTCCATTGCCCTAGGATTTTACGTTAATAGAAATGATGAAGAAAGTGCTAGTAGTGTATCGGTTCCTTTACTTCCTGATATCAAAAATCCAAAACTAGAATGTACAACTGTTTTGGAAGACCCGAACCCTAATCCTTTTAATGCTGCTGCAAAAGATATTTCTTCTACTGAGGATTGTGTTCCAGAAAATGATTCTGTGGTGCAAAGAGAAGAAATGCAAGAAGGTATTTATTTCAAATTCACTTAGTCATTGTTTATTGCTTAACTTTTGACCGAAATATTTTAGAATTACATTCATAAAATTATAATAACAGTGCATCATAATTTACCTGTTATGTTGTCGGCATCATGTTAAAGTATCGAATATGAAACGTTGGGCAGGTTAACATTTGTTACTTTAACATGGTGCGGACGATATGTTCGTAAGCACTTCTTTATATTGAAATATAATTAATTAAACAACAAACTTTTTCCCAAGAAATTAAATCCATCAAATTTATTTTCACGTATTTTTCATCACACTCATTTCAATAATTTTCTATATATTTTTTAATAACTTTTTTAACGATATATAGAAATACTACTACTTTACCCAGCCACACACTGCTGTGGCACAGTCTCACAAAATGGAAAAGAAAGAAAACAGAAACCACATATGAGTCGCTTAATATCAAAACACGTCTGCCGTTTATAAAAAGTTGTGAAAAAAATTTTGTTGTAACATAGCTTCAATTTAAACCAATTCTTATGATTTTTTTTTCATGATTCAACTTGAACATTCTTAATCATAAGAAACAGTTTGAGTTGAACTCATAATACAAAAATTGATTTTTTCTCCGTTTTTTGAAAATGACAGAGATCCGTCTTTGATATGAAGCTGCTCATATATTTTCACATTTAATTTTATAATCAATTATTTGTATATTTGATATATTGTTTAATGTTCAGCTTTGTGTTGATTATTTTATGGAAAAGAAAAATGTAAATGTTTGTTTGTTAGAAATCTTAAATCTCGAAAAGCTCTTTACCGATTGTCTTGAAATTTTAGCTTAACCTTGCATTCAAATACGCGTGTGGTTTTATATACCTACTATTATAAAATATCAGGTAAAACTATATATATTTATTAAAACAGCATTTGTTGAATGTAAAAGCAACATGTGGCATCACATCAAGCATGGCTTAGCATTGAAATTGAGCTATCCTATTTACCATGGCATTCGTTTCGTGTGCATTAGACCTGCCTTCTACCTCCCTCAAAAGATTTCACATACCTCTCCTAATATATTTGATTGCCCGCTTAATTACAACTTGATTAAATGTAGGTTTATAAAAATTATGGTAGAAAAATAAACCTTACTCATGAAAGAAACCCTACGATAAACGGCACAGCCTTATTCCAATGTAATTTTAAAGAAACTGATTTCTAACAAGATTCTAGAACATAAATAGTGATAATTATTACTCAAGAGTAAACTATTTTTAAATTATAGCATATCAAATATTTGAGATGTATCACACTACTTTCCGAACACATTGGGGGAAAAATATAAATATGAATTTAAAAAATATAAAATAGTATCCACCTTCATAAGGAGAATTGTATCACTTCTTCAAATGATAATCGAAATTACTTAAATAATTATAAAATTTTTGATTAATCAATAACCAAGAAAAAAGGAAATAACCTATATTAATGTTTAAAACTTTTATCTCTGCACTGAATTTCCGTCCGATTTCGATAATTTTTTTTTTTTTTAGTTTGTAGGGAATTGAGGAAGGTTTCAAATAATTATGGGTATAATAATAATAATAATAAAAGGCTTAGCGAACCCGAAGGTTCCATGCCGACACCACCAATCGCTTATTACACACCTCCCTCCACCGTTCGCCGTCCAAACCCAGTCCCTTCAGATAGGCTTTAATGCAATCTTCCCACCCTCGCTTCGGTCTACCCCTCGGACGCTTACTATTCGGCACAGCAAATATTAATCTTTTAGGAATTCTCTCGTTACTAAGCCCAACAACTTTACTAGCCCATTTGCTTCGCTGCGACGAAATTACCTCAATTATATTACCCGGATACAGTTCACGCAATTCGGCGTTGTGTAACCGTCTGAACTCTCCGGTTAACTCATTCTTCTGCGGTCCGAATATTCTACGCAATACTTTATTTTCAAAAACCTCATGCCTTAATGTAAGCGGCCAAGTTTCGCATCCATAAAGAACTGTAGGAAAGATAATTGTTTTATAGATTCTAATTTTTAAGTTCCGGGACAAGAGGCGTGAACTGAGTAGTTTTGTCACAGAAAAATAACAAGCATTTCCCGCCTTCAGTCTAACCTTAATCTCTTCTTCAATTTCGTTTTTTCTAGTTATCGTAGAACCTAGATACCTAAATTTATCTACCTGTTCAAACATATTACCATCTATAACGATATCACCAGTAGTATCGCCATTTTTGCAGCTAACCATATATTTTGTTTTATCCACGTTTATTTCGAGTCCTAGTTTTTTACCGGCTTTCATTAACATTGTCGTATTTAGTTTTATAGTTTCAACGTCTTCGCTTAACAGTACCAGATCATCAGCATAGCCCAGCACGGATGTTGTCCCACCCAGATCCAACCCTTTCTCGGTACGCATTACCTCCCTAATGGCATGTTCTAATGCCAAATTGAACAGTACAGGCGAAAGGGAATCCCCCTGTTTTAAACCCGAGCGAACCTCAAATTTTTCCGACAGATTATTACCGATTCTAACTTTATTGAGTGTCTCCATCAAGCACATCCTGACTAGATTTACTAGTTTTTTTGGAATCCCCTGCTCGATTAGAATATTATACAGTTTCTGGCGGTCAATAGAATCATAAGCCTTTTTAAAATCTATATACAGCTGGTGAACAATACCGTTGTACTCTAATTTTTTCTCTAATATTTGCCGTAAAGAGAATATTTGATCAATAGTTGAACGATTCTGTCTAAATCCGCATTGGTAGTCTCCAATAATTTCCTCGGCGTATTCCGTGATTCGACTGGTTAGGATTAAAGTAAATATTTTATAACATAGCGGGACGAGTGAAATTCCTCGATAGTTATTACAATCCGTCCTCGTGCCCTTTTTGTGAATCGGAATAAGAATAGATCCTTTCCATTCCTCAGGTAATTTCTCATTCACCCAGATCTTTTTAACCAACCGATGTATTTTAGAAATTCCAGCTTCCCCGCATGCCTTAATTAGTTCAGTAGGAATATTATCGGTTCCCGCTGCTTTATAAGATTTTAATTTTCCGATAGCTACTTCAACTTCAATTATGGGTATAATCAAGCAAAAATTGTGTACTTTTGAGTTGTTCACAAATAAAATTCTAAATTCATCATAACATTTTTTGCAGCTTATTTTCAGGAAAAAGGGTTTCAAGGAAAGGACTTTAGCCAAGTTTCATTAAAATCTTTACAGCCATTTTGGTGTGACAGTCTATGCAAGATGCTTTTCGGCCACCATTTCGAAACGAAATGCTGGATGGTATTGAAATGTTCATAAAAACACTCCTGAATTTGACTGCAATGTTGTGTCAAAATTTCAAAGTGATCGGAGAAGAACTTAAGAAGATTAGCGGTTTTAAACAAACGAACATTTACTTTTTTTTTTTTACATATATAAAATTATCGTAGAACAGAAGTACTTTGCCAGAAACCTTAAGGGGAGTGTACACAACAACTTTCCAAAGTTTTATGGCTATCGAATCTATGGCTTAATGCATAAAGGACAAACAGACAGACAGATATTCATTTTTATATATAAAGATATAGAATATTTTTTTCTAATGAAAATTTGACGTTCGAAAAAAAAGTTCAATTGATTGAGATTTTCGATGTATGGAACTTCAATTTACATATAATTACTTTAATTGTTTGTTTGAAGTTTATTTAAAAAAAATAATATGAAAAAACTTTTTGCTCTGTTTCAATTGCTTTTAAGAATTAAGCCAGCTAGACTGAAATTATTTGCATTTACAGAGTTCAAGGAATAATATTTAATCTTATCTCTCTTTAAAATAAATGCTAACCAATAGCCTCAATTTTATTGTTAGAAGTTTTATAACGAATTGGATTGGACTCTTTTCCAATGTACAGGTCGGTAATGTGGAGTAACTTTATTTTTTAAGGATCTAGTATTTCTTTGTAATTGATGGGTATATGTTGCTGAGGAAATTAACTATGAAGATATTTGTCTAAAAGAAGTTAAAAATTATTCCTTGCCAATTTTCTCCCTTTTTCTGTGTTCATTTATGATATATATGATGATTTTATTTCTATAGGAGGGGAAATACCTCTTGATAAAGAAGAAAGCCCGGGAAAGAAAAGGAAACTTCGTGAAAACAATGATCATGTTGAAGGTATGTGCAGTAAGAAGCAAAAAATGTTTTCAGATGATGAATATATATCCTGTGAAAGTGATGTTTTTATTTGTGCTCTAAGATACCTGTCTGCAGCTGCAGTAGCATCCTCTGACAGAAAAGTCCGCTCTTTACCCAAAACAAATGCAGATCTTACTACGAAAATAGGTAATTTTTCATTGTTTTATTTATTGTAGATATTTAATCAATTTAATAATGGTTATGAAGTTATCTCTCTGTTGTATAAAAAAGTTTTCAGTGACTTTCATATTTTACTCTATTTTAGTATTAGGAGAGTATAGGATAACAGGAGCTCAACTTCCCTAATGGCGATTGTTACTCTAAACATTCTGAATCCTTATTTATGACATAATTAAATTGTCTTTAAAGCCCAAATTTAAATTAATAATAAAGTTTTAAAATAAATAACAAAATCTTAATATCACCGTTATTAGAGAAGATAATTATAATAAGTATTGGAATTAGCATCCAAAGAATATGAAAGTAGTGTTAGGGGACATACCAGATATTTTTTCAACTATTGACCAATTTATTTTTAAACAGATTTTTTTTTTTATTCCGCTTAAATATTATTCCAATTGTATTGAAAATCTGTTTAAAAGCCTGATTATAAATCAGTAAAGATAGTATAATCAGGAATGGATATTTGATTGAAGATTAACTATATAATATTTTTTAATTTAAATTTTATTTTGGATCCGTAACTAGTGTAGGAAAGTAAATTAAAGGAGACCCATTTAGCAACAATTTTATATATGCGATTATAAGAGTTTAAAATAAATCATAAGGTATGAACATAGTCTCCAAGTCCTGCTCACAAGAGTCTTCCATAAGTTTTGTTTTCTATAATTATAATATACTATTTAGTTATAAGATCACACTAAATAATTGATTATAATCAAGGGCATATTGTATTTTTCCTGAAAACGATAAAAGCATAGGGTATACAAACAGATGAAAAGAGTAACTAATAAATACTATGTCTGTAGAAAGAATTAATGGAAGAATGGGATTTGATATAGTTAAACCATATTCTGTATGTTTTTCAAATTATACATATTCCTTGGCATTTATTTAATCTTGACTTGTGTTTTCTAAAGTTTCTATTGTTAAATTGCAATGTTTCTATAAAAGAGAACTGAATTTTACTTAAAGATATAAATCAAAAGATTGAACTGAAACACTTCAATAATTAATATACATTCCTATTTATCTATCTTAGCATATAAAAAAAGTGAAATGAGTCAGTTCTTCTTAACAGAATTATTTAATCAAGGTTTAGATGGGTGGGGCATTTGTTTCAAAGTAATATACTAAGATTTCTCTAGATTACTATGAATTGATTGTAGTTGACAAAACACTACATTGGATACTAAAAACCAGTTGGAAGAGGGCGGGGTGGCCAAATGGGCTAATGCATGTGCACAGCACCACGAGTTGATCAGATAACCCCGTATAGCCTAAAAGGCGTGGAAAGGGGGGGGGAAATAAGTCAACAACAAAGATTTTATTAAGCTGCTGCATACCTGCAATACATAGGAAAGTATTAGATAAGAAAGGTGGAGTTCAGTTTTTTTAAGAGTTGAATCATTTTTTATTTTTAATGTTGGAGATATTGTAGACCATGGAACAAATTGTATGGAAATTTGGTTTGAGGTTGCTGTGCTAGATGAAATAACACACAAATGATAAGTCTCATTTTATTGTGTGCCAACTTTTTGACCTAAGTTTTTGGCTTTCATCTGGGCAACTTTTCTAATGTTCAAACATTACAAGTGGCTTACTGAATTACTTTGCACGGCTCTAGAACACATTGTCTTGTCTAGACAGAGGCAATTGCCAGAGTGTCCATATCCGAGGCTGATTGATGAGATTTTATAGTGATTTGCGTTCAGGTTGAGGGGACACTCTCCCTCTCTACTTACCCTAGCCCTGTGGTGGGGCTGTCACCTTCTGCTCCGGCTCCATGTTTTAGAGGAGGATTTATTCTCTCTTCGCAGCAGATCATCTAACTCGACCTTTGGATGCTGCTGTCAACCAACTATGAGCCAGGAGCTAGATTCCTCCACCATCAAACCTGAAAGAAATGTCCTGCTGCCAAAATCCTCAGGACTTCCCTTTCATGAACCCTATCTTTCAGTTCACCTACTTAATATTCGGCAGGGATTTTAACCCCACCTCAGACTTAGTCGCTTGACTTATCGAGCCTCACCGCGTATAGGAAGGAGTAGGAGAAGCCATGCAATTGATGGAAATCATAAGTTATCCTTTCTATACTCTTTGGATACACCAAAACAATTGGCACCAAGTTTAATTTTTTAAGTACCTTAAATACTTGTTTTTTTTTTTGGTACGAAAGTTAAAAAAAGTTAGCCGACTATCTACCTTTTTTTCCAAATAGCCTTTTCTGTTGTCATGAAACATTTTCTTTATTCTATGATCTTTGATCTTAAATAAAGTTAACTTTTACATATTTTTGTCTATTATAATTATAATAAATATAATTCAAATAAATAATTAAGTTAAATTGAATATTTACATGATGTTTTGTTTTGTTTTAGCCATTAACCATATTAAAAATCTTATTATTGGGGCACTAAAGTTCGTGGATAGTGATGTTTACAATGTTTTGAACTCCTCTGTCAAAAAAATGCGCCTGATCAATGATGCTTCTCCTACATCTTTAGCCAAGTATTTATTTTCTAATGATTTATAAATTTATCTTTAGTATTTAAGAAATAATTACATTTAATAAATTCTTTATTTTTTTTTTTTTTTTTAGGGCTATTATAGAACTCTTAGTTGAAAGTAACGACAAGTCTGAGGCAAAAGACAAGCCCTATATGCCCAGTATGACCAAAACAATAAAAATGTGTCTTTTAACTGCTGTTTCGTTTATCGGATACAATAGAGACTATGTGATGAATTTTTGTGAAGTTTTTGAGCAATATATTTCATCATTTTATGATAAAACTTTAAGAGTAAGTTTTTATTTACTAATGTATATTTTTAAAATAATTACCATTTTATATCACAATATACTTATATATATATGTGTGTGTGAGTGTGTTTGTGTGTGAATTTGCATATATATATATATATATATATATATATATGCAAATTCATTTTGCTGCCTGATATATTTTTCATCCCTCAGCAACAGCTGATAAGCAGCAACTTTTTCTTCGACATCGGCTAACCGGAAGTGCCCCTTTATATTATTGTCATTGGTTTTACACTTTTTTACAATTTTCTCGAAAACGGCTCTCATGATTTTCATCAAACTTAACATAGTTATGAGCAATTAGGTCTTTTTTATTATAAGATAGCTCTATCCTCATTGATGTAATCTGACAGAGCTTAAATTCCGAACATTTAAAATTTCTTCCTCTAAAGTACCTTTATTTTTGTTTATGTCAAAAAATTGATTATTTCACATTGTAACTATTAATAAAAAGTGATTAAATATAATGAATGAAGAAAATAGATTGGTAACTAAAAGGGAAATAAGGGTTGGATACCATACGGAAACAACCGAGAGCTCTCGACCTTTGCCGATTCCCTCCATTTATAGCCTGTGGGCCAGAATGACTACCATGCACCTCCTCCCCCTTCTCACATCCCTATAAATTGCATATCTTTGTGTTCCTTATCCGTAACTATTTACTAAAAAAAAACCAATGTTCTCAAGAAAAAAAGTGAACGCACTGCCCAAAAATGGCAGTGTGACAACTTTGACTTGAGTTAGTTCTTTGGTCGCTGAGAATCAGCATTTTTTGGTTTAATTTTGGCATAATTGTACTTTTACTAAAGCTGAATAGTCAGATAATAATAAACCATGAAACAATATTAAAAAATAATTGGCTTAGGCAATAAAAACCACCAGTAAAGTCGATTTTTAAAGACATTTTCTTAATACTTGCTTATATTTAGTAACTAAAGTACTTGCATTATAATTAAAAAGAAAAAATGTGATTGCGTAATTATTTGTCACAAATCATTAATAGAAACAAATATAGATGTTTTAAGTTTTAAACAAATATTTATCATGAATAAATTATTTCAGGTCGTTGAAGGTTCCCAACTTGTAATTTTCTATACATCGTTTTGTAGAAGTTACAATTTGGATGACAAAGTAAGATACTTGATCTATGATGTTTTGTATACAAGAAATATCAAAGCATATCCTATGGTTTATAAAACAATTCAAACTTGGCCAGATGTACTTCCTCATTCAGAAACTTGTTTTGCCAAAGGTAATAAAAGTTATTATCTTATAATATTTAATGTAGAGGATAATTATATTATATCCCATTTTTCTGTTCATTATATTTCAAAATCATCTCCTTTCACTAACTGAAAACAAGTTACTTTTTGTTTTTCAATTGAAATAATGACATTTTGAACAGAATCTGTAATGTTTCAGTGTATTCAATAGTTTTGTAAATTACCTTCTGAAATTCTTATGCTATGAAACTGCTTGGTTTGTTTGGTATTAATATGTACTCTATTGCCTAATGTTAAAACATTTTTATTAATTTCTCTTCTTTTTTTTTAGTTTTAAAGTTAGTTTATTTACATTAATTTGTTGTTCATGATGAGAATTAAGGTGTATTACCATGCTTATTTATTTATTTTATTTTTTTAAAGAGTTACATAATAATTTGTGAAATAAAATTATAATTTATATATATATATATATATTTTTAGATTGTTTACTCACACAAGCAATAATTTTCATCCTGCTGTCTGGTGCTTCTTCTGTCGATGAAAAAGTAGGAAACATTTATTGTATTAAGAATATTAGGAGCTATCTTTATAAATACTTTGGATACAAATGTAATTTACTTAGACGTGAAGAACTTACTGATAAAATAATTGAAAATATTTCTTTGAAAGGTATTGTATTTATAATAATTTAATTTAAATTATATTCAAATATGTATATATTATTACGGGTCTCTCCTACTGCCTTATTTATATAACCTATAAGTCAAATAAGTACAATTCATTAAAATTGCCTGCTGCCATTTGGTATGATATTTCTTGTAGTGGAGAGCTGACATTTAAAAATTATTAACACATGGCAGAAGAAAGAGGTAATAAATAATAAATATAAAAGGAAAATTAATTATGGTTTTATTAATTGAGATTGTCAATTGAAATATTGAATTACTCAGAAACAAAATACTATATTTAAATAAATCCAACATGAATCTTAATAATGTTAAAATCCAATTCGCACAACTTTATTTATAAATATTTCAAATTAAACATTTAATGATTATAAGTTTAATGAATATGGATCCAATTATTTAACTATTGATTAGTTCAATTTGAGCTCTTATTAAATGAAATACACCATTCTGCAGAACATTTGAATATATTTATCGCTGTACTAGTGGAGTTATGATATATGCTCAGCAGTGATGTTCTTTTGCCTGGTTCTCCCCACAGAGGTTCCTCCTACACATCTTCTCATCTGCTATCTTCCCGTAAAAGTGCCATATTCTCTTTCCCCTTTTTGTGTCTTCTGTAATTTTTAGTAGCGAATTTTATAGGCAGGAATATGGAAACTGCATTTGTGAATCACATCCATTCCACTATTGCTTTGGGAATAATCCTTAATTCTTGTTAAATCCGGTGACTTCCTGGGCTCTGATTAGGGATGGATTGATACCAGAATTTACGTATCTAGATACAACTGAAACGGGTACTTTTTTGTATCTGATACAAAGGGTTCAGTTGTTTGTCATTACCTTCCTACTACTTTTTATCTGATGCTTGTATCGGATATTTTTATCTTATTTTTGTATCAGATATTTTTATCTGATACCTGGACTTGATACACTGAAGATTAGATGCTTTTATCAGATACCAGAGTGTTATGCATACTGGCGCATGGGTTTAATACCCCAATACTTTTATCGGATATTTTAATCCGACTATCGGACTGTACTTGATTACTGATCGTGTTTGATATATAATAATAATAATTATATTTAATACCTATGTGGTAGGTATTGAACCTATCCAAACTAAAAGACATGGAGCAGTGCATAACATACCAGCAACGATTGGTAGTTAAACTCGCAGAGGAGTTGAGAGAGAGAGCCGAGACAGTGGATGATCAGTGGGCAGGAATAGCCGAAGCTCTCAAAGATACAGCATAGGAGACGCTCGGACCTCAAACAAGGAAGGCCAGGATACCGTGTGACGATGACTGCCTAGAATGCACAACTCAGAAGAACGAGGCATATAAGATGATTCAGCATTACACGCGGCGATCACAGGAGTATAGAAACAGGAGAAGGGAGGAAAAGAAGATCCACCGCATAAAGAAAAGAACATGGGAGAACAAAAGAATGGAGGACGTTGAGACCCACAGAACTCTACATGAAAGCAGGCTATTCTTCCAGAAGGTGAATTAAGGGAGGTCGGTTTTTAAACTGAGAGTCACCTCCTGCAAGGATTCAGATGGAAATCTTCTGACGGAAAAAAGAGAGATTCTGGAGAGATGGAGGCAGTACTTTGGAAAAGTCCTTAACCAAGATGATGCAGATGAGGAGGCCAGTATCATCTCAAGAGCGGAAGACCTCTCGAATGATGCAGAACCACCAGACCACGATGAAGTCGAGGCGCGGCCGTTATGAAGCTAAAGAATAGCAAAGCCCCGGGATTAGACGGCATACAAGCGGAGATCATTCGGTACGGTGGCGAGGGACTTATGAAGGAACTCACTATGAGTGCTTACAATTTGTTGTCAAATATCCTTTTTGATAGACTCACCCCCCATGCTGAAAGAGAGATAGGGAACTACCAGGCTGGATTCAGAAGGGGTAGGTCAACCACGGACCAGATTTTCTCCCTGAGAATGATTCTGGAAAAAGCCAAGGAATACAGAATGGTTATGCACCACCTCTTTCTGGATTTCAAGTCTGCATACGATAGTGTAACCCGACCTGAACTCTACCAGGCGCTAGTAGAAATGAGGATACCCAAGAAGCTGATTCGTCTGGTGAGAATGACCATGTTGGGGTCGAACAGCGTGGTCCGTATCGGATCTGACCTCTCTGAACCTATTGCCACAAACATCGGCGTGAGACAGAGAGATGCCCTTGCATGCCTTCTCTTTAATTAAGTGGTGAATCGAGCAGTACGCAGATTAAGGATCCAAACACAGGCCACCTTATTCAATAGTACGATCCAGTTTGTTGCTCCAACTATTTATGTATGTACCTATGTGGTAACTAATTAAACATATATTAAATATGTACCTATATATATTTATAATGTTTGCCTACCTCATTTTCAATTTTATTAAAACAATCAACTGAAAGATTTAATTTATTCCTATCACCTAAATGAATTATAGTACTCTAATGTTCTAAATACTCACCAAAATATTCAATATTCAATTTAAATTAAAGGTACATAATTGGTTTAGAAGTAAAATAACGTTTTTGGATGTACATATTAGTTTGGGAATGAAGATTTTCTACAATTATTATTATGAATGAACATTATTGGTTTAAAGTAAAAAGAAGTATAACAAAACTATACTAAAATAGTAGTTGTGAAAATGTATTTAATCAATTGAAGTGTAAGTATAAAATAGTAATTACTATTTATTAATAAGTATTACATTCAAATAAGTAATAAAATCTGAACTAAAACAAATGAATTGTCAACCTAAGAGAAAGATTATACCAATTAACATTACATTAAAAAAATAAATTAGCGTGAATTTATGTATCTAAAAAATAAACATATAACTAAATTAAAGTAGATGAATAGATAGTTCTAAAAAATTACTATGTACAACTAATTGCTAACTAAATATGTACAGCTAAAAATATAACATTCCTCTTATATCAATCTGGCAAGTCTAGACCACCATTTATATCCATGTGAGCATCTGTATCAGATACTTTTGGGTTGTATCAGATACTTCTTAGTATTAGATGCAAACTATCTGTTGCATACAATCTGACCCATACCTAGCTCTGATGGATCAGGGAAGGCATTTGTTTATGCCTGACTCAGACCTTATTTCCGCATCATCCATAATATTATCTAAGATAATAAAATGTTAATAAGATATGATTTATTATTATTATTATTGTGTGTGGGTGTGCGCATGTGCGTTTGTGTTTGTGTATACATATACATAGACACAACAATGATATTTCCAAGAATATTGTACCCTTGGCTTGGCTATTCAAGTGTAACTTTTTCCTTTTTCCAACTCTTATCTGTGAGGACTGATTAAGCATTCATCATATTTGGGAGAATTTTCTTTTGGTTTTTATTGTGAAATTATGATTCTTCTTTGTATGTCCTTCATCTTCTTCACGTTGCTTTCACTTCTCCCACAGAGGGCACCTGTCTTCTTCTTGAAACCAGGAGTTTAAAATGAGTTAAATTCATTGCTCCCTTCCGTTCTTACAAAATGGGCGTTGAGTAAGGCAATTTGCGCCCAGTTTCAAGCTAGAGGACGAGTTATCTGTAATGATTTCTTTTGATATTTTCTGTGGCCTCCTGTATAGGAGTAAAACTGTTGCAATACTTTTTACTCCTTTTCCATGATTATCAACATCAATGTGGCCCCCAGTTAAATGTAATTTTTATCTGCAAAACTTTTATAAATATTTTATATTCTATTAATTAGAGCTGTATTTTTTTAAAAGTATACAAATCATTGGTTAAATCACAGACTTATATGCTTTACTAATATGTGTATATTTTTTATTTACTTTATAATTATTGTTTTAGGAGGTAGTGTAGCTCTTGTTTTGTTGTGTAAATGTGAACCATGGGAGTGGTCCTTAAATGTAGTGGAGAAAAAATTATTACCCATTTTACAGTCTCCAAGATCTATGGATGAATCTAAAGTTTGTGAATATATTTTAACTGTTGGTAAGTGTCATTTTTCTCATAGAAAAATAAAAAATTATATTTGTTAATTAATTATTTCTTAAAGTTGAATACTTTACTCAAATATTTATTTTCTGATGCTCATCTGTTTTAAATTCTCATATCTCTGTTTTTAAATTATCTTCTTAAGCAAATTTCCTCAACCTTTATTCATTTTGATCATTAATTCTACTTTTATAGTAGTTATATAAATTGTTTATGCTTTAAGGGAGAGTTGTTCGAGGATTCCCGATTACTAAAGCTGGTCATATTGTTAAATGTACGTTAGAAGTATTGGAGCATATGCTTTTGGAATCCAACTGTAAGTATCAAATTTATATTTAAAGCATTGTTTTTTAATCATGCAACATGTTTTGTTTATATTACAATGATACAGATTTAAAAAGTGCAAAAGTCTTTAAATTACCAACAATTTATTGAGAAAATAGTATCTACAATTGTCTTTTTTTTTTTAATACATCTAGACATTGTAGTGTAGGTTCTCATACTGTTCTTATACCAATTTTTTTTTAAAAAGATGTCTATGAAACGAGGTGTTAGAAAGAGCAACAAAAAAGTACATTTGGACTGACTATGCTCCGATTTCTCATACACAAAAAAAACTTTAAATTAAGTCATATTTTTTAAGTGTTAAGAATAGGAAGTGATAACCAAACAACTATTTAATGTAATTAATTACTAATTTTATCCTTGTAAACAAAATTTTAAAATCTTTAAAAAGAAGTTTAATTCCCTCTTAAAAACCTTTGATATAGTTATACAACACAAAATTATATGCTTATCTTAGTTTTCTTTAATTGAGACTTTATGTTACAGGATTGAAATTAAATTTAATAAAACGCCTTCATATAAATTCTTTATTTTTTTCTCTCTTTGCGCAACCGGTTTCGGTCTTTTATCAGACTTTCATCAGGCTAGGTAAAATAATTAAATAATAAAATTAACATCAATAAAAACTTTTGCAAATATTAATAAAACCTAATTTAAAATTTAACAATTTAAAATCCAATCTTCATAAATTATTTAATTATTTATCTTAGTTTATTCTGTAAAAAATAATATTAATAACAGCTTTCAAATACAAAAGAGTAAGATCTTTGGCTCACAATAATGGCCTTAACTTCCTACTAAATGAAGTCTTCACAAAGTGTCATATTCTCTTTGGATTCTAATTGTCCATAATCTTTCAATTGCCCAATACATAAATTATAATAGGACTTTGAATCTTATTTAACCGACAAAATAAACATCAGCAATTTTGAAAGTGCTTTCTCGGAATATTACCTCAATTTTAATTTGACTTGAGGCAAGAAAAAAAAAAGTTTTGTTAATAAAATTATGTTTTTGTGCATTCTCAATAAATTTTTTTTGTATGTTATTAATTATTTATGTTTTTTTTAAAAATACTTTTTATGTGTGTCAGTGTCATTTTGGTATGTTTTGTTTTAGCTAACCATCTTTCTGAAATTATTATTGAAGCAATATCCCTTTTAAGGCGACACAATCTTATGAAGTGCACTTCTATATTAATGAATTGGAAGCCAAATACTAAACAAATCACTGAGAAAACCATAAATCACATAAGCACTATTCTAAGGGTCAAAAATGTAGGCTATTGGAAAAACATTTACTCAGCTCATTCGTCAAATATAATTCACAATACTAGACCGTTTAGAAAAAAGAGAAAGCCAGGTTTTCAAAATACTCCCTGACTTTATCCTAAGTTTTATTGTTGTAAATGTTGAACTTTTGAGGTATTTAATTCTAGCTAATAAAATTTATGTTAGATGTTTAATGTATTATAATTTTTTTTTATGTTTTTTGTTTATTTTTTTTTTTAATTTTTAATCTTTTGTATAAATGTAAATATTTTAGAAAATATGTGGCATAATAATTAAAAATTTAAGTCTTCAGTAGATCTATTTTTTGTAGATACTGATAAATGTGATATTAATTTATTAGTTTTTGTTTTTAATTGAAGTACTATGCAAGAAGTACTTGTTATGTGTAAGATATTTTCATTTTGTTGGAAAATTGTATGTTAATACAATAAAAGTTTGTAAAACATGTTTTATATTTTGGTTCTATGTCTTTGTATTTCGTATGCTTCCTCTCCCTCCCCACATGATTAAAATCAGTTGAAATCACTAGAACAGAATTTATCAAAGAAATATGAACAATTTACAAAAGTAAAATGTTATGTTTTTTTTTTTTAAATTTAAGTACGGTGTTGTGGTATCAGGCGTATTATTATAACGAAAATGGATTTAGTAAAGAAAGCTGAATTCACAAATACAAAAACTTATAAAATCATTATCTTCGGTATTACATCCCTTTAGTGTAAGTTTATCCTTCCAGTGAGAGAAACGTTATTGTTCTCATATCTTGTACTTTGGAGAACCTTATTCCTTAATGGTGTTGCACATAAACAGGAAACATTCAATTCTTGTGTTTTATTATTGAGTGCACTCTCTACAATCATCTCCTATATTTCATCGGCAGTCAATCATTGCTTTTTTTTTAGACGCCCTCAGATGCTGATGAAGGGTAATATTCTTTTTCCATTTAAATTATATACTTTGTTGATTGCGTATACAAAATTATTTATAACGTGTAGAAGTTAAGTTTATTACATATACTAGACACATTTGGGTTAGAGAATGAAGCTGGAAATCAGTAAAGTACCTAAGTACTGGTAATCCTCTGACTTGGAGAATTTCCTGTAGGGAAAATCTGAGAGGAGTGGGATAAGTAGACCTCGAGAAGTGTCATAAAGGGGATGTAATAGGGTCATGTTTTTCTCAAATTGAGAGGGAGTCTAAAGAAAAACTGGGTATTGGAGGGTCTTTTGTCCATGAGAACAACAATCTTTCGTAGATGGAAAATTTCTCCGGCAGCTTCTGGACCTTGGGCATTAGGGACTACTGGGATGCTCTCATGTGCCTAAAATTCTAGAAATATGGTCATACCAAAGCTAAGTGTAAGAAAGATCTTAAATGTAGATGGTGTGGCAAGTGCAGGCATGAGAAAAACAAGTAAGCTGCTGGACTATTAATAGAATATTAAGACACAGTCCCATCATGGAAGATGCACAGGCATGCCCTGGTCAGTGCCACAGGAAAACACTATGTTTAATAGGTAATATGTAGAACAGTCAACTAACTTCCTTCACTATATCTAATTTTCATAGAAATAAATACGTATCCTAAAGCATGTATTAAAAAAAAAAACTTAAATAAGTGTTATAGTGCATACAGTTTATTGGACTAAATGGTTAGAAAATATAACTTTGTAATTACAGCTTGCCTCTGGCAAAGATCAACTAATATGGCAAAAAAAACAACTAATTTCCAAAAGTACATAAAAAGCGAAATTGAAGAAAAGATTAAGGTTTGGTGGAAGGAGGGAAATGCTTGTTATTTTTCTGTGACAAGACTACTTGGCTATGCCTCCTGCTCCAAAACTCAAAAATTAGAATTTACAAAACGATTCTATACGGATACTAAACCTGGCCGTTTAATTAATAGATAAGCAACATCTTAAGGTTTTTTAAAATAAAGTATTGCGTAGAATATTCGAACCAAAAAAGGATAAATCAACTAGGGAATGTAAACAGTTACACAAAGCTGAATTGCGTGAACTGTATCCCGTTAGTATAAGTGAGATGACTACATGGACGTGTAAAATTATTGGGCTTAGTAACAAAACAATGCCTAAAAGTTTAATAAGAGCTGTGTCGACTAGTAAACCTCCTAGGGGATATTGGAAACAATACCATAAAAAATGATCAAGTTATGAATCATTGGTAATTTCAATGTTTGATTGACTCTTTAAGTGACAAAAATGTTAGAATTTATAATTCAGATAAAAATAAAAACACACTGGGTAATTTACTTATCATATGTGAGGATGGGGAACGCTAATCAATCCCAAACTATCCCAACATTAGTGAATACAACGATCAACAATAAGGAAATAGAGTGGAAGCTATTTAGCAAACCTAATGACTTGCAGACAGGAATAGGACTGAAACTAGGGAAGAATTGTCGAACTCGCAAGTGTTTTAACATCAAGAAAAACGAAAGTGAAATTTGGATACCCAAGGAGACGCATTAACGTGTTACACAAAGTTGCACAAAGGCTGAATTGTGAAGGGATAGTGCACTTTGTTAATTCAACGAATCATTTTGTTTTCAAGTCTAAAATTGTTCAACATGCGTCAAAAACAGTTGACACAATCATAAAACATTAAAAAGTAGGACATTTCCTTAATGAAGAGAATAACAATAAAGTGAACTTAAAAACTCTAGATGGAAATAGCATTCTTTAAACAGGAAGGAAGCTAGATTTTTAAGGATTGTTATTCTTGAAAAAATCTCACCGTGTTAGTCTAGACCACAGGTGGGGAACCTTGGCCTCGGAGGCTGACTTATTTAAGTAACGACAATTTGGAGATTACTATATTAGGTTGGCAAACAAGTCCTTTTGATTTTTATGTCACTATGATAAACTTCTTATCTGATGAATGAATCTATAAGGTGGATTGTTTAGACTGTTTGTAATATGTCAACAACTATATCTGTTAACTCTTGTTGAAACTAGCTTAGTATTGTGCTTGCTATTGCACTGTGGATATGGAAAAAAATACCATTCATTATCGGCATATTTTGTTGTTTTATTTTTAAAAAGGTAAGCGTGCTGCAGAAGCGCGTAGACAAATTTGCAGTGTTTATGGCGATGATGCCTTAACCGAACGTACCTGTCAAAATTGGTTTGCCGAATTTCAATCAGGAAATTTTGACATCAATGATGCTCAACGGTCTGATCGCCACATGAGCAATAATAAGGCCATTGTTGATCAGAATCCCACCCAATGAGCGCGAGAGATTGCTATGGCCCTAAATGTGTCGCCTACAAGCGTAGAAAACCATTTGCACAAGCTCGGCTATGTTTCCAGCCTTAATGTTTGGGTACCTCACATGATTTTTTTTTCGAAAATCATAAAAAATGTTATAACTTCTATACTACTCTTAGCTATCTCCAAGAAATTTAGCTGGAATTTAGGGCCACATAAACTATACAAAATTACATCAACAGGATCTTCGTAAACAAACTACAAATGGAGATAAAAAATAAAAACCTATTAGTTATTCCTTATGTAGGCATTAAATAAAAAAAACAATCTATACGGCTTTGAAGAGAAATAATTCAGCTTTCCATCGGATATAGTAACATCGAATTTGGAGAACATCCTGAAAAGTTATGAATGATCGGAAGGGTGTTGTGTTCCACCAAGACAACGCTAGGCCCCACACCTCATTGTTCACTTACAAAAAATTATTGAGCATGAGGTGGGACCATTGGTCCCACCCTCCCTATTCACCATACCTAGCTCCAAGTCACCAACTTATTCCGATTTCTGCAGAACTCCATGAATGGAAAAAACATTCAAATGGAAGAAGACATCAAAAACCACTTGGATCAGTTTTTTAACAATAAATTCCAGACATTCTATCAACATGGCATTCTGCAGTTAGTGGAAAGATGGGAAAAAGTCATATTAAATAATGGTAATATATTCTAGATTAAAATAAATTTTATGTTTATAATACATTGAGTAATATTTCACCCTGAAAAACCGAAAGGACTTATTTGCCAACCCAATATAATAATCTAGCGCTATAATTAATTAATATTTAATTATTTAAGTAACGACAATTTTGAAATTAATAGAATTAAGTTAAATGTATGTAAGTATGCATGTTGCTGTGAGTATTTAGTGATAAATAAAAATAGTAACGGTAAAATATAAAGCATTATTTCGGCCTCCATCAGCAATGCCTAACCTTATTGGAGCCTCTAATGATAAAAAGATTCCCTAACTATGGTATAGCCCAATGGCTCAGAGTATGGAGTAGCACCAAAGCCAGATGAAAGAAGACTTACGACGTTTTAGTGTAAAATGCTCAGAAAAATCTTAGGGTCTGATTAAGACAAGAATGTCTGGTGGAGAAGAAAATCTTGGGAACTTCGCGAGCTCTACAACGATGTAGAAATGGTTAAATCAATTAAGATTAGAAGCTTTACCTATCTAAGTTTAAGCTGGGCTGGCCATTTCTCTCGAATGCATGATTCTGGGATTTCCAAACTATTGATGTAGGGCGTACTGCACTGGACAAGAGTAGTGGCAAGACCTATACTAAAGAAGAGTACTGAGTACCAAGCAATAACGGATCCAGGATTTAATTTTTTTTGGGGGGGAGGCTTCAGCCCGAAAGCTTTTTTTTCATAAAAATAACAATAATTACTTTGGAGAATAAGAAAGAAACTAACTACCTATAGGAACTGGTGTTTAAGTGATTCCGAAAGCCATTTTAAATGTAATTATATGAAAAATTATACTTTAAGAGATAGTTTTTTAATATTTTTTTCTGTAAATCATGGATATATTTTACCATTTTGGGGGGCGGAGACCTTAATTCCGAAAGCTCCCTTCCCTCCCCCCCGTATTTCCGCCTTTGGTACCATGTGTTTCACTCAAATCAAATCACTATTGGGAATTCAATGACTACCTAAGTAAATCGTTTGACATCAACTAAAGTAGTAATTAATTGTTTCGGTACTCAAAAAAGGTCAGTATTTGAGTAAAATACTATTTACTCAGTTCTCAGAGTAGCATTTGCCTATCTCTGCCTAGAACTAGATATTTTTGTGGGCTCTTAAAAATCTAGAACTGGACAATCGCATCACTATGATTTTTCAGAATGAATAGATGGTTTAGTAATTAATAATTGTTTGCTCACAGTGCATGGAACAATAGTTAGGGGGTTACCTGTTTGACTTTGGATGACTAGTATCCTTATTTCTTATAGAGGCTACACTACTTAAAAATCAGAGGTAGGTTTATCTCTTGACCAAGCGGAGATCGAGAGCTTTATCATGTATGTTTCTATGAAAAGTATAGAACAACAATAACTTCATCATAAAAAATGGTCATAACATAATTTCTTTGCCTTTTATACGTCTACAATATCTTATAACTATTAAATTGAATATTTAATAGTTGACCGTTGCATTATAAAGGAAGAAGATGGTCCGGGGTTGCGGTCATAAATAGGCTAAATAGTGGTAAAACTAATTAGCCTATTTATGACCGCAACCCCGGACCATCTTCTTCCTTTATAATTATTAAATATTCATTTAATTAAATCATACATAGAAAATCCAAGTTTACATTTAAAATTTATATTTATTTAGTTAAAGTCGCATCAAGATGTTTTAGCCCAAACGAATTTTGATTTTAAAGCTGATGCATTATAAAGTTCGGAATAATCAATGGACTATCTGGGTTGTTAAGAAGAAACCATTCAGCTAACCACTTCAATGGATGAATAGGTCTAGCTCTACTGACTGCCATTAAACCTTTGTGTAATATTTCACTTACATTTTCCTGGACGTAATCAATACATCTTGCAACTGGAGGAAACGGTTCTATTAACACTGAAAAAAAAAAATCAAATTGGTAACGGATTGCAAGAAAAACTAAAACTACAAGTAAATATCAATGTTAGGATATGATTGGAAGTTTCAAAGCAAACTGTCTTAAATATCAGTAAATAGATGACAAAGTTTAGCCAATTCAGGCGTCGCCGTGATAAAAAAGATAGGATCATATAAATGCGGAACAGAGAAAGAACATCTCAAGTCAACGTCTAAATTATTTCTATAAGTTGGAATAAAAGAGCCAATGTCCAAAAGTTTGAAAATTGAGTGACTGTAGGATTCAGGATAGGATATACATTATTTTTTAAAAGGGCCAAGGACCTCCGACTATAAATTAGTTTCAATAACTACTAGTGGGAGAACACAGAAATTAACATACACGTTTCCCTCTTTTTTTTTTTAGTGGTCCATCCCAATTTCAAAGCTTTAGACTTCGAACATGTTTTCCGAGGTACAGGTAGGTAGAAATGCATTAAATGGATGCAAGTTCTATCTCTTACAAAATGAATCTTTTCTGGGATGCTGAAGTGAGATGAAATACCTCTGGTTTCCATTTATAAAAATTTATACAGAGATCCCATTTTAAAAATGGTTTAACTGAAATTAAAATTATAAAAGCTGTAGTCTAGTTGTGTTTTTTTTCTTGTGATTCCTGGTTCCAAATTGAAATCTCAAGAAAATATGCTTCCCCCACACATTCATCAACATGTAAAAATATGCTTTTTCTTTTGCGAAAAATAAATTGTCACAATATTGACTAGTTCATTATTTATTAGTATTTGAACAAACTAAGGCTTTACTTCGAAATCTTTCGATAACATCCGAAATAAAATAATGTTTTGTAATGATGAATAATATGCAATTGCGTAATGTTCAACAAGTATTAGGAAAAAAAGTGAGATAATAGTTCCTCATGCGTGTAAAAATGAATCACATCCCATCTTTTAAACATAAGATTGATTGTGGATATTCATTCATACCTTGTGGATAGAAGAAACGAATCTCTCTAGCCGCAGCTTCTACATTTTCACTCCCGTGTACTGCATTGGTTGCCGAATCGCCTTTCAATCCATACAATGCCCTCAATGAATATGGCGCCTCTTTTCGAGCGATAGATACTCTTTTGTTACCCATTAACGCCTTTAAATCCTCAATGGCATTATCCTTAGCTAAAACCATTATATGAATTGGACCAGTCACCATTTTCATAATAAACTTCGGAAACCATGGTTTTCCGTAATGCTCATTATAGAATTCACTCGTGTGTTCACTTGAAAGCCACACCGTCTTCTCCTAAGTTGGATAAAAAGAAAAAAAAGTTCATATTCTTAAAACTGAAAATAAGATATTTATTTAAGGTTCCCAATAGACTGTGATTATGAATATTACTAATATACTAATGATTAATGAATTTAAATCTAGAAATACAAAACAATTTTAAGGTTATGTATGATTGCAAAAAAAATATTAAGGAAAATCAGGATTAATTTAATAAAAATGAAGTTAAAAATCTTGACAAACTTTATGTTATAAGTAGCAAGAAAAAATTTAATATGAAAATATGCTGACGCAAGTGACACTGGAAATACCTTACAAGATGAAAAGTTTATATTCTTTACAAAAAGTATACCCCCAGTAACCTTGTACAGCGTAATTTGCATCAAGTGGTGGTAGAAGTTTAATCTTTTCTTGATAGGGATTAGACTGAGATGCAAAATCCAAGGTTTCGAGCTCTGCGGCCCCGAATCACTTTTGAATATCCCAAAAACTGCTATATTTCCGTACTTTTTTTTTCTTCGATTTTTCGCCATTTTGACCATGAAGTAGCACGTTGCCGACTAAAATTATTCAATAAATTTTCAACTAAACCACATTCACTACAATTTAAGACCAGAATAGGCTCGGTGAACCTAATAGGTTTCGAACTATAGCATTCCAAAAGTTTGCAAATTTTCCATACTTGAACATTTCAAGCTATAATAATTTTCATGTTTTATCATACGAAGTTGTACGCTTTAGGAGAGGGAGTTCACTATTCACAACCAGATAACCAAAATTGATACAAAAATTTATTTAGCAAACATTTATATAAAGTGTATACAAAAGGTAAATGAAATATGAATTAAAGGAGTTTCCACCGATTGGAAGGACCAGGACCAAGTAAATCCGCTAATCCACCTTGTTATAGGCATCAATTAATTCTATATTCTATATTATAATATAATATTATATTAAGACTTCTCGACAAGGTTTTACTTTGGGATATTCAACAAATAAAGATTTTATTGCATTTCGGTAAGCCCAGGATCACTAGCGGATCCAGGATTTAATTTTGGGGGGAGGAGGCTTCAGCCCGAAAGCTTTTTTTTTCAAAAAAATAACGATAATTACTTTGGAGAATAAGAAAGAAACTAACTACCTATAGGAACTGGTGTTTAGCCAACGGCCATACCACGTTGAACACACCGGTTCTCGGCCGATCACCGAAGTTAAGCAACGTCGGGCGTGGTGGTTAGTAATTGGATGGGTGACCGCCTGGGAAAACCGCGTGCTGTTGGTACTCTTTTAGGGGGCGGGGTGGCCGAATAGGCTAAAGCGTGTGTAAATGCACCGCTAGTTGCCTGGCAACCGGATAACAGAGATTTGAGATGATATAAAAAGTACGAGTTCGCGTCCCGGTGCCGGAGGGGATTTTAAATTCCCCGCCCTCACCCCCTGGCCCGGGAAAATCCCGTATAGCCTAAAAGGCGAGGTAGGAAAGAACAAAAGAGAAAAAAAAAAAAAAAAAAAGGAACTGGTGTTTAAGTGATTCCGAAAGTCATTTTAAATGTAATTATATGAACAATTATACTTTAAGAGATAGTTTTTTAATATTTTTTTTCGATAAAACATGGTTTCATTTTACCATTAGGGGGGGGGGGGCTTCAGCCCGAAAGCCTGGAGTGTGAGTGTCCAGGATTCGCTTCTAAATAAATCAACTGGTTGTAGTACCATCTTGTACTCTTTATTTTGAGAGCTTGTGGCATATAACGATTTCGAAATGTTATTGTAAGGAACCAACGATACCTATCACTAACTGTTATCCTTGCCTTTATTTCATTTCTTTTAATTATCCTCAATGATCGCGATTTTTGTGGGAAGGGAGACATTTCAGTGGCTATTGAATTTTCAAGGGGAACTGAATTACAATATTTTTTGGTATTATGGAAAACAGATTATTTTTTCATAGTTAAGGCAATCACACTTCCAATTTCCTTCAAATCCTTTTAATTGCATTTATTATCTCGTAGGCTTCCTAATAAAAAAAGAAAAATAAGAAGATAACTAAAATTATTTTTGTGTTGTTTCAATTTGGGAAAACTTTGAAACTAGGGCAAAACTGAAATATAATCAGTATAATTCTACATTAGCTTGTACCGTTTTTAAGAAAAGAAGGAAATAAAATTTCCTTGGGATTATATGCGCAATCGTCCTTGGAGCGGGAGGAAGGGAGATGGACACCCCTGTACTGAATAAATTTAGACCTTCCCACTAAGGTCGAATAGATCAGTTATACCTATAGAATAATTTTCAGACACGCCAGAAACGGCTTGGTGGTTGAATATTCCTAGGGTACCTAAGAAACATTTCCAAAATTAGTTATTATTTTAATGCTTTCCAGTTCCGTATTAGTCTGTTATTAAGGGGGCTTTTATTGTTTCACAGAATCATAAATATATTTGCTATTGCCATGCCAAATGAAATGTTACCAAACTCAGCGCTAATCCATTGATAGATTTCCTATGTTCATCACGGATCTCAGAACCAAGTGTACGAGCTCGCCCACATTTACGTTGATGAGTTTAGGATTTTCGATCATCATTAATAAAGTCAGTGGCAAGTTTAGTAACTTTCAGTGTATGAAAAATGGTAGTATTGGAAATTTGGGGTTATATAGAGTTCGAACTTCTTTAATTTTGGTACAATTGCCCAAATTCCGAAGATTAGTAAGAGGCACTACAGATCCAAGAAATGTTATACAGAAATAAGTGACAATGACAAATAAAGTAATAAGATTCACAATCCAGTTTAATAATAAACGATTAATGAACCCAAATCTTCTATTTTTGGCGAGTTGCTGATGGTGCTGAGATCATTAGTGTGCACTGTAAATACGACAGTGCCGCCGTTTTTAAACTCATCAATGGAATTCAGCGCGTTATTTTATTCATCAATTGAATCACCGATGGCTCAGTGGTCCTATCAGCTTTAGGGGTCGAAGGATCCACATAATGTGATCTCAGTGTTGTTTTTTTCAAAATTTACTTTACGTATTTATATTCAGTTCATTTTATATTTATATTTATTTCTGTTTTGATATTCAACAATTTAGTATTAAGTTAAATATTTTTATTATTCAAGTGTTTCGTAACCTTTCGCTGGAAAATAGGAGGTCGTTACTAAGCTCAGGATAAATCGCTTTTCATCCGATTAATGGATTCCTAAGATGTAATCAGAGCTGAGTTTAGTAACTTGCCCTTTAATACAAAATGTTTCAATAGTGAGAAATATTAAAAGTATATTTATTTAAGATTCCAACGTTTTGATTATCAAATAATGTCTTAATAGGACTTACAATCGGAGTCCCGGCTAGTTAATGCAATTGTTGAAAAAGTATACCTTTAAGGTCAGAAAACCTTCTTCATAGATTCTTTTTATTATTTGATCTTTATAAATCATAGCTCCAGGTTTAATTAAAAATAATGTGTATTCCTCTGGAAACTTGAAAGTCTTATGTGGTTCCGAATGTTCATCTCGTAAAGCACGGTGGTCAAAATCGGTCGGTTCTGCATCAAACTGGAAGTCGTAGTAGTATTCATCTTTAGGAGCTTTGGTTCCATACCTAAACTTATAAACAACTTTTGGTGGCAGCTCTGGTATGACCTGTTCAGGTTCCTCGTTCTCTGTCATTGAAGAAGACCAAATAAAACAACGTAATTTTTTATCCCTTAGATTATAATAAGAAATATTAACATGTGTACTTACCCTTAGAATTATCTGTCATTAATTATTGAATGATAGCTGATATGTTTCAAGATCAGATGATAAGTTTCAAAGAACATATACCACCTTATACCATTGATGAACACTAAAGACCGCCCCCTAGAAGTGGTATTTAAAGGTTTAAATTAATAACTGTCTTCACTGCTTTCGAGCGCCATATTGGACGTGAGTTGTCAGTCAACGTGATCTGTGAAATAGGTTTTGGTTATTGTAGGGCGGGACCCTACTAATGTTGTTTTGTTTTGCAAATATTTATCCGTTTTGTTAACTGTAAGTTGCCGAATCCTTAACTTTTATGAAAATATATAATTGTTATTGTCTCTCAGTTTGTAATCCTTGCTATATTGGTAGATTTTTGGTTGTTTATTTTATTATAATTTATATCTCCATCTTTTGATTGATCTTAAGCCAGTACAGTACAGGTTCTTTAAGCAATTTTTAATTTTTAATTTGATATCCTTTTTAGTAATTTGAGTTTTGTTATTTTTATGAGATAAGCTGATTAAAATTCCTAGATGAAATTTTAAGTATAGTAGGCAAAAAAGTGTTGTAGGCAAAAAGCCATTATTATTGTAATCAGAAAAAGTAGACTACTTGATTAGTTACTGATTGGCTGAAATTATTTGGCCATTAATTTAAATATTTGTGTCATGGTTTCGCATACTTGTTTTTTATACCAAAAGTTTACTAATATGTATATTTACTCCATCTTCACCTTTTATGTGTGTTTTAGAGTATAACTAGTGTTTTACAATGAAAATCTAGTGAATTTGACCACTGAGCAATTTTCTGATGGTCAAAGAAATGTTATCAACAATTCAATAATGTTTTCAGTTAATTGTGCTTTTATATTCACCAGTTTGAATTATGAAGTATTGGTATTAAATATCATTTTTGTTTGCTTTTTTACAGATTAATTTCTGTTAGTAGTTTAGAATTATATAACCTGTCACAATGCCGAAATCAGTAAGTAGACGCATGTTTTTTTTATTAGTTACTCTTAATATACTTTTATTTTGTTTAATGTTTACAATTGCCAACATTCAATTTCAATCACTTTTTTGTGGAATATTGGAAAATTATTTTGTTTTTTTTTATGAATTTTGTGATTACCAGTCAATTATATCAATTTTTGAGTTAGTCCTAGTTCCATTTAATTTTCACAGTTGAATTGTTTTTTTGAAATATCCCAAGAGTTAAATGAACACAAGGTAAAATCTCTTTAATGGAAACAACTTTCTCACAAATTTCTCCCTTGGTTGGTTTTATTCTAATGTTAGGAGATATTGTTACTTTTAAATACTGTACTGTTAGTAAAAGTGTTTTTAAAATTCGATAGTCAAGTGATTTTAGACTTACTTGTACTTATTTTAGTAGTTTACAAGAATCACAAAGTCTTAATTATAAGGTGTTTTGGCTAAGCATTTGTCATTTATTGGTTCTCATGTCTTCAAACACTACACATTTCTTTAAGCACTACCCCAGGAATGGTGATTTAAAGATTTTTATTGAAACCGATGGTATACCATAATAAACCCTTAATGTTATCAAGATTTAAGGTTATATTTGACCATGCTTTTTTAAAAAATCTTACTTAAAGACTTTATGATATCTATTGATTATCCATAAAAAGGTTTCAGAAGACACTTTGGAAGTTATTTATGATCTACTCATGTATTCTTAATATCAAGAGCATATCGTCGGCACCATGTTGAAATAACGAATTGGGCCTGTTTAACATTGCTTTAACATGGTATCAACAATATCTATGCAGTTCAATGGTATAATATTCATGTAAGAGAAAACTTAGACATTTCACAATGTTGGATTGCATATATCTTGACTTTATTGCTAAGAATATGTACTTTAGTTACTAGAAAGCAAGAATTTGGGAGTAGTAATTGTAAATGAAATACATTGATTATTTATAAAACTAGTTGGCCCCTGTGAATAATTCAGAAAGTATATTAGTCTCGTGAACAAATGACAAAATAATAAGGAAATAAAATGATGCAATGTATTTTGATGATGGAGGAATCAATTTTCTTTTTATCGGTGATTGTAATCGATCAAGAAAATGAACATTAAGATTTAGTACTTCATTTATGTTTGACCAAGAGTAATTTTATAAATCACAATAAGCTGTATATTTGCTAATGAAGGTCAGATTTCGATGATTTTTTAAATGTTTTGTTGATAATTTAGTAAGCTTTTAGATAACCATGGGGTACAACCAACCATAAAATGTATACTTTTTGAGTTAGTATTGAATAAAGATTTTTTCTTTTATATTTTTTTTGTGCCTGAAATTTTGGGGTGATGTGACCATATTTCCCATCTAAAAGGAAAGGAAATTTTCGTAATTATGGCTCATTCTTTGGATTTGATGAAGAATTAATAATGATATGGCTTACCGATTAAAAAAAAAAAAAAAAAAAAATGTATATGTATGAACTCATCTTTCGTTCATAGGAACCTATCTGACGAAACAAGGAGATATGCATGCTATGGTAGCACTACATGCTGACAATGTGGCAACATTACATTAACAAGAGCCTGTGTGGCTGCAAACCCTTTACCTTGCATTATCTCAAAAATGGTACATTTTTTTACTTCAAATCCCAGTGCCTAGTGGTAGTTACTTTGAAACTATCAAAATATTATAGCTTGGCTAAATGTTTATATCAACCCTATTTATTTTAGAAAGAAAAATACAAACAGACTATTGATTTGCTAACCCACCATGAAATTCTGAATGCCTCGGTACTAGTTCTCCGAAGCATCTACTCTTTTAGCCATCTTAGTTTATTCCAGGTTTTCCACAATATTTCAGATAAGGTTTACACCTGGCAGCGCCGCTATTGTGGAGGGATAATCTTGTCAGCCTTTCACCCCTCCACCTTACGTTCATTACAAATAATGACCAAATACAACCTTAAGAATATATAGTACGAGCCTTTTTTTTTTTAGCTTGTCGACTTTTTTGTCTGATCAGTATATCGATTAAGGAAACTTTCTATTTTCGATTTTATTTATAGACACGTATTACCACAATCAATTTTTTCCCATTATATATTTCTAATATTATTTATGATTATTGTGTTTATATATTGCCTGTTATATGTTGGCTTCAATTTAAACTAATTCTAATGATTTTTTTTCTCATGATTCAAATTGAACATTCACAATCATCTGAGTGAATATGCCGTCATTCATAATCATCAGAAACAGCCTGAGTTGAACTTATAAAACTAAATTAAAAAATGAAGAAAAAAAATGAATAATAGTATTGACCTACAGAAGGAGAATCATATAACTTCTTCAAACGATAATTTCAATTACTGTAGTAATTTATAAAATTTCCCATTAATCAATAAAAAAAAGCCTTGCCGACCTTCAGTAGTGAGGAAGCAAGAGGAAATGGCCTTTTCTGAAGAGAAAGCAGTAAATGTTTAAAACTCTATAACTCTGCAACGAACCGTCCGATTTCGATAACTTTTTTTTTTTTATTTTGTCAGCAATTCAGAAATTTTTCATATAAATATGGGTATTATCGATCAAAAATTGTGTACTTTTTTAATTATCAGCAAATATAATATTGAATTCATCGTAACATTTTTCAGCTTGTTTTCGGAAAAGTATTTTACACACATAAATTAAAAGGGTTTCAAGGGGAAGACTTTAGCCGAGTTTCGTTAAAATTGGTAAAGCCGTTTTGGCGCTACAGTTTATAGCGACACATTTTTTTGTGGCTTTGAACAGAAAAACATTTACATTTTTATTTTTTTTACATATATAAAATTATCGTAGGACAGAAGTATTATGCCAGAACCCTTCCCAGGAGTGTACGGAACAACTTCCCAAAGTTTCATGGAGATCGGTTGAATGGTTTAGTAATGCACTTAGGACAAACAGACATACATTCATTTTTATATATATAGATGAAGTGAAAATGGTGGAAAAAAAATGCTAACTTTAAAAAGAGGCGGGTATTATGTAACATAAACGATATAATTTCTATATTTACTTAAAATGAAGATGAGGTGTTGAGGACAAGAGCCGACAAGACTACCACTCCACTATAGTGTCGCTTCCTGGCGCTATCTGTTGTAAGTCTTATCTGAAACATTGTGGATAACTTTTCATCAATCACGATGGCTGAAAGAGTAGTGCTTCGGAACTAGTATCCCCCATTCATGGTATATGAGCATGTCGGGAACTTATACTTTGTGCAAAACCGATTTCGAATCTAAGTGTTATAATATATTTGGGGATTAACTAGTATTTAAAAAAATAGAAGGTGTGATTACTTTTAAAAATAGGTTAATATCTGCCTTTTAAGTAGTTCAATATTTTTAGAAGCATATTAAACAATTTTATTATATAAATTATAAATAAAAAAATTATTTTCACTGATATTTGAAACAATTAACATTCAACTGCAACTTATAAAATTTAATAAATATATCTATTATTTTTTAAATGTAATTAGAGAATTGTTTTTGTCAGAATGTGATATAATATGAGAAGGAGTTGGTCGGGGAGTGGGCTAAAATAAATAATAAATTGTTAAAATAGTATTTTAATCATTATGCCGATGTTTAGACCCACTTTGTAGGTCTTCATCAGGGCGTGGTATCGGACACTGCTAGTCTACTAATTGCTTCCTGCAGTGCCCGACACCACGCCTTGATGAAGACTTACAAAGTGTGTCGAAACATCGGCATAATGATTAAAATACTATTTTAACCATATAGTATTTATTTTACCGCATCCCCTCCCCTCCCCCTCGATCAACTCCTCAGATAATGTACTTGATTTGATTTGGTTTTAACACGTCCTTGATTTTGGAATACAGCCCTCTTACTGACATCTCAATTTCTTATCACTTTTCCCCAATAAATGGCCAATAGTGTCAAAAAATTGCATTGAATCAGAAGACTTTGATGGTTGTCAGAGTGAATTTATGATTGAACATTATGAAACTTCAGATAGTTTTTA